TTTCTTTATTTATTTAAAAAAGAATGCAAAACGTCAAGCAGCTCTAATTTTGGCAGCTTATTTAACTTTTTGGTCTCCCTATAATTTACTAGCTATTTGCAATGCTTGGGCACAAAAGGATGGAACGATTAGACAAATATCAACAATTACTTTACCTTTTTTAAATGGTTTAATTGTTGTTAACCCGATAGTTAATCCGTTAATTTATGGAGTTTTTGATAAATATAAATTGTGTTTTACAAGAAAATAAATATTTTTTAAATATAGTTTTATTTTTAATTTAAATAAATAAATAATTGAAAATCTCGTTAAAATATTTTAATTTAATTAATTATTTTGTTAAAAGTTTTATTAAATTTTAAATTGGTTATTATTATTCCGGGCAAATTCCTCTTATTTTAGAAGAAGAGGAGGGGTATCTCCAATTTTATATCAATGCATCTGGCTATTTTTACCCATGTAAAGAGCATTGATTTAATTAGCTATGGAGTAAATTAATAGGTTATATGATTTTTAAATATAATAAATATGTAGTAGGGATCCAAACACAGCCCCTAAAGTATATTTGGTAAGATAAACAATACTTTGTGTTTTTTAATTCCTTAATCCAAATATATATTTTATCCTTAACAACATTTTTATAAAGTTTGTATAAAAGCAAATCATGAGGGATACAATCGAAAATTTTTTTAGGTCTAAATAGCTTTAATTAACATTTTTATTAGAAAATTATACAAATCCTCTGAAGTGGTGGGTGATTCTGGTGCATATCGGAGGAAGGAAAAAATAATCGGTTCAAGATTCTTGACATATGTAGTTCAAAGTTTAAATTAATAACGTTTGAATCAAGACTTTTTTCCGTGGCTGCAAATAGAATAGTAAGTAGTAGAGACCGAACCGAGACGGGATAATCTTATCGAGAATCGAGAGTTTTCGAGATCTCGACTGCCGCTCTCTGCGGCCTAATGCTGCGCCAAAACGACTCCAAACGACTTTTCTAGAATGAGCTTCTTAAACTAATTTAACTTTTTTGTTGTTTTATTTTACTTATTTCTTCACTTTTCCTTTCACAATATTTTCTTTCCAAAATTTCATTTTTAAAAATATTTAATTAAATGTTTATTTCAATTTAGTAAAACTCATAAAATGCTTTCACGCTTACTAATCCAGCCACAAAATCTTCAATCTCTTCGTCAATTGACTTTGTCATCACTTCAGAATGCACGTTCTGCCTTCCGCAGGGGTGGATCTGCTTCTCCTTTCGGCCAATTTGTTATTTTTTTTAAATTTATTTTTAACAATTTTTTTTATTTTACAGACAGCAACATTTAAGGAGGCATTCGCTGCTCGACAGGCTGTTCCATCAATTCGTGAACGTTTGCTTGGTCCAACTACTGGAAAACGTAAATATTTTTTGATTCTCTTTTAAAAAACATTTTCTTCTTTTAAAGCATTCATTTACGGAACATATGCAATAGCCAGTACTTCTGCTTTTGGTATTGGAATGCTTTGTTATTATGGACTGACAATGAGTGCTGAAAGTGCTGTGGCCCGTTCTGTGTAAATTTCTTTTAAAAAAATATTTTGTTTCTATTTTTAAAAAGTCTTTGGCCTGATTATGTTCGTGAACGTCTACATACAACCTACGCTTATTTGGCCGGAAGTTTAACAATTACTGCTTGTGCTGGTATTACAGCGGCACGTAGTCCAGCAATTTTGGCGTTGACTAGTGGCCCTTCTTTATTTGTTTTTAATTTATTTTTTAAAATTTATATTTAATTACAATTTAGGTTTGGTTAGGCTCTCTAGCTGCAATTGTGGCGACTGGATTGATTGTGCAAAAGATTGATTATTCGAATACTTTACCAAAACATGTAAATTTTTAAAAAATAAAATTATTTAAATAATTTTTTAGTTGGCTTGGGCAACACATTGTGCTGTTTTGGGGGCAGTAATTGCCCCATTGTGTTATTTGGGAGGTCCTGCCTTAATTCGTGCAGCTTGGTACACAGCTGCTATTGTTGGAGGTTTTAATTTTAACGAAATTAATTTAAAATATTTTAAATTTATTTTTAGGCCTTTCTGTCACAGCAATGTGTGCCCCGTCTGAGAAATTTCTGAATATGGCTGGCCCTTTGGCTATGGGATTGGGTGTTGTATTTGTTGCCTGTTTGGGATCATTTGCTTTTCCACCAAACACTGCATTAGGAGCTGGTTATTTTTTAAGTTTTTTTTATCAAAATTTCCCTCATTTTTAAAGGACTTGCTTCGATTGTTGTTTATGGAGGATTAATTTTGTTTTCGGCTTTCCTTTTGCATGATACTCAACGAGTGGTTAAAATGGCCAGTTCGCAGTCGATTTATCCAGTTGGTGGTCGATTCATGGGAAATGACCGTTTTGATAATGGAATGGTTCGTAAATATGATCCAATAAATAGGTAGAAATTAATTTAAAATTAGTAAATTAAAAATATTTAAAAGTCAACTCTCCATCTATATGGACATTCTAAATATATTCATGCGTATGGCAATGATTATGGGAGGTGGAGGACAGCGCCGAAAATAATTTTAAAGAAGTATAAATTAGAAAAGTAAATATTTTTGTTTGGGGATTTGAAAAATAATTTAGTTAATGATTATCTCTATGTGAAATTAAATTCTGTATCTGCTCATATTTTTCTAAATATAAATATTTAAAATAATTAAATATTTAGAAATACTCTTAAAAATTAATTTTCTTTTCTGCAAATCTTTATTATAAAATTAAATCTTAATTAGGGTTGGGCCTGCCCCGAGTTTTTTTCTGTGTCCAGGGCTCAGGGTGCAGTCCATTCGACAAAATAACCCAAAATCCAGGCCCAGACTTTAAGAATCTTCATCTTTATTTTCTAATACATATGTAAATATTCTTTAATCATTAATTTTATGCCTTCAAAACAATAAAAATAAATATATTTTTTGTTTGCAAATTCTATTTAACCTAGCCTGTAGTTCCATTTATTTTTAGAAAGTAAATCCACATTTGATGGAAAACAGGTTTATCACCACAATTGGTTGGCCTATAATCAAAAGTATTTTTAACCTTTCCCTCTCTAATAATGAGAAAATAAATTACTTTTGTTCAATTTTATTAAAAATTCGATGAATGTGTTTGGCCGTTGCTCTCCAAAATTTGCCCAAGTAGAAAAAGTATTCAGGCAAATACTGAATTGATATATTTTTTAGTTTTAATTTATTATAGAAAAAATTTCTCGGATGGTTGGGAACGAGAAGGTGCCTCAGTTGCCATCTTCTGGCAAGGTCAATTGGTTGTTGATCTATATGGAGGATTTGCGGATAAATCCTCCAAAGCTGAATGGAGGGAGAATACGCGAACTGTTCTATTTTCAGCTTCAAAGGCACATTTTAAAAATTATTTCCCCTAAATTATTTTTTAAAATTCCAATTGAACAGACAACTTAGTTTTCTAATATTTTTTGTATTTCGGTTGAACGAAATAAAAGGGCAATTGAATACATAATTATTCTTGTAATTTAATAAATTATTGAACTTTCTGATACAGGCTGTTGCAGCTCTCGCAGTTCATATGCTCGTTGAAAGAAATTCTTTAGCTTATTCAGATGCTGTTAGCAAATTCTGGCCTGAATTTGCGAAAAATGGAAAGGAGAGTGTAACTATAGAAGATATACTTAACCACAAGGCGGGATTGGCAGCTATCGATACACCAATTCTTATTAAAGATGCTTTATCTAATCCAAAGAAGATTTCAGAAATACTTGAAAATCAAAAACCTAATTGGGAACCGGGCACAAAAAGTGGATATCATGCTGTTTCTTTTGGTTGGTTAACTGACCAATTAGGTAATTTTAAAACAAAATTACTTTAATTCCAAATAACAGTAAGGAGGATTGATTCAAAAGGTCGAAGCATGGCTGAGTTTGTACGCGAGGAGATAACTCATAAGCATGGTGGGAGTCAAAAAATATTTTAAAAAATATTTTCATTTCAGATATTGACTTTCATTTGGGTCTTCCACTAACAGAATCCTACACTGTCTCTCGTAAGTAAAATTAATTAGAATATTTGAAATTTTCTCACTTCAGGCCTCTCAATGCCTAATTGGGTGTATATAATGCGAGAAGTCTTTTATGATCCACGAACTTTGGCTTTTCTAGGAATTTTACACATTAGGAGTAAAAACTCTTTACGCTCACGTATGGCTAGAAATCCTGAATGGATTAATATTAATTCGGTATTAAAAATAGATTAATTGCCTATATTTTTGTATTATTTTTAAGAAAATATGTACACTAAATAATCCGGAGATTTTTCCTATTGAACAAGCCGGCGCTTTGGGAATAGGGAAGGCGAAGGACCTTGCCTGTATCTTTGCAAAGTTGCTTTCTGGCGAGTTTTTATCTCGTAAAACACTTGAATACATCAGTCGTCCACAGATGATAAACCAGCGTGATTTTGTGTTAATGGTGCCTGTGAATAAGGGAAATGGATTTATGTATGAAAGGCACCCTTGCAAAAAAGTAGAAATAATTCTTGACATGAAAGTCTTTCCCTTTCCTTTTTTAAGGATAAATGGTTATTTGGACATCCTGGTTTTGGCGGGACTTCAGTAATGGTATCACTTGATGATCAATTAGTAATTGCCTATGTAACTAATGGACTAAAAACGGGGATGGGGGAATTAAATGGAACATATAGACGAATTAGAGATGCAGCATTTAATTCAATTAATTAATTGTTTTAAATAAAAAATAATATTTTTTAATTCTTTTTCAACTTCTTCTCCCTCTCCCTTTCCTTCTTCATTATTAAATAAATTAAAATCCCAATTTTTATATTCATCTAAAGCACATTCAGATTCTTCATTATCAATTCCTTCAATAAATACAAATCCTCTCTTTTGTCGAATTTTTATTTTTGAATTAATTCTGACGGAAATAATTGAGGAATTTTTAAAATTATTTTTAAAAAATTCAAAATCTGTAGGTCTACGACAATCAGAAATTAAAATTATTTCTTTAAATTTATTTGTTGTTGAAGGATTTGTTGGTAGTGTTAGAGGTAAATTTTGAATTTTTCTTTCAATAAAAGCTTTTCTAAAAAAATAAATATACTCCTCAACTTTCAATTAATTTACCTACAAAATATTCCAAAATCTTCTCTTCTCAATTTTTCTCCAAATTCAATCATTTCTTTCCTAACCAATTCTTTAGCCTTTCCATCACTCATTAAATCATTAAAATTTAAATTATTAATTTTAGCATATTCTTTCTTTAAAGGCTCGCTTAATGTGCAAATTGAAGTAATTATTGAAGGAAATTGTTTGTTGAGTAAATTAACCAATTGACGAGTTACATAATCCAAAAATTAAATTTTTTATTAGAAATAAGCTAATAAAAAATATCTAAAAAGAACATTTAGTCAAGGGCGTATCCAGGGGACAGTTTTGTATATGAAGTTTTTTATCCCCAGCAGGAATCCGGCAAAAATACCTGCTACGTTGTACTTTATTTTATTGTAAACGTCTCAAAGTCATCATTAAATTATGGAAGGAAAAATAGACTGACCATTTCGTACTTCAACTAAATTGCGGACTTGGGGGGGGGGGGGGGGAGATAGTACCCCTTTCCCTTCCCTAATTTTAAAAATAACCTTTACAAAATATTTAAATACCTTTTCCCGATTTTCTTTTGCCAGAAATACCTAAAAATATAAAAGCACTCCCCTCCTCAAGATTACAATTTTTACCATTCATTTATCCTTAAAATTGCGCATAAAAATTGCTAATTTAAATAGCAAAAAATAAGCTTTTTAAAGATTTTTACTTTTTTAAAAAAGACAACCAAAAAAATTAAATTTTAGAGAAAAGTCACCACAAATCGAGAAAAAGAAAAGAAAAAAATAAAATCTTTTTTAAAAATTTCTTCCTTCATTTTCTTGTCACAAAATTAGCCTCCCCCAACAATAATATTATTGATTGGAATATGTATAAGCTTTACAAAAAAACCAATAAATCCCATAATTGCAAACCCAATTGCTGTAGCAAATGCTATTTTTTGATATTCTAAAAATAAAATTTTAAATTTATTTTAAAAGAAACGAAAAAACCTTTTCGATCCGGTTTTGTGCATTTTTTAACTAGTCGAATTGAATCTTTTGCAAATTTCTTTCCAGGATCAATAACAGCTTGAACATGCTCCATTTTTTAATTTAATTTTTTTTTAATAAAATTAACTAAAAAAAGAATTTAAATAATATAAAAATTTTATTTATTCCATTAACAAAATTAATAAAATGAAAATAATAAAATAAAAAAAATTTTCTTTGTCGTTTCTCTATTTTATTTTATATTTATTAAAACTACAATTTATCGAAACGAAAACGCGCAAATTTAAAATTTTCGAATTTTCTTTTTTTTTTTAAATTTATTGTGTAAATGGATGGATAATTTAATAATTAATTAGGTAATTACTAAATATTTTGTATATCTTCTTAATAAAGCTAAAAAAGAAAACAAGTTTTAACAGAAAAATAAATTTTTTAAGAAAATCGATTTATTAGCAGTGATTTACGCATCTTCAAAGACTAGAAGGGAGAGATGGTGGTCGTCGGCGGCTATTGACTGATCGATGGTTATTAAATATCGGCACAAAAAGAGAATGTTTTTGTTTAATTTTTAATTTTAAATATTTTAAAAATAATGTTAATTTGGAATAATAAAATATTAATTAAATTATTATTTTTAATAAATTTAATAAAAGGATTACCTCAAAATTTGGATCCTTTTTTAGAAAAATTATTTGAAACACCTGAATGTAAGTATTATATTCTCTCTCCTTTTTTTTTTAATTTATTTAAAAAAAGGTGAAGTATTTATTTCTGACAGCTCTTTTTTGGCTGTTTCAACAATTGAATGTCATCCTTTTAAATGTAATTTCCCCTACCAACTTTGTATGCGTCCATCTAACCAATATCAAAATGAAGCTGCAAATAATTGTCGAGAATTGCCAGAAAAATGTTTAATTGCAGCAAATGAAGGAAAACCTTTAGAAACACCAAAAACACCACCAACAACAATAAAACAATTAAACATTACTTCTTCTTCTTCAACAACCCTTCCAATCCCCCAACCTAATATTAATCAACAAATAACTTCAATAAAACCACCCCAAATCCAAATCCCCCCAAAAGGCAAGTAAAATACAAAAAAAGAAAAATAAATTATAAGATTAAGAAAAAGGTCCAAAACCCCCTTTACCTCAACCAATTATTTCCAATCAGTTAACAATTTGTGATCAATTACCGGCTGAAGGTCGTTTTTGTGGATTTCGTTTAAAGTTTGCCTTTAATAGAGAAACACGGACTTGTGATCAGGTAAAATGTGATCAAGTTTTACTTTCAACAAAATTTCCAGTTTTGGTTTCCTGGTTGTCGAAAAGAAGGAAATATTAACTCTGATAATCTTTTTGATACATTTAATGAATGCATAAAAGCTGTTCAATATTGTATTAAAGGTGTTGATTTTTATTTTATCAATTACAGAGGAAATGTTTTTGGTTTTTTTCTTTTAATTGTAAGTTAAGAAAGTGTAAGGATGATTCACCTAAAGCATTTTAAACGCTCAGGCTTTTTCCTTTTAGATCGCTTAAACGATCTAAAAGGAAAAAGAGAACGAGTTACTCGATACCCCAGTAGATCAGTGGAAGAGCTCCTGCCTCTTCCACTGATCTACCTTTATGAGAACGATAAAACATTAAACAAAGAATAAACATTTTATAAAAAATCTTAATTATTATTTTTTTACTTTAAAAGAATTACCGGTTCAACAACATAAACCTCAGCCAAACGAAGAAAACATTCATTCTCTACCAATGCCGACAGAAAACCATCTGGGGAATAATTTTAGAGGGCAACTTCCCCCACCCCCTTCTATACAGACTGGAAATAGAGGAATCGAAACCCCTTTTGGACAGGCTGGTTTGAAAATAAATTTTTAAGAAAAATTTGTAGAAAAATTTGTTTTTGTTAGGTCAATTTATTCGTTTAATAACTAATACAATAAGAGAAGTTAGAGAAAGAGGGAATAATGGAGGAGGTGGAGGTGGGGGAGGTGGAGAAGGAAATACTCAACAAGGTATTCGTTTTGATCCAAGTCAATTAGGCGGTCTTCTTCAATCATTGTTTGTTAAATAATCGAAATAAATATATTTATTTTAAAAATTTTTTAGAGGTGGAAAATGAATAAAAGGAAAAGAATTTTTAGAAATTAAAGAAAATTTATTTTTAATTAAAATTAAATTTATTTTGATAATAATAAATAAATTATTTTAAAAAGGCAATTATGTATGTCAATTAATTTATTTTGTTTTTTTCTTTTCAATTTGTTTTTGTTGTTGAGGTGATTGTGTTTGACTCTTTTTCCGTCTAAATTCAAGTTTATTTGTTTCTACAATTTGTGGGAGAGAACTTGAGCGAAGTGTTCGAATCTTTAATTTTTTTAAATTTAAAATTTAATTATTTAATGTTTACATGTGCCAAATAAGCATCTTTAATTTCGTAAATTAAAAAGGAAATTAGTAAAGACCATTGGGTTTTTAATTTTCCATTTTTTTGATTAGCAAATGTTTCGAGCATTGATTGTTTAAATGATAACCATCTAGCTGCTGTAAATGAAAGTTGTTTTACTTGACAATGTTGCCTTCCAACCATTCTAATAATTTGTACAAGTTCCTCTTCTCTTCCATGTTTCTAAATTAATATAATCTACATAATTTAAATTTAAAAATAACTAAACAGGTAATAAATCCATTACTGTTGTCAAAAAACGTTGAAATTTACAGACATGTGTTCTGAAAGGAGTTTTTCTTCTTAATTCTGCTTCGGGTATTCCAGACATTCCAAAAACAATTGGAATATTTAAATCTATATGCTTTTTTTAAAGAGTAATTTAATTTTAAAGAGGGAATTTTCGAAACAAACCAAAAAAAGGCGCAAAAACATTTTCTTAAAAATAAAAATATTTCTCTAAATTTAATTAAAATAACCTCAAAATGATCATATTTATTGGGTAAAGAAGCAAAAGAATTACTTAATCTTTTTTAAAAAGAATTATTTTTTTTTTATTTAAAAATTTAAATATATTTAATAACTGTTCACATTCATTATCATCTAATTGAAGTTCTCTGCCAGAATGTTTTGAACAAATACGTCTTGAAGGTAGATCAGAAGATAAATCTAATGAAGCAATTGACTGCCTATCAAGACTTTTTCCACTTACACTTCTACTTAGTCTTTTCCTTTTTTAAATAAAAATAGTTTAATTTATGTATTGAAATTTAATAAAAGTTTTTTTTGGGTATCCTCTCGAATTTTAAAAAGCGGAAGGGTAAAAAACGGAATTCTGTGTAAGGAAGACTATCCTTATGTTAGTATTTAGATATATCCGGAACCAAAATCAGCGCAATCAGACTTGATTGGAAAAAGTTATGGCCATTTGTTTTTACTCCTTACATAGGGTCTACGCGTTAAAAAGCTTTTGCTGCTGCGGAGGAAGACGGCATGGCATTCGGTCGCCGTTCGCTTCGCTTGCGGCGACCGTAGCGAGCACGGCCATCGTGTAGTAAGAGCATGACCAGCCTACCCTCCGTAGGAGCACAAAGAATTTTCCAGTGAAAATTCAATTAGTCTTAACTTTGATCAGAATTATCCCATCGAGAAGATTTTGGTGTCACTCGACTCAGCTCGAGGAGCACTTTCGAATGATATATATTTTGACCAGAACATGGAATTCAGGGTGATGGTTCGAACCTGCGTGGGAAATTAAATTCTCAATCTTAACATAAGCTTTGTTCCTTATATATAAATATTGTATATTAACTGTATTTTAGTACATAAAAGGTTTCTTAAAAGTTAAAAAGCATCGAGAAGATTTTAATAATTCTATGTGAGGAATTTATTCGCTAAAAGATAAACTTACTTTTCTCGATACCTATTTCTAGCTGCCATAAAGCTTTGTGCAGCCGCTTCAATCATTATTTAATTTAATTTAAATTTTAAACTTTAAAAAACAATAAAATCTTCAAAAAGAAATTTTTAGCATTTAAAAACCAAAAAATTATTTATAAACACCAAAAAATCAAAAAAAAGTGCAAAAACACCCCAAACATTTCTTTCCTTTCCCTTTCATTTTAAAGTTTTTCCTTTCAATCCCTAGAGACTCATCGATGGTATTCTCGACAGTTTTTCTTTTACAATGATGTTTTGTTCTTTTTTTAACGTTGAATGGAGGAAGAAGAAGACGATTCATCTTTTTTTTGTTTAAAGAAATAAACGAAATAAAATTTAAAAAAAATTTAAAAAAAATATTTAGAAAATAAATAAAAATTTAAATTGTTTTTAAATTTTAATAAAATTTTAATAAATTTTAATTTCGAAAAAATTAAAGAAAAATTAAATTTTTAATTATTAAATTCATTTTTTAAAAGAAATTAATTCTAAATCAAGTTTACTTGCGTACTTTAATAGTTTTGAACTTTTAAATTTCAAATTTAAACAAAAATATTCCCAATAAATATATTCAATATCTAATCTTGTTTGTCCAAAAGTCTAGAATTATTTTTCTTTTTAAGGCTTATCCATCCATCCATCCATTAATTTTAGCATCAACAAGCTTTAACTATTTTTAGTTATTTGAACTCTGCGCTTGACCAGGCAATTAGGCCATTATTTAGAGAGTGTTCGTGCCTGTTTATTGTGTGGAAAATTGGACAGAAAACAGAAGAAAGAATGAATGGACAGCTGACTTTTTTCAATTCAACAAGTAGATGGATATATTTTACTTTTTGGAAAAAGAGGAAATACAGGAAGGATAGGGGGGGTGGGAGGGGGGTGGAGGGTGGTGGAGGGTGGAGGGTGAACAGAAAACATGACGAGTTTATAGAGGGGGGAATGAAAAGTGGCAGATGTGCGCGTGTTTTCTTTCCCCAAAATTATTGTTTTCTTCTATATCTTCCTTCATTGGCATGTGCCACATTAACAAATAACCGTTGCAAATATTTGGATAAATGTTAAAAATAAAATTTATTATTTTTTGTTGCGCGAGGGATGTAATTGGGGGTATTTGGATTGAAAATAAAGTAAAGAAAACAATCAACATCTGTCAGTTAAATTTATAGAAAAAACTTGAAATAGGTACACAAAGTTTTAGATAGAAAAATAAATTTAAATGAATAATTGGGCTGAAGAACAAAAATTATTAAAATTAATTATTAAATAAATTTAAATTTTCAAAGAAAATGTTGAACTTTTATTTTTTTATTTCATTACTCCCTTTAAAAAATAATTTTTGGATAAATTTTCAATAAAAAAATAATTTTTATTAATTTTTGTTTATTTTTTTTTTGAATTTTTAGTCAGAAATTACTATATTCACTCATAAAAACCAACGCAAAATTTTATTTTTCGTTGTCAATAGATAGGATTTACACAAAACCCTCCATTTCTTTTAGATTGGCCATGAATATATAGAGTACTATAACTAGGACATTTTGGAATTTTTAAATACTTTTTGTGCAAAACTAGATGACCGGTCACCACCACAACAATCTCTTCTGGAGAAAAAAAGAATGAGAAAATACCCCCTCCCTTCCCCAAAATTCTTGCCTCTCACCTGCCCTCCTCCTTTTTTTTTAATTCCATCCAAATATAAACGAACATCTGCCCTTCTATATCCTCCTTCTCTCGTTTATTTATTTTTACTGGCCATAGAAAAATTAAAAACGGGAACGAGCGAATTTTCTGCGCAAATAAACAATTTATATATTTGGAATGTTTTTAAAAAATATATTTAGAAAATAATGTCCGGAAATAGAAAATGCAAAAGTGGTCAGAAATGGCGGGAACGGTTAAACAATTTTGGATGACAGACTAATATTTATATTTTAATATTTTTTTGGCATTCTTGTCATCAGCAGATGGATATTTTTAAATAAATTTTGAGGCCAGAAGGGTTTACTATGTATTTTAGCTTATTTATGTATTTGAAAAATAATTTTTTGTACGTTATAAAGTTTTTGTGCAGGGTGACAATAAATTATTAGGACAAATTAATTATGCTATAACTTTCTTCAAATTAAAGATAATGAGACTACTAGCAATATTTTCTGCAATTTAAATTCAATTTCTTTTTGTAATCATTGCTGCAGAAAACTGATCTAAAATTCCAGAATAAACTGTAAAGTCAATTATTTGTCGTAAAATTGACAGAAAAAATTGATAAATAAATTTAATAATTATTTTCTAATTTTTAGAAAAAAAAGTTTTTCTCATCTCTTCTATCAAAATTCAAAAGATTACAGTATATACATATAAATATCTTCTTTTCTTTCCTTCATTTTTATAGGTAGTAAATAGATGGCGCAATTCATCCAATTGCCGGTTAAGTAGTTAATAAATACAAAAAATTACTCTTATGAAAGGATAAGAATTTAAAAAAAATTTTTAGAAAGAAGGGGAGGAGCAGATGTTTGTTTTTTACTAAATTTATTTATTTTTAATTAGGCAGCCAATAATTAAAAGTTTTGATTTTTTAAAAAATTATTTTTATTTTTTTCTGAAATTATTTTTTTTTAAATTTATGGGTTATCCAATGAAATCACCAAAATGGAGGAAGTATAACCATTGCATGGGGATTCAGTATGTTATGAAAGGAAAGTTAGTATTGTACTTCTGTATTATCTGTGCTCACATTTATCTTCAAATATCTAATAATATAAATCCGTTGAGAATCGTTATACTAGTAAAAATGAAACTAAGTGAAACTTCATCTGAAAAACTGTTTTGTGCTGGTAGAAAGTTGGCATGGACATATTATGGACATACGCGCCTGCATTGTGTTTTTTGACATTATCTGCGCTCATAAATGTTTCAGATCTCTAAGAAGAAAACGCAATTTAGCTGAAAATTTATGGCCCTATCCTTTTTTGATACTTCCTTTTCCATCCATACTCTATCCATAAACAATGATAATCCAAATATCCAGGATCAATCTTCTCTTTAGCCATCATGGAAATTAGGCAAAGCTGTCAACTAATCAATTGATAACCTGAGGAAAACTAAGGAAAATGGAGGCAAAGGAACAGAGACATATTGCAAAATGCTAGCTATAGCAGGACATTGGCTACAGTAAAGATCCGGGCTTTTTAACAGATTTTTTTAACAGAGTTTTTTTCCTAAATTTTTAGTAATAATTTCCATGAATTTTTGATTTTCATTTTTGTGCCAAAATATTAGCTTTTATAGAATTACTAAATAGGTATATACCTACATATGTATATTGCTTTTCAATAACAACAAAAATAAATTTATTTATTTATTTATTCAAAACAAAAACAAATCTTCTTTTCATCGACACATTGTCTCTGTATTTTTCATTTTAACTCTTCCATTTTTCTAATTTGCATTTTCGGCATTTTATTTTTGTTTACTTGTTAATTAGCTTTTAAAAATAATAATTTTTATTTTAAATAATATTTTTTGGAAGAAAATATTTAAAAATTATTAAAATTTAATTAAAAAAAAGTTAAATTTAGTAAAGTGTTTGGAATAAAAATTTCTAAAAAATGTTTTTTTCAAATATTTTCTTTAATTTATTCCTTTCCGCGGGATTTGTCTTAAAAATATTTTATTTCAGACAAGCTGAAGAAATTGTTTGTGGCCTTTTTTCGGCTTTAAAGCTAAATAATGATGGATTAATATATAAAATAAATATTTTAAATAAAAATAAATATGTATATTTGTGTGTATTTATTGAAAGTTTAATTTTTATATAAATAAAAAATAATTTAATTAAAATAACCCCCCCTCCCACCCTCCTCTCCCAATTAATTTTAAAAATCCAAAAAATAAATTTAAATTCTCTTTATTCCTTCAATTTTTTCCATTTTATAAATTCCCGACCTTATCGAGAAATAAAAAAAATTATTAGAAGAAAAGGACAGATGTTGTGTGTCCATAATTGGCACCGCCTCAATTTCTTTTTTTTCCTCGTCTTTGAATGTGAATGCTTGGTCATTGAAAGGCCACTGACTGCCAGAGTTTTGGATGAAGCGGGAAAAGTAAGAACGGCACTTTAAAGTATTCTTTAATTAGTCCTTTTTTAGAAAATTTTTTAACATTTTCCCGTTAATTTAGCATTTAAACTTTCATTTATTTATAAAATACATACAATTATTTTAAAATTAATTAAGAGTCTTAGAGGGAGTGGGCTACTTATGAAGACAATTAAAATATAATTCTATTCACTTATATAGATATTTTTTTAAATTAAAAACAATAAAAAAATGTTGCCTTCTTCCTCATCATTATTACCTTCTATACCTTCTTCAACAACATTCTCTCCTTCTCCCTTAAATAATTTATTATTATTTAATTCTCCTTCTTCTCAACAACAAAATAAATATTTAAATTCCCTTAATTTATTACAATCAACAATACAAACTTTAAATTTCCAATTAATTTTGGATCAACAAAGGCAACAATTAATAGAAACAATTAAATATTTTTTACAAAAAAGAGAAGAAGAAGAAAAAGAAAAATATTTATTTAAAAAACAAGTAAATTTAAAAATAAAAATTATTTTTAAAAATTAATTTAAGGAAGAAATTAAAAATAACAAAATAATTAATTTACAAAATGAAGAATTTAAAAATAAACAAAAATTATTAAAAAATGAAGAACAAGAATTGATAAAAAATAATAAATTAATACCAAAAGAAAAATTAAAAAGAAAACGGAAAAGACAAGAAATTGAGACAGATTCTCCTGTTTCTGGAATGTTTATTAAGGTATTTGGAATATTTAAAAAAATATTTAAAATTAATTTTAAAAAGGATTTTTGTGACGAGGAAGAACTTAGAAAAACTGCAAAAGCAGCTAAACTTCAATTGGATGACTCGGCTTCTTTTGTAAAAATTTCAGAAGGAGCTAGAAAGGCTATTGCTTTAATTCCGGATGTTATTGGGGATTCTAAATGTGCTTTGTGTAAAATTAAATTTGAAGATGTTTTTCGTCTAGCAATGCATAAATGCCCTCGTATTCAACACGAAGAATATAAATGTAAAGAATGTGAAAAGGTATGGTTGTGTTGAATAAATAAATTATACATATTTTAGCATACTATTTAATTTATGCTAAAATTTATTTAATTTAAGTAAATTTTGAAAATAAATTTATAAAAAAATTTTTTAAAAACATTGGTTATCCTCGGTCCTCGACCTCGGTTCGGGTCTAAATTTGTTCCTCGGCTTCGTCTTTGCCAGCCTCGGTGATCCTCGGTCTCGGGTTTTCAAAAAACCTCTAGCTCGCGCTATTCTACTCCGAATCTAGATTTAAGCCCCAAAGGCAAAAATTTTGAAAAAATTTGGGCATTAAAAGAGGGGGTCATTCTATTTTTCAATCATTAGAGATAATGCCGTATCTCTTCTTTCCTTTAAATAATCTCTAATAGTAAATTATAATTATTCTCTCTTTTATTTTCTTAAAATACAGTAATTAAATTAAAATACTAAAAGGGTGGCAGAAAATAAAAGAAAAAGGTTATTTATTTATTGTCGGCATTCAAAAAAGAAAGAAAAGACAAACAATAAACACAAAAATCTCGAATATTTCAAGTATTTTAAAAACATTTCTTGCTTATCCTCACAGCTTGAAAACATTTAAAAAGGCAAATGATTCGGTCTTTTTCTGATTTTAAAAGGCATGAGTAGAGAATTCCAGCTGGGCGTTATTAAATTTATTTTTGGCTTTTGATTTTTTTATAAATTCTAATTAATTTAATAGAAAAGAAAATAATAATTATTTTATTAATTTAATTTTAAAAATACATATTTACTCTTTCTCTTTAATTTTCTCTTATTTTAAAAACAAAACTACTTAAATTCTTTCGAAAAAAAAAGATTGTCAAGTTATAACTGTTTACATTGTTCCAAAATAAAATTAAGAATTTTGTAAAAAAACATTTAGCTCTTTCCAAAAGGAGAAATTAATTCCTTTTATTTTTTAGGTATTTAGTTGTCCAGCAAATTTAGCTTCTCACAGGCGTTGGCATCGTCCAAAATTGGAAGAACAAAATCAACAAAAATATAAAAAAGCAAAAGAGAATATTCAAAATAACAATTTTTGGATTAAGTAGAGAATGCCTTTTTAGTAATTATTTCACTTATTTTTTCTTTAAACATTTCCAATTTTTATTTACCACAAAAATTTAAGTTCATGACAGAAATGTCTATCTAGTCTTTAATGTATAATTTTCTAAAAATTAAAAAATAAACTCTTCACTTAATACATAATTATTTGTTTATTTATTTAAAAGCCTTTTCATTTATTTTAATGCCTAAATATTCTTTAAAAATGTATTTTTTATTTTTTTATTTTCAAAAGATAAAATATTTTTTCTCTCTCAAAGTGTAAAATAAATAAAATGTTAAAATTTAATAAATTATAAAAACATTTTTGATAATAATTGTTTAAACAATATTTATAAACAATATCCCCTGGTTGTATTCAGAAAAAATTTAAATTTTAATAGAATCATTAATAACATATTCCAAAGATTGAAGAGCCAATTGAGGGAATGTTTTACTTAATTCCTTCCATTCTTCACTATTTATAAAGTTTTTGTTGTTTTGAATATAAGTTTTGCAGGCCTTTAAAATAATTGTATTTTATAAATAATTTTTGGACAGTCAAACCTCGATTTTAAATGTTTAAAAAATAAAATGGAAAAATGAGGGGAAGGGAGGGGATATTTTAATTAAAGATTATTCAATCAAAAAAATTTTTAGAATTATTAAATTATTTTTAGATTAAAAAATATCAATTGGTTGCTTGTTCAATTCCATTAATTTTTATTAAAAAAAACTCGTTAAAATTATCATAAAAGAATTTATTTAAAATCGATGTTCGACTGTAGAATTTAAAATAAAAAAAACTTTTAAAAATTCCTCACCTTTTCCAAAGTCGGAGCCCCATATAATTGAATAATATTAAAATATTTAGAAATATTTTTGGCATCTAAAAATTAAAAAAAAATTTATTTTTAAATTCCCCCCCCCCCCCACCAATTTTCGAACACATAAATCGTTCACATTCATGTTTCAACAATTCCACTTGATATTTATTTGCAACAGCAAAAATATCATCAACATGATTCTCCATTAAACCTTTATTTAATTTGTAATTAAAAATATTTATTTTCAAAAAAAAACTTTTATTAATATTCCCTGAATAAAAAAATTCCAGCATTGCACGAAAACATTCGGGGGAAGTGTCAGAAATAAAAACTTCTCTCTAAATTTATTTTTTTAATTTTCTTTTATTTTTTAATTTTACTAAAAATAACAAAGCCCTAACATTTAATGATTCAATCATTCCATTTTGTTTAAACATATTATAAAATACTTCACTATTTTGAGCCAAAATACAACGATGAGTATTAATTATTTGATCCCCAATCTTTTTAAAAATAAATTTATTTTTAAATTAAAATTTATTTTTTACTTTAATAACACAATCAGTAAACATTTCCTGTTCAAACATTTTTCGATAAACATTAATTTGTAAATCATCAATTGGATTATAATAATCAATCTCCACTTCACAACACAAAACCAAAGTCCCTAAATTATTTCTTTCTAATCAAAAACAAAAATTTTCTCAAAAATCTGAACACCTTACCATTATCTTTAAGTAATTTTTTCAAAGAAACTTTGGAATATCCCATCTTTTCTTGATTCTCAAATTTGTGTGTAGACCTTAAAATTAAATTAATTAAACAAAATTCAGATAGACCCTTAAACAAAATTTAATGCTAAAAAGCACACAAATATTATTCAAATTATCCTAATCAAATAGCTCATTGATGGAGGGTTAAATTTTCGCAGGTCTTTTCCCAAATATATTTTTAATTTATTTACTTGGCTATATCAACATTTGTATTATCCTCTACAACTGCATAAATTTTATATTTAGTATTCACAAAATCATTCAATCCATTAGGCCCCAGTTGGCTAAGCCAGATGTGAATAATATCATTTTCTCCTTTGTTATAACTTTGGCTATATCCCCGACCATAATCGGACGAAGAATGGATAATTTCAATGAATAATTGCCAAGCAACCTTTGGAAATTCTGGATTTCCAAATCGATTACCTGAAAAAATTATCAGTTTCCTTTCCTTTTTTACTTCCCCAATTTCATTTCCATATGGCATTCATTCAGTCAATAAAGTAATTTAACGTAAAAAAATATAAAAACGAAAGGAATCTCGAGAATCTTGGACTACACGCAAAACGAAACTTTATAGATGCAGGGAGAACCACTATATAATTTACAGACCACCTATTTCCAAATAGAGGAAAATTGAGAAAGGAAAAAAATCTGAAAAACACTAAGAAAAAATGGCGAAGAAATTAAAAATTAAATACAAAAATTAAGGGATTACTTGCTAATTGTATTCTGCCGTTGGTACAAAGAGAAGATTGAATTCTCTTAATTTCTTGAACTGTCCAATTAATTTTGGAGGTAATAGTCTTCATAAAGCTATCCAATAAATTTGATCGTAATAAAAATTAAAATAGTTCTTGCAAGTTTGAATTGCTGACTTTTTAATCTAAAAATTTTATTTAAAAATAACAAAGTGAGAAATTGATTAAAGAATAATTATTTATAAATAAAGGAATGTTAGCAGACAAAAAAATTCTTTTTAATGACTAAAAAATAAACTAATCATTTATTAAATTTAAACAAAATTAATAAAATTAACACATTTAGAAAAATAATCAAATTCATCACAATTTTTATATTCTTTTATAATTTCCAAAAATTTTAAATTTTTTTGTTTATTTTCATTATTTATTTCTTCCTCTTTTTTTTCTTCTTCTTTCACACAAAATTCATTAATTTCTTCCAAAATTTCATTTAAATCTTTAAATTTAATTTTATCAAATAAATTTTGTATATTTTTATTCCAAAATTCATTAATTATTCCATTTAATTCAAATTCTTTTATATTTTTCCAATTCCACATTTTTATTGGAAAACGAGGGGTACGGCGATTCCTTCCAATTAAATTATTTTCTAAATATTCAATAAAATCTTGGCGTTCTTTAATATTTCCAAATTGAAGGAGAAGTTGATCGGCTAAATGCTCAAATCTTTGTTGGACATCCTAAAAATATATTTTGTTTAAATTTATTGAAACATCATTCGGTACTTTATGGATATGTCACCCCCCTCCTATTTTGAGTCTCAGAGTTTTCCTTAAACATAGAAAATGGTCAGAGATTATTTTCTTCTCCATGTCAATCATTTTTTTCTTCTTCAAGTATTTTGCTTGTTTATTTTGCCTTTTCACATATTTTGTACTTACATTTCACTCATTTCGTTTCAACATTTACCACATTTCACTTATTTTGCTTGAAGAAAGAAAAATGATTGACATGGAGAAGAAAATAATCTCTGACCATTTTCTACGTTTAAGGAAAACTCTGAGACTCAAAATAGGAGGGGGGGTGACATATCCATAAAGTACCCATCATTCCTTTAATTTTTAATCTTTTAGCCGCAAACTAAAAAATCCCATTAACAACTACTCTCTATAAAATTTACTCTAAACTTTTTGATTTTCATTTAAAAATCACTTTCAAATTCTCCTTATCATTTTATTTAGTTTTAGATACTTTATGGATTACCCTCACCATCTAATTTGAGTATCAGTTTTTTCAATATGTCTTGCTCGATTTCATTCCATTTCCTTTTGATCGATAGATTAAGAATTGGAAAATTAATATTCTTTATTAATGTCTCTCATTTGAATTTGCCAAAGGAAAATAGAATGAAATCGAGGAAGAAAGCACATATTAAAACTCTTATAATAAGGGGGGGGTATATCCATAAAGTATTTAATTTTTAAAAAAAATTACTTTAACATCACAAAATGCCAATACACAAAATTTCTTCAAAATCACTGCATACTCCTTTTCTTTTTCAAAACGTATAGCCAACCCTTTATTTTGAATTGCTTTCCACATAAACTAAAAGAAAATTTAATTAAAGAAAAATATTTAAACAAAAAAACTTTTAAAAAATAAAATAAAGATCCTCTTATTTGTGTTTGTGGAAGAAGTTTTCCAATAACATTTTCAATTTCCCTTTCAAAATTTATTATAAAATATTTTGGGCGCATTTCTCCAACAGCATTCAGAATGGCTAATAAAGCTGCCTGATAAATTTCTTCATTTTTATTTGGAAGAAGACAAAAAATAAAAGGAATTAATTGCTCTCTAAATTTTTTAATTTAAAAATAAATTCCAAAAAATTTACCTATAAAATCCAAAAATAATCCAAAGTTGGGGAAAAGTATCAAAATTTGTTTGGATATTTTCAGCTAGCCAAGTATCACAATTTGAAAGACGGGCAATATTTAAATTAGTTCCGTAAACAATTACTCTGTTAATGTCCCCAATTCCCGTATCAAGCAAAATATTTTTTTTATTTTTTTCTAAATTAAAATCCTCTTCGTCAACATTAATTTCCATACTCATTCCTTGTGATTTTCGTTTTCTTCGAATACTTGTAGCCAAAGATTCAAGTTTTGGAAGTATTGCTTTAGCTTCTTCTGAAGCTCCTTTAAAATTAAATAAACACAGAATTTATTTCAAAAAATTCCAAAGAAAAACCTGCAAGACACTGATTAATTATAACCATTGGGGAATGTGAAGAACAAGCAGCTATTTGAAGAATTTTATTTCGAATTTGAGTTGCTTCAACATCAATTTGTGAAGGAACACAAGAATGTTTTTGTGTCTCAATTATTTCATCCCCAATTGTTTTTGCCCTTCCCATACATTTTTGTGGTGTTCTATATTTTTTACAAGTCCAGTAAGTTGTCCCTTTTCGAGAAACTTCTTTGTTGTATTTATAGCCTTGATGAATTAACATTTTCTTTCCCCTCTCTGTTAATCCAAACATTTTTTAATTTTAAAAAATTTGGAAATTAATTTAAAAAAGAAAATTATTTTGAATTAAAAATGGGAAATAACCAAAAAAAAATAAATTTAAAGAAAAAAAATAAAAAAAATTTATATAAATTAAATAAAATTATTTAAAAACTTATTCTTTCACAACAACAAATTTAAAAAACATTTCTTTTATTTCTACAGGAAGACTAGCTTTTTCATCATAATCAAACCATTCCTACAAAAATTAAAACTTCCTTAAAATAATTTTAAAAACAAAAAAACTTTTGTGTTTAAGTCAATTTCCTCAAAATTTAAATCACTTTCCGTACTAGAACAGCTCCAACCAATACGCGGATCAAAATCAACGGGTTCTAACCCTCTACATTCAAATTTAACAATTGTTTGGAATTCTTCATTTTTGTCATTATTATAGGGTAAATAACTGCTTGGCAAAATTTCTTTTAAAAAAATTTAAAAAAATTAAAATTTAGAAGATTACCTAAAGTATTTACTCGTCCACAAAATGAGCATTTAATTGAAATATGACAAATTCCTTTACCTTTTGTTAAAGTATGTGTTTCCTAAAATTAATTTATTTTTTTAGTTAAATTTTAACAAAAACTTTAATATTTCCATAATGCCATCTCTCATAATTTTCCCCACATCCACAACATTTTAACTAAAAAAAATAAATTTGAAATAATAAAAACCCAAAAAAACCTTTAAATACCAGCGATGTTCTTCATAATTTTGAGGTTTTAAATTTGTAACATTTACAAGGTTTGCCTTCATTTGGAGAGAAATAATTGGCTGAAAATTAAATTAAAAATATTTTTATTAAAAATATACATTCTAATTAATTTTGATCTGAAAAAATAAATAAATTTTAGTTGAGTTTAAAAAACAGAACAAAACAGCTGCACAACCCGTTGAAGCCGGAGCAGTTTTCTTTTCGGGTATCGAGTACAAAAAAAGGCCGGGTTTCGGGTAACGGGTTTCGGGCAGCAACCCTGATGAGAACAATTAATTGACTTGAATTATGTCAAAAAGTCAGCAAGACTCTTTTGTCTTTACATTTATTTTCAGTCTCAGCACAAACCTAAACCTTTAGGCTTGCTTGTCAATAGAGTCTCGGCGACTTAGCATCGAAACGCCTTTTTCTATGCCATAACTTTTTTTATTTCGATCATTCCCAGATATTTTCTTTATCAATTAGAATCTATATTTGTTTTTATTAACTTTATGAAGGGATCCAGTCATTTCTTAGAAAGTTACACCCGCCTACGTATGTTAAATCACGATTATTCGCAGTTAACGGCTCCTAACTTTTTTTTGAAAAAGGTAAAACTAAACAATTTTTATGAAAAAATAACCAGTACATCCAGAGCTTTTAAATAAAGCAAAAATTATTTGGATTGATTTAAAAACAAAAAAGTTATATCCCAAAAACTTTCGTTTTGATGCCATATTTTAAGACTCTTTCGTTACCTGGTTACTTTTAGTCTAAACCTTTTGAAGCCTAAACCTTTAGGTTTTTTAACATTTGAGTCTCACCACGTCTTTAATTTTTTTAAATTCTAGCTTTTTTAATCGTTTGTTATTCCTAATTTGTGTAAAAAGATGAACTAGAACTGATATTCTGGTAATAGAAATCCCATAAATTAAGAATCACAATCACTCATTTTTTTTAAAAATTCGTTCCCTGAAGAAAAAAAAAGTCGAGACCAAGACCTCACCCTAAGACCGAAAAACCCCAAGAAAAGTCTAGAGTCAAGTATGAAATTTCAATAATTTGTAAAAATATAATTATTATTTGACAAAAAATATTTTTTATTTAATTTTGAGCAATATTTTTTAATAATTTATGGCAATAATAAAAATATTCTTAAATTAAAAAATTTTTTTTCTAAACATAAGTTCTTTTTTGTCTACAAATATATTCATTATTTTCTTTTGTTGATGTCCAAATATTTGGGGAGGATAACATTCCTTTATTTTGTTTTTCATTTTCTGTAGACATCCACTTTGGAAGAGTATTTGGAGGAGGAGGTGTTTTTAGTGGAAATTTATTTTCGCTTAAAAAATAATTTTTTTCAAATTTTTCTTTAAATTTAAAAACCTTTTATTATTTCCAAAATTATTTATTTTTTGTTTAATTTCTTCTCTTCCATTTCCATAACTATTTTCTCCTTCTTTTTCACAACAACAACAATTATTGTTAAATTGTTCTGGAGGTAAAGGTGGTGGTCGAGTAATCGGGGGAGGTAATCTATTATTGACTAATCTTTTTAAATAAGGAGGTTCTGCAATATCTTCTTGATAATCTGTTGCTAATTCCTTTAAATTTAAAATAATTTCTGTAAATATTCCCTCAAAAACCTCATATATTTCACTACTTCCATAACAACATGAAGGAGTACTTATATTTCTTGAAATAAAATATTTTGGAGATTGAAAAGCAACTGATTTGGAAGGACTTTTTGTAAATGAAGGCACCGGAATATTTTTGTTGTTTGGAAGAGGAGGAAGTGGCGGCAATTTATATCTTTAAAAATTAAAATTTTTAAAATATTTTCTGAAAAAAATACCTAGGAATATCACCATTACTTTTTATTTGTTGTGGATTTGCTAAAGAGAAAGTATTTGAATGTAAAAGCCAACAAAGTTTTGGTTTTTTAGGGATTTTTTGTTGTTGTGTATTTAAAGAATATGTTAAGCTATTGGCTAAAGTTTCTGTTGAAGAACGTTGAAAAGTAAAATGTTTTTTAGAATTGGATATTGAAGAAAATGCTGATGAAGAGGAGGAAGAATTTGAGGGGGAGGAGGAATCACTTTCTGGCATTTGAAAAGGAGTGGCTGAAGCAGGCGAAGAAACAACAAATGAATTGCTTTAAATAAAATAAAAGATTAGTTAAATAATTAATTAATTTTTATTTTGTTAACCGAAAATTACCCATAAGATTATCTATATTTAAATAATTTTTAATAACAAAATTTATTTTTTTTTAATTTTTCTACCAAAATTATTTTTTATTTTCTCCCCACTTTTTATAATTCTAAAATCAAAAAAGAAATCATCCTTCCAATAAATTTTATTTATTTTTGTGCCAAAAGTGTTAATATATTTATTTATTTAAATAGCCACAGCTGGCAACAAATTAAATTTACAAAATTTTTGTGTCTTTTCAATTCAATTTATTTATTTTTGGCTAGTTTTGCAAGTCAATTCAATTTACTAACAATTTTTCTTTTTCCTTCCCCTTCCTTTTTAACAAAATTCTAAAATGGCTTTATATATATATTTTGCCTAATTTGGACAACAAAAATAAATAAATATATTTTTTGTTTGTATTTTTGGTGCGCGAATGAAAATAGAAAAATTATTAAAGAATATAACAATAAATATTCTTCTTTCACCAATTTTCTAACCAATTTTGCCATTTTATATTTTTGAATATTTAATTATTTTTGTATTATTTTTAAATATTTTCTCTTTTTTTTGGAATTATTTAAAATAAAATTGATGGATTGGGGCTGAATTTTGGTAGAAGAAAATTATTGTAATTGAATATTGTATAGCGAAAGATGAATTGGAGAAAATAAATGAAGAGAAAATCTGAATGATTAATAAGAATTTTTGGAAGAGAGAGGGAGAACTGTTTTTAATTAAAAGGCGCTAAAAATGATAAATGGACTTTAATAATTTTCAAGGGCATTGTAGCCATATTAAATACTTATTTAGGGTCTTCTTAAATTTAATTCTAAATTTACTACCTTTTTCTATTTAATTTTTTCTTCTTTTCTCCTCCATTATTTTGTGTTCTTCTTCTCCTCATTTCCTCCTCTTCTCTTTTTTTTCTTCTTTTTCTAATTAAAATAATTAATCCAACAAATATACTGAAAATACAAAAAAGAAAAATAGCCAAAAAAGGTAATAGCCAATCACCGCCAAATAAAAGTTTGGATAAAAAAGAAGGGAATGGTGAAGGTTTTAAACAAGAATAAAATTGTTGGGGATGAAACTAAAAAAATAATTAAAAATGATTTAAAATTAAAAATTAACTGAATGTTGTTGTTGTTGAATATCTTCAATTAACAAATGTAAAATAAGAGAGGGATCTGGAGGTGGGGGAATATCAAAAATTGGTGGGGGAGGAATACAAGAATTACAAGGCATTTTTTAAATAAAAAGAGTTGTCTTTAATTGAGCTTAAAAATATCTAAATAATTTTTAAAAATTAATAAACCCACAAAAAAATATGTACATAATATTTTTAGCAAATCTTGGTTAGCTTTTAAATAATAAATAAATCCAAATTGTTAAAAGAAAAACAAATGCCAACAGATGAGGACACGAAAATAAATAAAAATAAATTTATTTGTAAAAAAAGGACAAAAAGAAAAGTCGCCGAAAAGAAAAAAAAGAAAAAAAGAAAATCAGATTTTTAGTTTTTTAAAAATACTTAAAAGAGGAAAGGATGAGCAAAAAATTGGGAAAAGAAGAAAAAAATAAAATCTAAAATTCTCGAGAAAAAGTCAAAAAAGAAATTCCTTTTATGTATTTTTTTGAAGTCTAAAATTTTGTGATGCAATAAAAAATGGGAAAAAATTTTTGAAAAGATAAAAAGGGAGAGAAAGGTGCTAAAAAGGGGATTAAATAATGAAGAGAGAGAAAATCTGATAAAAATTATATAAGTTTAAAAAGGAAGAGTTGGTTTAAAGTTTCTCAAGTATTTTCTTTATTTTTATGTTTTATACATACCTACATATATTAGAGAATTAAAGAATTTATTAAAATTTTATAAAAAGAATTTTAAAAATAAAAATATATTTAGTTTCTTCACAATTCTGTTCCTATTTCCATTTAGAAAAATCTGTCTCTCTCGACTCTGAGGAATATATAAATATTTTGTATATGACTTATTACCGCTTGAATGAATTGAAAGAAGGAAAGATATAAACTAGTAAATAATAATTTTCTTTAAGAACCCCCCTCACCCCCCCCCCTCCCCCCTCAACAATTCATCAATTTTTTCTTCGTATGTTGCTTTTCTTTTTTACCTTTTAAATTTTTAATGCATAATTTAAAGCAAGGGGCCAAAAAGGTTATTTTACGGGTAAACGGAGAACAAAAAAAGGCATGGAAATTTAAGGTTTATTAAAAAGGTTTTAAGTAGTTTTTTAGAGAAATTTTTTAAAGAAAGATTTGTGGAAATTTATTTAGATTTAATTTAAAAATAAAATGAAAAATTTTTATAAAAGAATAATTATTTAAAAATAAAAATATTTTTAAAGAAATTATTATTTTTAAGAGTTTACTACCTATAAAAAATATTTCCAAAAAATTATTAAATACTACGCACCTGGGTGTTTTGAAAGATATCAACAGTCAGAAGAGGGAAGGAAGGATTATTATTCCCCCCCCCCTTTTTCCTCAATAAAAAAAAGAAATTGCCAATTTCTGCGCGGAAAAGAAAGTAATTGGCAGGCAATTTTCGGGGATTTCCGATGAGTTTATTGAGGAGGAGGAGGATAGTTAAAAATAAAAAGCAGATGCTCAAATCCTCCAAGTCAATTGCTTTTTCTTTTTACACACCTAAACAATAAAAAAATAAATAAAAATATTTGTTTGTACCAATCGGCTGGAGGTCATTCAAATAATAAATATTTTTGTAGTTATTAAAATTGCAATGAATATTGAAATAAGAGAAGGGAAGGGAGAAAATTAACTATAGAACATACATAATGTATATTGTGCAGTAATTACAAAATATTTTAATAATTTTAATGACACAAAAAATTTTTATTTGCCCTCCTTTTTCCAACTTAAATTATTATTTTTCGACTTAATTGGTCACAAAAACAAACATTTTTGGACAAAAAATTTTGGGCACAAATAAAATGGCTGGTCAGTTTGTTGGCTTTTCCTTCTTTTGGTTTTTGTAGAGTTTTTGGTAAAAGCCCTAGGGGGTACTCGCGCAAATTAATATCCTGTGGGGAAGGAAAAAATAAAATGTTTGGAGTAGTGAAAAGGAATAGTGAGGGAATGAGGAAAGAAGGTAAAAGAAGTTTTTGATAAAAATATTTTCTTTTATTTAATTAAAAAGTTTGTAAATAATTTAAAAAATAAATGGCACGAAAAAATATTAATTTTTTAAGGTTTAAAAACTAAATATTTTGTTACAATTTCCACTACATATATGCTATTTTATTGGATATTTAGTTAAAACAATAGAAATATTCTTAAAAAATTCTAATAATTTAAAAATATTCTTAAAAAATATTTTTTTTTCAGTTTGGTGATTAAATTGACATAGACAATCCAGAAAAAGAGAAAATAAAATTATAAATAAATAGATGAAATATTTATTTAATTAATTAACTAGATTTATAAGAAATGTAAAAAAAAATTTTTTAACAAAAATAAATTTATCTCTTTCTAATTGTCCAGTTGTGGAAAACAAAAAAGAAAACAAAAAATCTAATAAATTTTCTTCATGTAATTCTTTAAAGTAAAAAGGGCCCCCTAAACAACAAAATAAAATAAATAAATCTTTTCCCTCTCCCTACTTCCTTTTGCCGATATATTTTAGCTAAAAAGACAATGCCGGAAATCTTTTATTTTTGCAACAAAATTTTTAATTGGAAAAACAAAAAAAATATTTAAAGAATTTTTTTGTTAAAATTAATAATTGTATTTTAATTATTAAAAAGTGCTACTTAAAATAATTAAAAAATAAAAAGTATTTTTTGAAGGGGGGAGGGAGGGAGGGGTTTAAACAGATAAGTATTTTTTAAAAGAATTTATTTTTGTTTTAGAAAGGTTAAAAGTTTTTAAAAAATATATAAAATTTTGTTTTTAGATTAACCAATTTATATTTAAATAATTTATTGCCAATAAAAAATTAAAAATTTTTCCTTAAAATTACAATTTATTTTATTTTTTAATAGAGAATGGCCATAAATAGAAAAAAATTTAAATAAAAAAATAAGGAAAGAGAAAAGGTTAAGGAAGAAGCAAAAAATAAACTAAAAATATTAACAAAAAATAGGTTAAAAAAAGAAGGGAGGGATGAGGGGAGAAGGGAATTTAAATTTAGAGATGTATGGATTTGCATTTTCACACCTTTTTAGGGTTAGAAGAAAAAATCACATTTTGGATTGTTTAAGTAAAAATGGAGGGAAAGTGAGGGGAAGGGAAGGAGGGTGAGAAAGGAGGGAATCTGTTGTTGTGCAATAAAAAAATAGAAGAATTTTTTTGGAGAAGGGAACGCTTAAATGTTTTTTAAAGTGATTTAGAGGGGATGTTAAATAATTGATAAATAAAATTTAGATAAAATTAAAATTATTTTTTGTTAAAAGTAACAATTAAAATAAAAGTTAGGCAATGGATTTGGCATTTCTCTTTTAAGAGGGGATAAAAATTGGAAGAAAGAAACAAAAAAAAATAAAGTGTCAAAAAATTGGAAGGATTAAATTGAAAAAAAGAGAAGAAGGAATTGGCGAGTAAATCTTTTTTGTGAATATACTTTTAAGTGTGTGTGTGGCATTTTCTAATAAGTGAGAAATAAATAAATGGAGGGGGAGGAGGGGGGGGAGGAGGGGGGGAAGAGGGAAATAGTTGTTTTTTAAATTAAAATTTTTTTATTTTTAAATATTTATTTAAAATAATAAAAACCGTGAGAGAATAAGTGTATATATAAAAGTAATTCTAGCCCGTAATAAAATGTTTATTTTAGAAAGAATATAGTTAAAGTAGTAGTAACTGATAAGCGCGGGAAATAAAATATTTAATAATAATTTAAATAAAAAAAATAATTTACAAAAATTATTTCTGAAATTAAAAATTTTAAATAAATAAGGAGAATCTTATACAAATTGGCTAGGCTTAAAATATTTTTAAAAAATAACCAACGCAAGTAATCATTTTAATTCAGTCATTACTTCCAATCGTTCTACGTACATAGTTAATTAATAACTTGTTCACAAAATTCACCCACTTTCACTAATTTTTGTACCAATCAATGCAACTAAAATCGACAAATTTAGTCTTGATATTGTCCAAAAATGAAAAGATTGGTTGAAATGACCCAAAAAGGGGGGGAGGGGGGGGGGTGGTTACTTTCTAGCAGATTGTCACTCTAATCCCTCAAATCGGTTTTTCTTTTTTCTTTTTTGTTTGTTTGTTTTTATCTTTAAATATATTTATTTATTTATTTGCTTTTCTTAATTTTATTCTAAAAATGGCAACGATTGTATTTATTTATACAGTTATAGCCGGCAAAGCATTGGCCAAAAATAAAAATAAATGAGGTCAATAACAATAAAAGAAAATCTAAAATTTTGCTAATTATGTAGATTATAAAGTAAAATAGGTAACTTTCCGTTGGAAGATTATCAATCTGAAGTTAAGTAATAAAAAATTATCACCAGAATAATTTTAGAAAGTCAAATTGCCTATTACACGATTTTCTCTTAATTTGCAAAAAACTTTAAAAAAAATTCCAAAAATCTTTCATTCAAAATTCTCTCAATTCTTTCTCAATTTCAATCATTCCCTCTCAACCTATTTTCTCTCAAAAATATAAAATCTGTTCCACAAACAGGGTACGGCCCACTTAGTCGCGCGGCCACTTAGTCGCCGAGCCATAACTTGCTTTAAGATTTCCGAATCTTTCCAAATTTGTTATTAAACGATTCCTCTCATCGAGCTAAAGAGATTGGTACCAAAATTGATAAGGGCCAGAAATTTTTTAGCAAGTTATGGCTCGGCGACTAAGTGGCCGCGCGACTAAGCGGGCGTGTCCCCCACAAACACACATACTATATACACTACTTTTCTATCCCGCTGACAAAATTCTTTAAAATTCAAAAAAAATGAAGGAATAAAAATGGAAAAATTTCGTTTGTTTGTGTGGTCTTTAATTTAAATAAATGTCCTTTTTTGTTTAATCTTTTCGCCATTATTTTTAAAATATTCCCAACGGATGCGTCAAATAATCAGTAAATGGTAAATTTTACAAAAAATAATAAGGGATTCTTTAAATATTCAAAAATATTTAATTATTTACGTATAAGTTTTTCACAAAAAAATGATTGTTGGTTTGTAATGGAAGAAGAAAATTATAGAGTATATTTTAGGTAAAAGGTAAAATGAGTAAAGGTGTAAAATTCAAAAAAACTTTAAAAAACATTATTTACTCGGTATATCCTCTCCTCTCAATTCCTTCCTTTTCCAGTTTTCTTCTTAAATTGCTACTTTAAAAGATGAACACCGAGAAGGAATTGCTAATTAAAAAGAAAATTAATTGGAAAAAGTTTTGAGTTAAAAAGGTAGAAAAAAATAAAAAGTAAATCACAAATTTAGAATGATGGCCTTTCAAGGGGAGAACAGAAAAAAAGGTTAATAAATAAAAAGAAAAACTAAACAACCAACTACCAACAGCAACAAACATTAATTATAAAAACAACAAAACCCCTCAAGTAAAAGGCGGAGAATTAAAAAGAAGAAGAAAATATAAAAGAGAAAAAGGCGACTATCCCCTTGAAGGATTTTATAGTAATTAAAAGGTAAAGAAAGAAGTTATGCGCACATCTTAAAGAAATAAAAATGATATTTAGGTAGATACATAAAATATTTTAAAAAATCCAAAACTGCTTCCATTGAAGAGAAATTTTTTGCTTTATTGTTAAAAAAATTTCCGATTTCAAGAGACAAAATAGTTTTTTCGATCCTTCTCTAATAAAATTTCTTTATTTTTATTTATTTACATATTTTGTGCACATCAAGGCATTAAGAGCTTCTTTTCGAACAGTTCACGGATCCTGCCATCCCAATTCTCGAAATACAACCCCCAAATATCTCCTCCCCAATATTTTAACTGATTTTAACAAACAAACACATAAATTAACGTAATTAAATATTTTTCTGTTTCATCTTTTGATATATTCGCAATTTTATTTTAAAAAAGTGTTCAGTATTTTAAGTTTACCGACTTTTATATACGCCAATGGGAATTATTTTAAGTAAAAAAGGTCAAACGAGAGAGAGGTAAATGAATAAATAAAATGAGAAGACAATAAATTCTTTTAAAAAAAAAGAAAATACCGACGGAAGAAAAATAAATGCTAAAGGCTATAAATCCGGTTAATTTTTGGTAATTAAATAAATTGGCGAACAGAAAAAAAGATAAGAGAAGAGGGAGAGTATATTTAAAAATATGTATATTTTTGGTTAAATTATTTTAAATAATTATTTTTTTATTTAAAAGAACGTCAGTCATTATTCTGTTCATTAATATTTCCTATATTTTTTGTGTGGATTAGGAGTCATCAATATAGGCGAGAATGGATTAAATGAAATATATCGGCTAAGGACTTTGAAAAAAAAGAAAGGAGAAAGGTCATTTAATTTTTTTACAATGAAAGAAAAAATTATTTTGATGGATTTGGCTTAGAAAATAAAAGAAGAAGAAGAAAATTAAAAGAATAAAAAAAGAAAAGAGATCGAATAACGAGAACGGAAAGAAAATTGGTCAAAAAATGAATTATTGGCTGTGAATGAAGAACACCCAAAAATATACTAAATAATAATCGCTTCTTTCCTTTTTATTTTGAAGGGTAATTTTAGAAAAAAAAAAGAATATTTTTTTTTAATTTTATTTGTGAAAGATTAAAAGAAATAATTTTATTTTAAATAAATTCTGGGATAATCTTAAAATTTGAAAAGAAAATATTTAAAATTAAAATCGTAATTAATCTAAAATATTATTTACAGGAAGGAGAGGGAATGTGCGCGAAATAAATATTTTGAAGAAATAAAGAAAGGAGAAGGAAGGAAAATATAGTAAATTGTTTTGTTGATTAGGAAGATATAAAAATATTTATTGTGTAATCATGTGGAAATATTTTGTAAGTAAATATAAAATTAAAATTGATATTTTTAGAGAAAATAACAAAATACTTTATTTTTAATTATTAAATAATTTACTTAAAAATTTAACGAAAAATAAAGAATTTGTTGTGGAATTAATTGAAGCTGCTGGTTATTATAAAGAGAATTACTTTGTCCGAATAAATCTGATTAAATTAAAAGAGAAATAAATAAATATTTAGTTATTTTTTTAATTGAAAAAAGAATATATTTTTTATTTTTTATATTTAAATTTAATTTTGTTTTTCAAAAATTCACAAATTTTGCATGCGCAAGTACATATAATAAGTACTATGTATGTAACAAATAATAAAAAGAGAAAATTGCCGGAAAGGAAAATTTTAAGAGAATTGTTATATTCGAGATTGAAAATATTTAAATGTTTAATAAATAGAAAATAAAAATAATAAATTATGGGCTACTAACTAATAAATTAAATTGGCCAGTAAAGATAAAAAGTCAATACTTATCTTAACAATAGGGGTAACACCACAAACTTAGCTAATAAGTAGGTTTGCCAGCTCGCTCGAACCGAAATTCGAAAGATCGAGCGAGCTGAATAATAAGAGCAAAATTTTAAAAAATTGCCAATAAAAGCAAAATGAATTAAAAGGTAGGGTACTAGACTACATAGTTTTTACATACTAGACTAGTTTTTAATTCCTCTCACTGAGCTATGTAGAGATATGTATGCATTTTTTGGCGGAGAACATTAAAAAATTGGAAAATGATTTCCTGGGTAATGGGCTTTCCCGGCTGGTCACTCCAAAAAAGCAGAAAGCCGAAAATGAACCAGATACAGATCCCAATCCTATCTCTACCCTTACTTCGGTAACTCCAATTGTGAAAAAATTTAGACGAAAACACTCATCGAAATAGACATTTCTTTTCAAATAATAAAGCCTTGGATATTTGAATTAAAAGGATGAGAAATTTTGGGAGCATAAAAGTAGAAGGACTAAAAAGAATTTGGGGTTTGAAGGATGCTTGACCCTAAAATAAAATCTATATAAATAAATATACATCCTTTTCCATCCTTGGGGAATTATGAGGGAAAGACTTATTAAATTTTATAAATAAATTAATAATATATTAAGAATTAATCAAAAAATGTACAATAAATTAAATATACAAGGTATCTCAAATGAACCGGACAACGATCATTCTGTATAAATATCTGTATCAATACATATTTTTACGATACTTCCCAATTTGGATTAATAGGCCCAGGAATTAGAGCTCGAACTTTTCACTTTGCCGGGCCCGGTATCCGGGTTTTTTTCTTCCAATCAGACCCGGGCCGGGCTTCCGGGCTAAAAACCCCGAAAACCCGGTTTTTTTAACACCCGGGCCCGGACCCGGTTTTTAAAAATTTGAAAAATTCTTAAAATTTAGCTGTTTTCTGAAAATTTCCTTATAATTAATTAGAAATTTATCAAAAATTTGAGGTCATGCCTCAATACCTACATCCTGAATACAGGAGGATGAGAAACGATATCGGATTATCAAGGGATTTGACGGGATTAAGCGGGATATCGGTGGATTTGGGGAGTTAGATGGATTTAGATAAGTAGGCGTTTGGAGCGATTTATGTATCTTTGAGGGATATTTTTATATACCGTATTTTCTCTTAAGTAGCCCCGGGGGTTATTTTTTCGATCGACCTCCAGAGGGGGCATTTCTAGAGAGGGGGGGGGGGGGGTTATTTAGGAGGGAGGGGTTAATTAGAAACAATTAATTAGAAAAGTGGACAAAATATCACTTTTAATTAATATCTCTGTTAATTCGAATTCCCTCCTAATACATAATATCTCTCTAAATCCTCAAATCCATATTAATCCACCGCTATCCCTTAATCCATCAGCATCCACTTACATCCTCCAAATCCCCGATATCCCCCATGGTAATTTCTAATCTTATTGAAATAAGGAATTCAAAATGCTTGCCATCTTAATCCATCCAAATCCCTCGATATATTACGTCTTCGTTTTTCAGCGCCGCAGGCGAAAATTTTGTGATTTTAGAATAACAAGGAGACAGATTTTTTCCGTTTTTTGGCGCTGCAGGCGAAAATTTTTTCTTTTTTGGATGTTTAAGGAGGTAGATTTGGCAAAAAGTCCGAATTTTATTTAAAATTTACTCGAACTTGGACCCGGGCCGGGCCCGGGTTTTTCAGATGCGACCCGGGCCGGGCTTCGGGGCTAAAAACCCCGAAAAACCGGATTTTCTCAAAAATACCCGGTTCGGGGCCACCGGGCCCGGAAAAACCCGGTTCGGGCCCGGCCCGGGTTCGAGCTCTACCAGGAATTATCTAAGGTCAACTCAGTTTTTTTTTCAAAAATCAAATCAAAGTAAAAAAGTGTCAGTCATCCTAATTTTAGACATTGATGTCCAACTCTAAAAATTTATCGATATTAGTAACCAAAATCCCGGGACTCTCAACTCAAATTTTTAATAAAAATAATTTCGAAAAAATCAAAATTTAACTAAAAAGTATTTAAAATCATACAATTTCCACACAAATGAGTAATTCCAAAATATTTTTTCAATTTAAAGTAATCCCAATTTCTTTTTTTCTTTTGTTTTCTTCTTGACAATATCCAAATTTCTATCCTTCCAATTACTTTTTCTTAATTTTATAGGCCTATTTCCAACATATTTTCCATCCATTTCTTTCATTGCACGAATAAAATCCTATAAAAAATAAAAGAAAATTCAAAAATTTCTAAACATGAATTTCAGTCTTAAAAATTAAATAATACATTTTTGAGGAGGAATTTTTATATAAAAACAGATGGTTGGTTTGAACCTTTGATCAAAAATCAACTTTGATTTAAAAATTTTTGGTCTAAATAAATATCGGAAATTCAAGTTATTCATAACCAAGAAAAATTAAATTTTAAAAAATTAACCTCTTGATTTTTGAAAGAGACAAATCCAAAACCTTTTGATTTATTTGTTCGACTATCACGGCAAACTTTAGCCTTTTGAAAACTTGGAAATTTTCTAAAAGCTTTAGCCAATAATTCATCAGATACTTCATTTCCTAGATCACCACAAAAAATACGAAAATCATTCGGATCCCATTCAGCCATCGAAGCATCTTCCCAAACCTTTTAAATTTTAAAGATTAATCCTAAAAAATAAATTTTAAAACCTGTCCACCACAGCAACGAACAAAACGCTTCATTTTCTTTTCACCACGAAGCACTGCACCCAAATAACTATTTTCATGGGCCTTTGTTGCTTGTTTTCTAGCTAAAAGTAATTCAACATCAGAAGGTAAAGCCTAAATTAAAAAAAATAAAAAGAAAATGTAAATTTGAGATGAAAATAATTTTTTTATTTTTCGGAATTTTAAATAAATTTTTAAAATTTAAAAGCAGACAAAAATCAGTTTAACCAAGCATTCATATTTTTAATTTCCATTATAAAAATATTTAAACCTGTGTTCGAAAATTTTGTTGCTGCGCACTATTATAAGAGATTGGAGTATTTGAAGTACCACTAGAGCTCGGTTCTGGCTTATTCTGTTGAGTAGAAGCATTAGGGACTGCATTAGCATAAAGCGTTGGCCCCGACTCGATTACCGTTGGAACAGATGGAGGTTGTAAATGTGGGGGAAATGGAACACGTCCACTCGTAAAACTAACTTTTTGAAGCTTAAAAATATAAATTTTTGTAAATACTTTTAAATAAAATGAAAAACCTGATGTGGCATAAATTTTACCGATGTAGCAGGGCGAGAACCACCAATATCGGGAGCCTGTATCGGGGCTAAAAGAATATTTATTTAATTATTTATTTTAAATCCTAACCATCTTGTTTTGCTCCCTTTGTTAAAGGCAAATTAGAATTACTTGATTTAGCTTCATTATCACTTGCAAGCACTTCTTTTTCAAATCTAAATAATGTAAATAATGAATTGAAATTTGAAAATAAAATACTTACAGCGCTAATTGTTCTTCAAGAGAACTCATTTTTTAAATAATTATAGTTGATTGATCTAACAATAAAAAATCTGAAATTCTTCGTAAACAAAGCAAAATCAATAACGACTTTTCGTCAATAGAATTTCCGTCAATGGACCTTACGTCAACGGACTATTTTTTCGAAATTCGTTAATGAATTTGAAGAAAATTCTGCAATAACAGAAAATGTGGAGTATGTATTGGAAGTGTGTTAAGGGGATCTGCGACATTTACGCCGCTGTTTTCTGCGTAGCGACTTATGCGCCGCCTGAACTTAAAAATAAAAAAAAATAAATAATTAACAAGACCAAAATTTTCGCATGGCCTGCCAAATACCAAACTCCAATCTTACAAAAATTAATTTCTGCCAATATTTATCACTCATTTAAATTTTTTAATTATTCGATCACAGATTTCTCGTCAGTCCAAATACTACATATTTATTTTTATATGAACAATTGCCTTCTTTCACTAATTTTCGCAATTCAGCTTTTGGCCCTCTTTCATCATCTCGAAAATAAAAAAAAAAAAGGGATTGACCACCCGTCACCTATCCTTTCTTCTACATAACATCCAGCCGGCTATATACAGTGTTAGTACATATTGATGTAAAAATATATTGTTTTCTTCCACTAGCTACTGGCTTCACTTCTTCACCTCTTTTTTTTCCCTGACATTTTCTTTTTATTATTTTTTTAAAATCGCCGCACCAGTCGCCGCCACTTTTATATAGGATTTTTCAACAAACTGTTTAAATTTCAAATATGAAAGATTTGGCGCCAAAAACTCGTAAAATTGCGCAACTTTTCTTAAATTTATTCTCTTCACAAATTGCAACTTTTACATGTGATTTTTAACGATTACAAAGCCTCTAATTTTTGTTAATGTGAGGATTTCGTCTGACTATGGAGATACATACATATGTATATCTGATTACAAAGAACATATTAATATTAGTGTTAGGCAAATGGATTTTTCCGGTACCGGTACCGGTAGTACCGGAAAGTACCGGTACCGGACGAGTACCGAAAATCCCAAAATCTGACCGATACGGTACCGGTACCGGTAGTACCGAAAAGTACCGGTACCGGTTAGTACCGGTGAAAAATTTCCGGTACTACCGCGGTACTCCGGTACTCACGCTAAAATGACATAATATCAAAATATGGATTTATAGATGTACTAAATGGTGTGAAACTGTTTGATATAACTATAGAATCGTTGTTAGTAGGAATATAAATTGATCTTAGGGGATTAAGAGGGATATCGGGGGATTTCGATGGATTTTGGCGGATTAAGAATAATTTATGAGATGTATAGCCTTCTAACTTCTTTATCCCTCAAAAACACATTATATCTCTAAATCCAAGATATCTACTTTATTCTTTCGATATCACTCCAAATATTCTGATATTCCTGCCAAAATCATCCGATATCCTTCTTAATCTCCCTATATATTAATAATGACAAATCGACCGATATCTCACTTAATCCTAATATCCTTAAAATCTTCCTAATCCCTCTATATACTTTTAAACCTAACAAATCCTCTGGTATACATCTTAATCCTCGCAACTCCATTTTATACCAGTTAATCCGCAAATATCCTCTTAAGAGATTTAATTTCGCGGGATATATGTATGCGGGATGTCTGAGGATGTGAGTATTCTTAAGTATTCTTGACTTTAATGATATTCTAAAGCTGAATCGCGGATATCAACAATTTGAGTAGATGGACCCTGAAATTCCAAAAACAATGAAATTTTGGAAGGCCAAGAAGCCAGATTTCTTCTTGTTATAGCGCCGCAGGCAAAAATTTTCGAAATTCGATAGGCCCCTGGCGTAAATTTTAGGAATTTTGGACGTCCATATGATAATATTTTCCATTTTTTCTTAGAATTTTCCAGTACCGAAAAACCGGTAGTACCGCGGTACTGGAATGCTGACCGGTACGGTTCCGGTACCGGTAGTACCGAAAAGTACCGGTACCGGTCAGTACCGAAAATCCAAAAATCTTACCGGTACGGTACCGGTACCGGTAGTACCGAAAAGTACCGGTCCGGTACTGACGGTAGTACCGCGGTAGTACCGAACCGTGCCTAACAATAATTAATATTCTACGTTATTTTAAAAATTTAAATGGCACGCGAACACAACATTTACTTACATTCCACCTTATACATACATATTTACATAACTTCTTGGCTAACTGCCATCACTATCATTTATTTTTTCTCTCAGTTCATTCCTTTAGTCAATTTCCCGCGGTGATCAGATCAAATTTTTTGTTCTGTTACATATGCACATATTGTGGGTATACATACATATCACGACACCCCGTTTTATCATTTAAACCCTATTGGGGAAGGTTATTTTTTATCCTCAGATGTTGGAACAAACTTCCGCGATGTTGGACAACCATCTTTTACTTCGAACAAAAATTAATACAAAATAAAATTTAAAATTTAGTGTAGATCATATGCTTTTCGATATATAGGGTACTTATTCAATGGGTGTCGATATACGAAGTTCATCCCCATATTACGCATACATATTTCTTCACCACAACTTAAACATTATTTTTTTTACTTTCCTTTTAACGCTTATTTTGAAGGTCAGACGAACAAACAAAGAAGTCAATGGAGATAGAAGGGGAGAATAAAAAGGACTTGGGGCAATGAAAATAGAAGAGCAGACGTTTCCAGCGACCGGCGCAACAGTCGCAGCCTCCGAACGGCAGTCCGGAGTTCTTTTGTCCATTCCTTTTTTTCCTCTGCCATTTTTACTGGGCGTCCATTCAGGCCGCCTTTTACTGCCCAGCCTCAGTTGCCCATCCTCGTTTATACAGGCATCATTCATCGATCTTTTTTCTTATTCATTTTTCTTATCCTCCATCTTTGCCACTTGTGTTCTTTATTTTTCATCACTACACACAGTTCAAAAACCAAAGATGGAAAATTCGCTCCAAACCAAACAAATTTATAGCTCAAAAAATAATTATTATAAAGAAACTGATGAGGAAAACATTATTTAAAATTAATCTTCTACCAAATATTAATTTTGTCCTGAAATGATTATTTGCTCCTCCCCATGCTTGCGTTTTCCTTGCGCATTCTTTCGTTCTAAAGCAGAATACTTGGATCATTTCCTTTTTTCGAACGTTTGGGTGGCAGATGGTTGCTTGCCAAAATATTTTTCTTTTTAGCCTCATTTTTACGGCCTCTGTCTTCCATTAAATATTTCCTTTCCATCCAAACAAAATCTATTTCTTCCTAAAAGCTAAATGCGCAGTTCATTTGATAAAAACCGCTTTATTATTTTCTTTTTTTTATTTTAATGAGTATTAGTTCTTGGATGGGTGTGCCTCTCCAGTCGTGTTTTTGGCCTAGTGTCACTATTTGGCTCATGACTAGATCCACACTCATCTAAGCACTTTTTGCTCAATTAATTTAAATCTAATATTTAACCTCAAAAAAATTTAACCTCAAAATCCTCCTAGGACCACAAGCCTTATCAACTGCGATTACATTGTAATTAAAGATTGTATCACAGTTCGATATGGCCTCTGATCTAGGGGTGGTATTAAAAAATTAAAATGTTTAATTATTAAAAATTATTCGAGTTTAAACAACAAAGAAAAGGACATTTGTAATCGTAATTTATGTAAATTATACGTACCAACCAAAGTTTAAAATTGAATGAAAAATCTCGTCAAAAATTTTAGATTTATTTTCTACTCGCGCTCTTGTTCAACATACATTGCAGCTTCACTTGACTGATTGAGACTCTCAAAAATTAATCCCTGGAAGTCAGTAGTCAATACTGGTGAACTAGGAGTCTGGTATTGTTGTGTATTGCTTTGGTCTGTCGTTGGCTGTGGCATCTCGATTTTCTAAAGAAGGTTTGAATCTTTGCTTTTTTCATCTAAAATTATGTCAGTTTTGTCCGCGAATTGTGTGGAGAGGTTAAATAAACCGAAGAATAATTGATAAGACGTGTTATAAGCAATTTGGCATTTTAAGATTATTTCTAGTAGTACGGTATGCCGCGTAATGAATTGCTTACATAAAATCCGTTGGCCCTTTTACTGTTGGCGCCCGGGACCAAGACTGTTGCAAACCCTTTATAAAAATAGAAGACACAACTTCTTAACGGAGATAGATTGAACTAAACCGAGAAATAATTTAATAAGTCAAATTAAGATTGCGGAGAAAACAAGCTTGCGGAGAAAACTGACGGATTTTTGGATGCAAAAAGAACAAAGTTTAAATAGGAGGGAACATTGTTATTTAGGTACAACATACATAATTCTAGAAAAATTTAAAATGGCTGAAAAGCGCTTTAATTATTATTAGGGATACTTTTCTGGTATGTGACCCAAAAGTCCACAAATTTTCCCCCAAAAAATAGATTGATTAGAAATGGCAAACTCGACATATAATAGGCATCTCCTACAAATAAAGAACAATCAACTTACCAACTGATCAGACTTGAATTGTGTTGTCAACTCTTGAAGAAGCATGTCTGTACGTAATTGTTGATATGGAGTTGCCCGGACAGTTAAAGAATCTTCCTCGTCTTTATCTTTTTTCTACATTATTTAGAATATTTTTTATAAAATTATACAAACTTGATTTAAATAATTATTGCCATCCATTTCTTCTTCCTCTTCTTCATCTACTCGTTTCGAAGGTTTTGTTTTAAATTCCCAAGAATATCCTTTTGATGATGAAAATCTAAAAGCAAATAAAGTTATAAATTAAAAAAAGTGCTTATGAAGTATCCAAAACCAGTGTATGCGGATAAATTACAATTAAAATGAATTATTCCAATCACTAAAACTTCCCATGGCCGTGAAGTTTTAGTCATCTTTTCCCGACGGCGTGGTCCATAAAAATAGTTTAGGGTAGCCCATAAAAACAAAAAAAACCTAGTCATTTCAATAGCTTCTAAAAAAGCATTTCTCAATGGTTCAATTATACCAATCAATTTAGAATGTAAAAAAGTATATAAATCTGGTGCTTGATAGACAGTTCCATCCAAAATATAATAATGACAAAGAGGAGTAACTTAAAAAAAACTTTAATTTTTATAAAAAAACTTCCATACTTTTATCAGCGCTCATTCTTTTTTGTTTTCTAACTACAAAAAGTGGTGGAGAACTTGGTGGTTGAACAAGAACATATTGAATGCCCTCTATTCGTTTTAACATTTCATCAAATTGAGGTCCACTTGCTACTTGATGTTGCATCATTATGAATGCATTATCAGAATTTACATCAAAAAACGGATTCTCTCTTTGACAAAAATAGGCCATCTTAATAAAAAAATTTTAAGATTTAAATTCGTATAATTACCGCAGTGTCAATTGTTATTGGAAAGAAACGAGGATCTTTCCACGGCTGTTCAAGCATTTGTCGATCAATTGTGAATCTAAAAAACCGAGGTTATTTCGAATATTTTTCCGAATATTCGCCTATTTCCTGTCTCTGCCTGTTGAGTAACACCTGAAACTCCCTGTTGCTGCCTTCCTCCAGCGTTTAGCGTGGTATCTACAACTGTTGAAGATGCATCAATTGTTGAAGAAGGTAACATATTTGACTGACCAAGAAGCATTTTACCTATCTATATTTTTAAATAATATTTAATTCTATGCAGAAATAACAGGTTTTAAAACCAAATTAAGAATTAATATACATATGTAGTACGTAAAAACATTTATAATTTAAGTTTGTTTCATTCCTGAAAGGTGTGAAAAAACCTGTATGCAAAATAACAACTACATATTTTTAGAAATTTATTTTTATGCGTCAAATCGCACCCTTATAGGTCCAATAAAATGTTTATACGTCAATCGAAGTTTTATGAGTCAAAAAATCGTTATGCGTCCAATTAACTCAACTCGTGATGTACCCAGTTCGAATTGGTTCCAATAATATTAGAATATCTGATTTAAAACAATTTACCCATAAAGTTTAATTAGAGCATAAAATTTTTATTGTGTATGAAAACTTGATTGAACGTATAAAGGCGCGATTAGACTCACAAAATGAACAAGAGTCAAAAAACAACATTCGAACTTTTAAATGTATAACAATGATTAATTTAAATCAAGTAATAAACTATCATCACTTAAAATTTCTTCATCCTCATTTTTTGATGATTCTGAACCACTCGATACTTCATAAGCAACAAGAGGTTTAACTTTTGCCTCTTTTTTTCTTCTCTTTTCTGCTATTTTTTTGCCTCTATTATTATTCTCAAATTTTTGTTTAACTTTTTCAACTGGAGCAAGTGCATCCTTTTGAATTTGAACTAAAATATGACTAACTCCGAGATTCTGCCGAGAAAATTTTGATCTTATTCCATTACATTCTGAATTGTCTTTTTCATTTTTCTCCTCATCAATTTTTTCTAAAATATTAAATTATTATTTTGTTTTTATTAATTATTTAACCTTCATCCTTTTCTTTCACTTTTTTATCGTTTCCGTTCTTTTTGGCATTTTGCTTATTTGCTGGTTTGTTATTCTTTTTTTCTGTTATTTTTACTTTACGAGGTTGAATTACATTTTTTTGTTCAGTAATTATTGGTGCTTTTGTTTTTTTAATAGGTAATATTCCTTTTCTTTGAGAATTAGAGGAGGTAGAAGAAATTGAAGAACAAGGACTTGTAACTAATCTTAATTGCTTAACACGATCCAATTCGCGATTTGTTGTAGAACAAATTTCCTGAGATTCTTTAATCCAATCTAGTTCAATTGGACAAATATCACGAGCATAAATCTCATTTGTTTTAATAAGTTCAGAGAAAACAAAGGCCTAAATTGATAAATTATTAATTTGTAATTAGCTTTAAAAAATTCTGATTTAAGACCCTTTCACTCTTATTCACTCAAAAAACCTTTACCGGCATTGTTTGATTTTTTAAGCAAGATGAAGGGTGAATACGAACAACAATCTTTCGATCTTTTGCAAAGACATAATTTCTTGAAGAAGAATCATAAATACAAGCATTTTGTACGAGTCCTTTACAAATGGCTTGTCTAAAATTTATTTAAAAAAATTTTTAATTAAAAATACCTCAGAGAAGTAAATTCGCTTCCACAACTTCTAACTGGTAGTTTTTTATTGTGACATAATTTCATCAATTGTTTACGAATTAGAATCACAGTTTCTATAGAATTTTCGATTAGGCCAAGCTCACGAAAAAAATTCTTAATAAAACATTTTAGATTCCACAATTTATTAAATATGGTTTCTAATATCTTTTCGTAAATGCAAGCTAACATAAATCTCCAAGCAATAAAAACCCGCAGGGGTTCAAATTGAAATATCTTTTTAACTCCTCCATCCACTAGAAATCTTTTGAAAGTTATCCCGGGCACTAAATCTATTTTATATTTGCACTAGCTATAAAAAAATTTTTTTAAATTAATAATCACCTTATCTTTCTTTGCAGTTTTGTCACTACTATATTTTCTAAAAATTTTAACATAACGAACATGATCACCATCATTAGTATTAAAGTTAGCTAAAGAGGTATTAAGTGAATTAGAAGAATCTTCTTGGCCATATTTTCCAGTTTCTAATTTACAAAAAATTTCTTGATTATTATTTTGAAAGATATGTTCAACAGAAAGAAAAGCAACAACTGTACAAGCTTCTTCGAGACAATTAAGCCTTGAAGCAGCCAAAAGTATTCTCAAAATAAATAATTACGAGAAAATTTTTATATAAAAAGTACTTTGCAAGAATTGGCTCAACTGGAAACAAAATAAGGCTTTGACCTTCCTCTGTTATATGAACATTCAAATGATCCCCTATTTGTTCCAAATGAATAGCATTTAATGCAAGTAATTCAGAAGTGGCCGATTGAAGTTGATCATTACTTGGAGAATCAATAAGTTTGCTCATTTGTTCAAGACGGGATAAACTATGATTAATAAGGCTCAGCAAAACCTGAAATAATAAAGAGATTAATTTTATTCAAAATGTAATTTCAAAAAATACCGAAGATATATTTGAACGAAGCAATTCAGGCACCTCCACCGATTCAAATCCCTCATAATCGTGTTGGGAATATAGTCTATAACATTTTCCCGGAGCTTCACGTCCTGCACGTCCAGCCCGCTGAATAGCCTGGGCCTTTGAAATATTTACTACTTCAAGTACATCCATATGATTTTGAGGAGAAAATGTGCTAAAATTAGAAATATTAAATTTTTGGTTAAAAACAAACGTAGAATCAATTCAAAAATTATCAATTTACCGTCTTTTCATTTTCCCCGAGTCAATAATTAAACGAATTCCTGGTATAGTAATTGATGTTTCAGCAATATTTGTTGAAAAAACAACTTTTCGAGAGCCCCATAAAAATAATAATTGTTTAAAAAAATTTTTAAACTTATACTTACATTTGGAGTTGATGAGAAAATAAGATTTTGTTTGTCTGATGGAATTGCTGCATAAAGAGGAAGTGCAAAAATGTTCTCATATTGTTTCTTCTCGGCTGATTTTTCATTCTTTTTTGTTTTTCTGATAATATTAATTGCAGTTTCTATTTCTTCTTGACCAGTTAAAAAGACCAAAAACCCATTACTAAAAAATTGAAAAAATATTTAAAACTAAACTCTATGATTCCACCCCAGAATATAACCACTCTAAATATTGTTGACACAAAAAAGTTTCAGCAATAATTTTCAGAAATACCATATGATCAAAACCAAATTTTTAAATTTTATTATTATTGTTCAAGCAACAAGGAAGGTTGTTTTAACGACGGGAAAAGTTGTTACAACTACGGAGAATAAATTTTTAATTTTATTATTACTATTTGTTCAAAGCAAATAGGTGTATATATATTGTGTGTGTGTTAGGGGTATTCAAATATGTTATTCTAAAGAGCTCGGTAACTGAGTCGAATCCGATCTTTAGTTGAAACAGCCAATCAACTTCTCTGTTGTTTGAATAATAATAATAAAATTTTTAAAAAATGGTGTTAATCATGGAGTTTGATATTTAGGGCAATCGATATAATGGGTTTTTGAGTCATCGATATTTTGGGTCACAATATTTTGGGTTTCAATATTCTGGGTTGATCCCAACTCTATTGGCTCCGTTAAGTGTAACTGTAGAACAGTAGAGATCGCATTAAATAAATAGTCATTTTCATTAATTTTTAGACTTGGTGCATTGAAAAGCTAAAAGTTAAATTTAATGAAAAGAGATGCATCTAAAAAAAGCACATCCAGGGTTGGATTTTTGGAAAGGGGGGGGCATACAAAACCACCCCCCCCCTCCTGGCTACGGGCCTGGTCGCGAATTACTTATTCGATCATCCTTACAATATTTCCTTCGACTCTGGGTTGGGACTCAAACCACCTGGATACACTCATTAGATAATAATAATCAAAATACAAAAACCTTAACAACATGCTGTCTTCCACGAACATAATAAGCTTCGGCTTTGTGGAAATATTTTTGTAATTTTTGTAGATTCATAGTCGCAGACATAAGAATTAAACGAAGTGGGGCCTCATCCTTTTCTTTTCTGTTAGTCTGTGCTTGTTTAAGAATATAAAGCAAAACATCCATATTAATCTATTAAAAAATAAAAATTAAAAAATTTTTTTTGTTTAAATTAACTGTTCTTTCGTGTACTTCATCTACAATAATTGTTGAATAACGCTTAAGTCTAGCATCATGTTGAGCTTCACGTAATAAAATTCCTTCAGTTTGATAAAGAATACGTGTATCATTGCCACAATTGTTTTCAAAACGAAATTTATAACCAACCTGAAAAAAATTTTTTGGAAAAATATTTTAAAATAATTCCCCTACAAACCAATTGTCCAACTTTAGTTCCCATTTCTGTTGCAACTCTTTCAGCTAATGTTTTAGCAGCAACTCGTCTGGGTTGTGTAACACCGATAAGACCATTTTCAGAAAGTCCAGCATCGCAACAGAACTAAAACAAAATTAACTATAAATATTTATATTCCGAAAAAAACCTGAGGAATTTGTGTACTCTTTCCGCTGGCAGTCTCTCCAATAAAAATAACTGTGTCCTCTAGATGATTAAGAATTTCAATAATATGTTTTTTAAAACAATCAACAGGTAAAGGATCACGCTTAAACTAAAAATTATGAAATAAATTATTAATACTCATATGAAAAAACTTACATTTCCATTACATATAGTCTTTGAATTGGAATTATTAGAGTTGCGACTAACACTCCTTTCTTCATATTTCTCATTTTCATTATTAAAATCAAGCGGTTTTGCAACCATCTTTACTTACATATAAATATTATTTACTATTTAATGTCTAAAACAAAATCCTAAAAAAATTTTCACAGTGGCGGGAAATAACATTACATTTGTTTTAAACCAGTACATATGGTTTACCGCAGCGGAGCAAGCAGGGTATGTGCAAGCAGGGAACGACGGATGAAGAGTTTTCCAAAAACAGTTTTTCCATGGGAACGAGACTATTGAGTACCGCCGATTGAGTACCGCCGTTTGAGTACCGCCGGTTGAGTACCGCCGGTTGAGTCCCTGCCCAGTTGAGTCCCGGCCGGTTGAGTCCCGCTGGTTATATATGAATAACTTTCCAACGACGGGGAAAGTTGTTCCAACTATGGGAAAGGTTGGACCAACATTGTGCAAAGTTGTCCCAACAACGGGGAAGTTGTTCCAATGTTGATGCTGGTTCTTTCAACCTATTGAGAAAGTTGTTACAACTATTAAGTAAGTTGTTCGACAACTGGGAATGTTGTTCCGACACCAGGGGATGTTGTTCCAAGAACGGGGAAAATTGTTCTAAAGACGAGAAAAGTTGTTCCAATGTCAGGGAAAGTTGTTCCAAAGTCAGGGAATGTTGTTCCAAAGACAGGGAATATTGTTCCAAAGACAGGGAAATTTAACCAGCGGGACTCAACCGGCGGGACTCAACTGGCCAGGGACTCAAACGGCGGTACTCAACCGGCGGTACTCAAACGGCGGTACTCAATCGGCGGTACTCAATAGTACCCCCACCGTTTTTCCATAGAAGAGCCCTTATATGCGCGCCCTTTCGATTGCGCCTAAGTGTATCACGCCCAAAACAACGCGGGCCAAAATTACGTGCCGAAACTACGTAGGCCAAAACAACGCAAGGCCAAAACTACGCACGCCCAAAACTACGCAAAACTATTTAGTATGTTCAAATTGAAAGTCTCGCTGTTGATCAATTATTACTCTCTCATCCGGCACGAGCATGGAATTCGAAATCCGGTTTCCGGATCTAGAAAATGATTAGTGTACATTACTAACAATAAATAGGTTCGCGTAGTTTTAGGCGTGGACTGTACCCGAATTGCGTCTATGTAGAACGTTCACATGATTTTTTACTGATTTACTTTTTATGAGTTTAAAATTTCATTTTTTTTACCTTATGTATTTGGATATACATATTTTTGTTTCTTAAAGCCATATTTTTAATTGATAATATTATTTTAGATTGCTTATTGTGTTTTTGTGAGTCTGATTTTTGTGTGAAGCTTTATACTTCATAAATTTAATTGCAAGTGTTTTTGTGAACTGTTCAATGGAATTGGATTTTTTGCGACAGGCTCAGTACAAACTTCTCGAGGGTGGTGAAAAATTTGATGTTTCGTCTCTTGACAAGGTTTATTTCATTATTTAATCAATTTCTAAATAATTAAAGGTTGTTGGCTTGATGAACAATACAACTGGTGAGGCTCAAAAAGTTGCCTCTGATTTGTTGGCTCGATTTAAAGAAAATCCCGATTCGTGGACTAAAGTTGATGCTATCCTTGAATTGAGGTTATTACTGTGCAAGTTTAAATTTTGATTACTTTCCAGTGCTTTACTTGAGACAAAATACTTTGGTTTGCAAATTCTCGAGCAGTTGATTAAGACTCGCTGGAAAGCCTTGCCAAGAGAGCAGTGTGAAGGCATTAAAGGATACATCGTTAACATGATTTTAGAAATTAGTTCTGATGCTGAAAAAAGTGAGAGAATGAAGCTTCTTTTGCAAAAATTGAATTTAGTCTTAGTTCAGGTTCAATTGTTATTTGTTTTTTTTTTCTATGCTCTTTTTAAGATCGTCAAGCAAGAATGGCCTCGTCTTTGGCCTTCTTTTATTTCTGACATTGTTGGCTCTAGCCGAAATGGTCAATCACTTTGTATGAATAACATGACAATTCTGCGTTTGTTAAGTGAGGAAGTCTTTGACTTCGGCACAGGTCTTACTACTGCTCGAGCTGTTCAACTTAAGCAGCAATTTTGTGGTCAATTTGAAGAAGTTTTTATGCTTTGCTATGAAATTCTTGTAATTTTATTTTAATATATATGGCAAAAATTATTTTTCAGGAAAATTCTGATAATGCCCAGCTTGTCTATGCGACATTGAGTACTTTGCATGGCTTTTTGGACTGGATTCCTGTTGGTTATGTTTTTGAGAACAATCTGATCGATCTCATTTTGAAGGTTTTCTCAATAATTATAAGTTAATACTCTTAATTTTAGTTTCTTCCTTTTCCTGCTTTTCGTTCTATTTCTGTTCAATGCCTCGTGGAGATTTCTTCAATTTCAACCGAAGATAGTCCTCAGTACGGCAGTCGACTTGTTCACTTGCTCAAGTCCGTCATGAATATTATTTCGCAACAACTGCCACTTACAGTCGATTTTGCTGATTCTTACGCTAAAGGGCGAAGTGAAGACCAGAAATTTATCTCTGATTTTGCGCAACTGATTGGCACTTTTCTCAAAGAACATTCCAATCTGGTTGAGGTCTTAGAGCTTAATCCAACACAAGAACAGCTTGAGGTCAAGCAGGCACATGCATTGGCTCTTAAATATTTGTTAAAAATTGGTCAGGTTGAGGATGTTGAAGTTTTTAAGGTATATTTTTCTCCATTTTATCATGCGGGTTTTTACATTAATATTTAATGTTTCTGGCTAATATGTTTTTGCTTAATTATACACCCAGAAGTTCCCAAATTTTCGCATGTTGCGCTAAAATTGAGTTAAAAAGCAAATATTCAGAATAATATGGTGTGCTAAACGCTAAGTATTCGCCTTTCGGAAATTTGACTTTTTGGAATGTTTTTTTATAATTTTTCTTTTTAGATTTGTCTTGACTATTGGAATTGGCTTACAATGGAACTCTTTCGGGAAAGTCCTTTTGAGCAATCCGAACACCCACTTATGGATACACTTCGACGTTATAATCGAAACGAGTCTCCGCGTCGTAAGATCTATGCAGAAGTTCTCTCTGATTTAAGAGTTCTGATGATTAGTCGAATGGCAAAACCTGAGGAGGTCATTATAGTTTTGAATGAGAACAACGAAGCAGTTCGCGAGCTAGTTAAAGATACGGATTCGATGATGCTTTATAAAACGATGCGTGAAACATTGGGTTGCTTTTTTTCTGATAATTGTAAACTTTTAAACTTAATTTATAGTACTTTTGACTCATCTTGATTACCGAGACACGGAACTGAAAATGACGGAAAAATTGCAGAACCAAGTGAATGGAACTGAATGGTCTTGGAAAAATTTAAACACAGTACGATTTAATGTTTTTTTATAAATTATTTTTAACTTGAAGTTGTGTTGGGCGATAGGTTCAATTAGTAGTTCGATGCACGAAGACGATGAAAAACGCTTCCTTGTGACGGTCATTCGAGGTTACCTTTTGTATTTAAATATGTACCTTATTATGATTTATTACAATTATTAGATTTGCTTGGTCTCTGTGAGCAAAAGCGAGGAAAAGACAACAAGGCAGTGATAGCTTCTAACATAATGTATATATAACTTTTTGAAATTACTTTCGTGTTATTTTCAGGTACGTGGTTGGGCAATACCCACGTTTTTTGCGATGTCATTGGAAATTTTTGAAAACCGTTATTAATAAATTATTCGAGTTCATGCATGAATCACATGAAGGAGTACAGGATATGGCCTGTGATACTTTTATAAAGATTGTCATTAAATGTAAACTTCACTTTGTTGTTGTTAGTTTTACTTTCTTATGCTAATATATTATTTTTTAATTTATCAAGATACAAACTGGCGAGACCCAACCATTTATCGAAGAAATTTTGCAAAATTTGAACAACATTATTTGCGATCTTTCTCAGCCTCAAGTACATGTTTTCTTTGAAGCTGTCGGGCATATAATATTCGCAGCAAGTACTCACCAAGCACAGGAACGGTTGATCGAAAAATTGATGGTTCTTCCCAATTCAATTTGGACAGAAGCAATTGAGGCTGCTAGCAAAGTTTAACTTTAGATAGTTTTGCTTTAGTTATTTAAATATTTTAAGGACGTCAGTATTTTCACTGATCCAGAGGTATTGAAAAATTTGACTCATATTTTGAAAACAAATGTTGCTGCCTGTAAATCAATTGGTGCTCCTTTCTTTAGCCAAGTATAAAATGTTTTTAAGATAAGAAAATAAAATGTATTTTTTTAGCTCAAGCGCATTTTAAATGATATGTTGAGCATTTATCAAGTAATTTCTGGGAATCTAAACAAAGCTGTTAATGAGCAAGGAGAGCATGTATTGAAATGGCCTTTGATTAAACACATGCGAGTTGTAAAGAAGGAAATTTTGACTCTTTTGTCAACCTGGATTTCTAGAGCATTTGAGGGCAGAATTATGGTTTTTAATATTTAATTTTGTTTTCAAATGTTTTTTAGGAAGAAGCTCTCTTACCAATTCCTCTTGTTATTGAGAACATTATTAAACCTTTGTTTAGCACTGTATTGCGTGATTATGAAATGAATGTTCCGCAAGCAAGAGAGCCTAAAGTTCTCTCTTTGCTTTCCATTACTATTGTATCGTTGAAGGTTATTTTTCCAATTTTTTGTTTAGATTTATCTAACTTAATATAAATTTAAAAGGAGGAAGCGAATTCACAGGTGCCAGAAATACTTGATGCTGTATTTACTTGCACACTTGACATGATCAATAAAGATATGGAGGCATTCCCAGAACATCGAACAAATTTCTTTCAACTTCTGAAAGCCTTAAATACCCACTGTTTTAATGTGTTGATTTTATTACCTGACAAAGTTTTGGGTCTTATTATTCAGGCAATTGTTTGGGCAATTAAACATACAATGCGTAATGTTGCTGAAAATGGTAATTTTTAAATATTTATTTTTAAAATAGTTTTTAAGGAATTGAAATTTTGCGTGATCTTCTTGGAAAAGTTGCGTCTATGACAGATAGAGCACAAGCACGAATTTTTTATCAGAAACATTTTATGACTATTATGGAACATGTTCTTGGTGTTTTAACTGATAATAATCAAGTTCAATTTGTTGGTAGGTTTTAATGTTTTTTTTCTTTCTTTTCACAAATGAAATAAAAACACTTTTAGGTTTAACAAATCTAGCTGAAACTGTCTGTATTCTTTTCCAAGCTGTTGAAAATACGATTGACATTCCTCTAAATCTATCTAATTCTTCACAATCAAATACAGATTTTGTTTATGAAACAATTACTACTCTTTTTGTGAATCACTTTAAAAATTTGACAGAGTGAGTGGCTTCTAAATAATATTTTTTGCAAGAATTAAATTAAATTCTAGACCTCAAATTGCTTTAACAGTGAAAGGATTTATCAGCTACAATCGTATACTTAACAAAATGCGTGAGCACATTCGTGACTTTCTTGTCCAAATTCGTGTATGTATATCTCAATAATATTTAAAAATTTATTTAAATAATTTTAGGAGGAAGCAGGAGATGACACTGCAGATCTTTTCTTGGAAGAGAAGGAAGCTGAGATTCAACGAATCCAGGCTGAGAAGCAAGCGATTCCTGGAGTACGTAATCCAAATGAACTTGTTGAGGAAGATATGGCTTAAATTTATGATTTGATTGATTTTATTTGTGAAAAGGTGATTTTGCATTGAAGAATTTTTTAAAAGAATTACACAGGAAAAGTTTAAATACATCTAGTAAAACAATAAAAAAAATTTTTTTTAATTCTTTAGTTTAAAATCTTCTCTATGCACAACCACTTTATGTTTATTCACGTTTTCATCGTTATTATTTATCTGATTTTAATTTAAAGGTAGCAAAAAAATATTTTCGATTATTGCTTTTTTGAAATTTTAAACAAAATTGTTATTTTAATAATAATATTTTGTTACCTTTATTTAAACAAAATATACCTTCCATTTTATTATTGACTTTATTTTTAATGTCCTCTCATTCATCGATCTTCATTTATGGTATTTTAAATTATAAAAAATAAAAAAAAACACTCAACCGAAAGCCTTTTATTATTTTCAACATTTTAATAATATACATATATTCACCTCAATACAAATTAATCATTATTTCTCTTTTTTTTCAAAGCTTTATTTAATATTTCTGACATGAGAATGTTTTTAAATGTTTAAATGCGAGGAGTGAATTTTTGAAATTATGTATGTTTCTGTTTCTCTTTTTATTGCGATTGTGTCTAAATTATAATATTCTTTTTTACATTTTTTTTGATAATTACTTTTTGATTCCTTTTTTCAATGTTTTTATAATATTCTTACAAAAATTAGTGTTGGAATTAATTTTTTATTACAAATACCAAATTAATAATGAATTGTTGACTTTGTGTGTATTGTTTAGCTATTGTGTTGAGTGTATTTTGTATATTTAGTTCTCTGTAGTTTCTTTTATAAATTTTCATTTTTGATAAGCTATGTCCCAGAATAGGATTATTAGAGACAGGACTAACAATAAGTGTTTGATAATAATCAAGTATTTTTGGAACAACATATTGTATTAGTAATTTTTAATTAGTAATTTAACGTTTGTTTTTTTTGTGTTTAATCAAAAATAAGACAATAACCTAACGTTAATTTTAGCAAATACAACAATCTTTATTTTTCAAAAATAATTTGTTTAAAGTTTCAAATACATTTGGAGTATTTTGGATTTAATTAGATTTATTTTCAATAAGAATTTTAACTATTGAAATAAATTTAAACGCCTTTTCGTTCCTTTTTGGCAATAATTTTCTTTTTGTTTTCGTCGTCGTTTGTTGTTTCTACACTTCTTCGAATACCATTGCTAGGAGGCCCTAAAAATTATTTTCCTTTAAAAAAACTAAAAAATATTCCCTACAAATATTGTTTGTTGGAATTAAAGGAGGAGGGGGTATATTGCCAACATTTGATATCGGTCCATTTATTCCTCCAATATTTGCAGAGGGTTCAGTATGGATATAAGCACCAGAGAATGGAAGTGCTCCTCCTCCTCCCATTTGTGGATTGAATTGTCCATATCCCCCCAAACCTTTTAAAAAGAAAAACTTTTCTAAACTAAAATTTAATTTTATCTTACTTCCAGTTCCATAACCTAGAGGTGACAGATTTGCAGGATTCATTATATTTGAAGGAGAACTGCCAAGAGGAGGGTAATTATTTATTGAAGGAAAATTTCCACCAATATTATTGCCGTTTTGAGGGCAGTAGGGAATGCAAAAATAGCTGCCAACTGGTGGGCCATTAATTACTGGATAGCCAGTTCCGTACATTGGAGGGGGTGGAGGGAGTGGAAGATTCATTGAAGGAGGTTGAGGAGGAAGTGAATTTATTGGAGAAATTGATGGGGATGGAGGTGAATAAAAAGGTAGAGAAGGAAGTGGTGGTGGTGGTGGTGGGGGAATTAAAGGTGAAGGTGGTGGTGGGGGTAAGGGAAAGTTTGTTGTATATGGATTTGAAGAAATAGAAGAGGAAGAAATTGGTGGTAATTGAGGAGAATAATAAGAAGGATTTTGTGTTGGTGGTTGTGGTGATGGTGGTGGTGGAGGTAATCCTGAAGGAGAACAAAGAAAACCTTAAGAAAAAATAATAATAATTATTTTTTAGAAATTCTAAAAATAACCTGGTACTAGTCCATAATTAGGTCCATAAATATTTTTATTTCCATCTAAAGCTATTACAGAAATAAATAAAAATATAAAATTAATATAAATTTGGATAAAAATAAAATTATTAATATTTTTAAACATTTTTAATTTTGTTAAAAATAATAATTATTTGGCCATTTTTATATGCTTTACGAAAATAATTTTTAGAGGCAAGCATAGTTTTTGCAACTTTTGTATTTAGGCAAAGGATTAAGTTGAGGGGGGGGTGGGTGGGGGAGATTTTGTGTTTAAACGAATTAAAATAAAATTATTTTTTGAGGTTTTCCAGTCTATTGGGCTTTTTTAAAAGAAAAAAGTTTTTTTGTTCTATATTTTTGAGAGATTAGCTAATATACAATTTAGGAACATTGAATCAAAATCAAGTTTTTTAAAAGTTTTTATTTTTAGAATTATTATATATTTATTTTTATTTATTTTTGTTGGTTGTTGCTATGGAAATTAATAAATAAATAAATATTTATTTAAATATTTTTTAAAATTATTAAAAAGAAATGGAAGTACAACAAAAAATTAATTTAAAGAATAATTTATATTTACAAATTTGTCTTTATTTTCATTTTCGTCTTCTTCCTTTTATTTTATTTTCACAAATTATTTGTTTTGGAATTAAGGTATTTTTTGTTAATAATTAAAAATTAATTAATTTTTATTTTTTATTTTGAATATTTACATCCAACATATCGAGTTGTTTTGTTGTCCCTTCATTTAATTTCTGTTTTTATTCAAATTATTCGGCCATTTCTTGGTTATTTGGGGAATTTAAAAGAAAAAGTTTGTTTTTAAAAAAAATATTTTTTAAATTAAAATTTAAATAAATATACTTATGTTAAGGTAAAAAATTAAAAAAAATATATACTTATAAATTCTATTACTTTTCCAAACATTAATTATCATTAAATAATTCTTGATTTATTTATTCTAAATTCCCTTATACAAATTCTAATTTTCTTTTATTTCCAAAAAGATGCCAGAATTATCCGGTTTTTGGATTTTAACAGCTCTTCTACATTTACCTTCACAACTATTTTTGGGTTTAAATCCAGATATTTGGCAATTACCTTTAGAAAAATACACAATTTTATTAGAAATTATTTTTTCTTTTATTGAGGTTTTTTTTTTAAATTTTAAATTAAATTTAAATAAAAAAAAGTTGCTTACTTCAACTATTTTACTTCGTAAATTATCTCAACTTCAAATGGAAAGATTTAAAAGAGCAGCAACTTTAGCCATTCAAAAAGAAGAAGAAAAACAAAATGAAAATAAAGAAAAATATTAAAAATATTTTTAATTTAATTAATTATTTTGTGGATATTTTTAAATTTTCTGTTAAAATAATACAGACTGAGAATTACCAAATAAATATTTACAATTTCTGGTATAATTAATCGAATTATTATCCCCCATACCCCCCCCCCATTTCCTCGTTTTCTCCATTATCTATAATATTAATGAGGTACTTAGAGGTCGATCGGAATTCCAATTTGTGGCACTTTCGTCATTCCCGATCGACCCCCTGGATGTAATAAAAAAATTTAAAATAAATTATTTACAAATTAATTATTTAAACTTTGGGAAGTAAAATTTTATTTTTTATTTATGTAGACAAATAAAATAATTTTTTAAAAGAAACAACTGTCGGCTGTCCTTTTTTCAATAAAATCCGGTCATTTAAAGAAAAATAAAAAGAGTTTAAAAAATCTTTTCCTCCCCATCTGCTTTTTACTTTTCTTCCAAATCACTTTTTGCTATAATAATCCACCAAAATATTTTATGGATTTTTGAATGATTTTCTTCATTTTTTTAGTTTTTTAAAAGAAATGAGTTTTCGAAATCGGCGTAAAAGTTCTGGGCCGAGTTCTAATTTTATGTCAATTCGACGCCGTTCAAGTGCAACACAAAGAGATTTTGAAATTTTGATGTTTCAAGTAATTTTTTGTTTAAAATAAAAAATAAATTGATTAAAAAAAGAAAAAACAAAGATTTCCTGATTGGTTATTAATTATTATAATGCTTGGAGGGCCTGTTTGTTTAATTCTTTTTAGTTTAGAAATATCATCAAATAATGTTGAGGTAGAACATAATGCCTTCACAATATTTTATTTATTTGTTTTTTTAAAGTTATTTTCACTTTCTGGGCCTTTAATTGTTTTATTAGTTTCCCAACTTCAACTTTTCTTTTTATGGCATATCCCAGCAAAAGAATTAATTCAACTTACAGAAGAAGATCCCCCACAACCAATTAAACATAAAAATACTTCTTTCGAATCTTGTATTTTAATTTGTTTAATTTATTTGTTTGGGGCTCTTTTAAATTTATATCCAGGAGAATTAGTAAGTTAAAAATTAATTTAAATAAATTAACTAAAAATCATTTGCCAACATTTCCAATTTTCGGGAATCGGGACGGCAGGATTCCCTTATGTAATTGGTTGGGTTTTAGGCGTGACCGGACAATCCGTCAGTGGACAATCCGGCAGTGGAAAATCCGTCAGTGGACAATCCGTCAGTGGCCGGACAATGCGTCAGTGGACAATCCGTCAGTGAACAAATGAATAATTCTTACCTCTACTTGACCTACCGCGGCCAAGAATTTTCATTTTTTTCGCGTTGGGGATTATAAGAGATTCGAAAATTTGGAAATTAATGAGGAAATCGGAAAATTTGGGTGAATTAAAAGGTCATTGGATTCGAGAGACATTGGGCAATTTTGATGAATTAAGCGAATGTCAAAGGATTTAGAAGGATATCGGGATTTGGATGGATTAGATCACCGTGATCAACGGGTGGGATTATTGTTGGATTTGGATAAATATCGTGGGATTATCGTGGGATTATGGAACAATGTATAATAGATTGTTTTTAGTTGAATATCTTGGAACCACCATCAAATCCTCTTGATCAATCTATATCCGTTGATATCCCACTTAATCCACGAAATCCCTCTTAAACTCACAAATTCCTCGATAACCATAATACTCCAGATATATTGTATTTCCCTTAATTCCACGATATCGTTTGAAATATCCGATATCTCTTAAATCCAATGACCTTTTAATTCACCCAAATTTGCCGATTTTCTCATTAATCTCCAAATTTTCAAATATCTTATAATCCCCAATACGAAAAAATGATAATTTTTGGTAGCGGTAGGTTGGGTTGAGTAAAAATTACTAATTTGTTCAATGACGGATTGACCACTGACGGATTGTCCGACTAATGACGGATTGTCCACTGACGGATTTTCCACTGCCGGATTGTCCACTGACGGATTGTCCGGGAGCCGTTTTAGGATCTAATTTTAAATTTATCCGAGGCTCTAATTGAGAGGTGTGGGTAATATAGATGTAAATATTAAATTAACCAAAGATTTAAAAGACTTTAAAACAAAATTATCAATTAATTATCATTTTTGGAGGAACTAAATATATACATATGTATATTAAATATTCTCTCCTTTATTTTAAAGATATTTATTCATTGGACATCAATTTTGGCTTCTTTAAGCATCTTTTGTGTTTTACTTTTATTATTAATTTTTCTTTTTCTTCCATCCCAAGAAGATCAACGTTTTGATTTTTCTGTAATTTCACAAATATTTTATGGTCGCCAACTTCGACCTGTTTTATTAACTGTTGATTTAAAAGCTTTTATTACTTGTAGAATTGGGTTTACATTTTGGGCATTATATTTAATTTCTTCAATTTTTGAATATCAAAAACTTTATCCAAATGATAAACCTTCATGTTAAGATAAAATTTTAAATTAAAAAGTTTTCCCTTCTTTAAAGTCTCTTTATTAACAACTTTTTTCCTTCAATTTTTTTATGTTTTGCGTAGACAATGGTTCGAACATTTACATACAGGATTGGATAATAAAAATGATAGAGCTGGTTTTTATAGAATTTGGATGGTCTTAAATTTATTAATTTGTTTATATCTTTTGCCTATTTCTATTGGAATTAAGGCAAAAAAATTAAAATAAATTTTTTTGAAAAAAAATAATTTTAAAGGAACCAGAATTTGAACGTTCTTCCCCCCTTTTGTGTGGAATTTTATTTTTATTAGGTTTAGTCTTTCAATGGATTAATACAACAATTGATTTACAAAAATATAATTTTCGTCAAAATATTGGTCAGTTGAAAATTGATGGGAAAGATCCTTTTTATATTTGTGCAAGATATAGAAGAGAAGGGGGAGAAATGGGAACAACTTTATTACTTGGTAATATTTTATTTAAAAAATTAAAAATTTGAGTAAAGTTTGACCACATTAAAAATGATATAGGCATTCAAAGTCAATAGGTATTAAGAACTCGGGCGGTAAAGGACCAAATGGGGAGCGGTCTCCCTGGCAATAATTGCCAGGAGGTTTCAGTTTCACCTCCTGACACCTCACTTTTTGGTATAGATAATTATTTTGAATATCGATTAATATTTGGATAAATATTTTGGTCGCATAAAATTTGAAATGACGTTTTTAAGGGTTCGTTTTAATTTTCTAGACAAGTAATATTAAAAATGGTTTTAAATCCAGAGCTGTAATTGTTTTATTTTGTTAGTAAATAGGAATGCCTAAGACGTTCCTCTCTCTGTTAGTATATTCTAAAATTAAATTTTATTTTTAATTTCTAAAAATGTTTTATTTATTTTTTATTAAAAAGGAAGTGGTTATTGGGGTCTATGTAGACATCCAAATTATTTAACAGAATTTTTTACATTTCTCTGTTGGACATTACCGTGGAATGATTTATTAATTTATTTACCTTTAATTATTTTATTTTTAATTCTTTGGTGGAGAATGGTTAGAGATGAAATAAGGTGTTCAATTAAATATGGACAATTTTGGATACAACATTGCCAAAGAGTACCCTATTTATTAATTCCAGGAATTTATTGAAAAAATTAAATTTATTTTTTTTAAATTTTAATAAAGAGATCAGAAAAATTTTTGTATTTAATTTCTAATTTATAAATGAATTAATCAATTGAGACTAGAGACAAAAAATCTTAATATTTTACAAAAAACCTCTTCTATATTTTCCCATCCAATTCAATAATTTCTCTATAAATTTCATCCAAAAGAGAATCCTCATAAGCTGGTGGAGGTGAACGTCCACTTGTTATTGAAGTATTTGAAGCAGCATTTCCATATATTGGAGGGGGAATTATTGCTTGTTTTCCTTCTTTTTTAACTGCCAAATTTCTTTTTCGAATATTTCTTGCATCTAAAAATAAATTTTAAAAATTTTTTTTTAAATTTTAAATAAAAAAAACTTTGAATTGCTTTAAAATTTCTTTCTCTCAATCGAGCAGTGAGTCTTTGGATTACTCTTCTTGTACGTCTAATTTCACCAAAATTATCCAATTCCCATTGTTTACATTTATTAATTCCAACAATCATCGCTATAACCATTCCAATACAAAAAATAATTGTCGGAATAATTATTTCTGTAACAACATTTGTTGATGGAATATAAAATTGTTGTCCGGATCCAGCATTCATTTCTAGTCTGTAAAATTGTTTTTAATTTTCAGAAAATTTACAAGTCTTTATTTCCAAGATAAATATGTAGTTTTCAACTGGCCACGCTCAACAGGCCCGTTCCAGCCCCTCTACCGTTTAGCCTATATAAATACTGTAAATTTAGAAAGAATGTCTCTCTCTTTCAACAAATTGTTCTTCTTTTCCAAATTCTTCAAATTTAATATCCATCAACAATGTTACAAATTATTTTCTTCTTTCTGTCATTTGTGTTATACCTCAACTTTTTATTCTACTTCACGTGCTGTAAAAATACCAAAAAGCAAAAAAAGACACGTTCTGCAAGCAAAAATGTTGTTGAGAAGAAATGTAACCACCACAAGCCTATTCGGAAAGGTTCAGAACGGAAAGGATCAAATGATCGAAAAGGTTCAGATGACAAGAAGGGTTCAAAACGAAAGATTTCAGAACGAGAACATCCTCTTCAAAAAATCTCAGAAAAAGAAATCAAAACACAAAAGACAATAAAGGAAAATAATCAGAAAAAAGATGCTACTGTTAAATCAAAAGAAGAAGTTATTACAGTCAAAAAAGAGCAAGAAGTAAAAGTTGAAGTAAAGACTAAAGAGAAAGAAAAGCAAAATGAAGTGGAGAAAATTGCAGTCAATTCGGGTAGGGATTTTAAAATAATTTTATAAAGTGGTAGCTTAAGTTTTTTGTTGAAGTTGGGGATATAGTTAGCAGTTTACCTCATAAATTTAGAAAAATTACCGGGACCCGTAATGGAGTTGAATTTAGAAAGGTAGGAAGAAAGGGATCTCTTGTAAATCCAGAAAGTCCCGAAACTTTCTAAATAAATCCGGGATTCAGGTTCGGGATTCCTGAATAGTTTAGAGTATATTTTGTCTACCTGAATCCCGGATTTATTTAGAAAGTTTCGGTTCATTGAAAGTTTCATTGGGTATCAATAAGGGTTTTACTCCCAAATCACTCACTCTCATATCAAAATTACCAATATAAAAATACACGGAAAATATATAATTTTTTTCAGTTAAAATAGAAGAAATAAATGGAGGGATTGCTGTTTCTTTTAAAATGCCAAATGAAAACAGTTTGGCAACAATATCTGATCTTGAAAAATATAAAGAAGAAAATGCTCTTGCGAACGAGACAACTTCTAATTATGAGAAAACAGCTAAAACTATGAGAAAGTAAAAATTACTGTAATTTGTAATATTGTGTAATTTGTATTTGTGTACTTACATTAATTGTTGTGTTTAAATGAATAAATGGATATTTAATAAAATCTGTTTTGTAGTTTTCGAATAGACCACTAATTTTATCAGTTAATTCCCGATTGCTAAGTTTTGATAAAAGATTTCGGTACTTTGTTCATATCCCGCCCCCCACCCCTATTTGAGTCTCAGATTAATTTTCCTTCCTTGCCGTCAATCATTTATTTTCCTCCTTTTTTAATGCCAATCATTTTTTTCCCTCAAATATAGGACATCCAAAAGGGCGCGCGGCCATAACGGCGTAAAGCCATAATTTGCTGGAATATTTTTGACCCTTGTCATTTTTGTTATCAATCTCTAGCTCGATGAAAGGAATTTTTTAATATTAATTTTGGTAAGTTTCGAAAATCTTGAAGTAAGTTATGGCTTTGCGCCGTTATGGCCGCGCGCCCTTTTGGATGTCTTATATTTGAGGGAAGAAAATGATTGCCATTAAAAAAGGAGGAAAATAAATGATTGACGGCAAGGAAGGAAAATTAATCTGAGACTCAAATAGGGGTGGGGGGCGGGATATGAACAAAGTACCAAGATTTCTATTATTGATAGTTCTCAACCGGCGGCGCTCAACTGGCTCGTTTCGATTCACTTCGGTGTGGTATGTTTCGGCGCCCATGTTTCCGCGCCAGCTCAGTTATTTTGTTAATTTTCAGGCGCAAATTTGTTCATTCTTTGCTTAGTTTTGATTTGATCTAATGAAATTTATTAACTGACCTTGAAAATTAACAAAAAACGTGGGCGTCCAATCGTGTCTAATCGGATTTACTTCGATTTTTAGAGATATTTACTTAAATTTATCATTTAACTTTTTTATAGTTACTTATTCTTTAAAGCTAGTAATTAATTTGAATAATGGGACGTCGTATTCGTGCACAGCGTAAAGGACGTGGAGGAATTTTCAAATCGCATAGTAAACATCGCAAGGGACCTGCCAAGCTTCGCCCTGTTGATTATTCTGAACGACATGGTTATATTCGAGGAATTATTAAGGATATAATTCATGACCCTGGTCGTGGTGCTCCTCTTGCTGTTGTTCACTTTCGTGATCCTTATAAATACCGAATAAAGAAGGAGTTAATGATTGCAGCAGAAGGTTTATATACTGGGCAATTTATTTATTGTGGCAAAAAAGGTTTATTTGATAAATAGAAGAAGGAAATAATTTTTCCAATTTATTTAGCCCAAGTTCAAATTGGAAATGTTATGCCTATTGGAGAATTACCTGAAGGAACGACTGTCTGTAATCTTGAGGAAAAGGCAGGAGACCGTGGTCGATTAGCTAGAACTTCAGGTTTATTATACGTTAAATATATAGAATGATATCTGGCCCCGATTCTTTATTAGAAGGAAATTTCTAAACAACGGAATTCCTACTTATTAGAATAGGGGCAGTTTAAGAATCAAACTTTTAACAAGTTTATCAAATATAAATTTAAGGAAACTATGCCACTGTTATTGCTCACAAACCGGATGTTAAACGTACACGTATTCGTCTTCCTTCTGGAGCCAAAAAAGTTGTTCCTTCTGCGAATCGTGCGATGATTGGTATTTTATTAATAAAAATAATTTTTAATAAAACATGGGTTTATCGCCTCATTTTCATTTCCTTGTATTTCTGCGTAAGGTTTTAAACGTTGTTTGCGTTAGAAGTAAAAAATTCCCAGTAAAGTTAGGATTTAATTCCCAATAAAAATATAAATTATGACTCTTGAACCGATACAATGTTATTGAATCCAAAAGTAACCACTAAAGTCAATTGATAAATGAAAGTTGAAGAATAAGTGCAAGGCTATTACTGGGATAGGTTTTTGCAAATAAAAAAAGGATCTAAAAGAGTTTTGAAATTAAAAGGAAATTTTAACGATTTTTCCTTTTAATATCTTGAATCTTTTCTTTTAAATTGCTTTATAGGTATTGTTGCTGGTGGTGGTCGTACAGACAAACCATTATTAAAGGCTGGACGTTCTTATCACAAATATAAAGCAAAACGTAATTCCTGGCCAAAAGTTCGTGGTGTTGCAATGAATCCAGTTGAGCATCCACACGGAGGTGGAAACCATCAACATATTGGACATCCATCAACGGTGAAGAGAGGTACAAGTGCTGGACGTAAAGTTGGATTAATTGCTGCTCGCCGAACTGGACGTATTCGTGGAGGTAAACCAGAGAAGAGAGGAAAGGATGAAGCAATGTAGAGACAAAAATTAAAAAGAACTTTTTGTGGTGTTAATTTTTGATTTAAATTTGTGGATGTTAATTGTTATGTTGGGAAAAAATAAAATTTGTTATTCAATATTTTTGTTTTAAATATTTGTGAGCTAATTGGTAGGGCAAAATTCTTTTTAAAACGATGAAGATTCGGAATGTATTTGGGTTTTATTGTTTAATAGTAAGATCGAGTCATGAATCGACATATACTTGGTCTGAAAAAGGCTAAGAAAAATACACGGAATGATTTAAAAATGTTTTTTTCTTCCCACACTTTTTTTGTTCTGAATTGTTAGACGTCCTCAATTTCAATCTATTTCCCTGTGGCATATTAAAATGAGAGACACTGATAAAGAAAAGATTAATTTTTTTGCAAAGTAACCAGAATAAAATAACTCACTAGATGCGGAATAACATGGTCTTAACAAAACACGGAACGACAGAAAGACGGAATATTTTTAAAATCAGAGTAGTTTTTGAAATCAGAATATTTTTAATCATTTTTGAACAATCATTTTTTGATAATTGAATATTTTAAAAGCATACAAGAATTATTATCTCTTTGGCCGTGTTTTGTCTGTTCCGTGTTTTGGAATTCCTTGTTTGCCCTTTACCCGCGGAAATGGCCGTGGACCGAGATATAAGTCCCCGAATATTGAAGAACCATAGGGGGAGTAAGCTCATTTTTAGGGTCAAAAAATGTAGTGAAAGGAAGAAAATTCGATCATTCTGTAAATATAAAAAGAAAAAACTTAGGGAAGAAAAAAGTGGAACCCTAAACCTTGGTTTATACAACAATCTACCATTATTAATGTTACATATGTACATATTGGCCTTTAATTATAGACAAAAAACATTTTTTATTCAATTATTTTATTTTTTCATTAATATTTGAAGGGGGAGGATTAATTATTAAGCTATTTAATTGTGAATTTGTTGTATGTAAAAGTGTTTTGACTTTAATTGTTGGAGAAACAAGCTCAGAATTATTATCATCAATCCATTCTATTTGTCCATCAGATTCGATTGTTATTGCTTTTGTTTTTGGATTAAATGCGACAGAAGAATTGTTTTTTGGGCCTTCTTTTCTCCATTTCCAACTTTTAGTACTTTTAATTCCCGCACCTTTTAATAATGTTGAAGAATGTCTTCTTCTGTAATGCCTAATATATTGACATTTAACTATAATAAATATAATTGTTAAAGTAATAATAGCTCCAATTAAGCAAATAATTGTTAATGCAAGGAAAACATCATTCATTTCCCATCTTGTCAATGCCATTTTTTGATATTTTTCTAATGATAGGAAAACTTTAAAAAATTTTAAAAAATAAAATTAGAAATATTATACAGATAAAACAAAAATCTGCCCGGACACCCACCTCCTCTGGGAAGAATTATAATGGGGGAGTCAGCTGTGATATATGAATTAAATCGAATACTTACAAATATTTTTAATTAAATAGTTCCTGCTAAGACAATCAGAGCATTTTAAGTTAAATTTTTTGATGTTTCGGAAGCAATAGTAGAGTTAATATGGCATTAATTAAATAATTGAATATGTATTTAATGACAAAAATTAGGATTATTATAACACAGAATAATCCCTAAAAGTTAAGGTTTTAACATGATGCAATACCAACGGAAGCCCAGAAAATTTGGCCCAGAAGCCCTATGACCCAGAGGCTTTAAAACCCCGAAAAAAGTCCTGAAGCTTAAAACTCCTATTAAAAATTTTGTTGTGCAAAAACAATATTTTGAGGATAAGAGAAATGAAGGACAAAATTTAAGAAATGTTAGCAGACAACAAGAATGCCCTGTCAATATAAGCTATTCATTGATTTTAAATATCCTTGGTGATTTGAGTGAGTCCACAAGGAAGTGCACATATCCTTTACTTCTCTCACTTTAAATCCTTTCTTCAAATAATAGGTTTAAACGTTTAGGTTATAATATGATGAGTAGAGGAAATGCTGATTTAGTGTATATACATATTTTCAAAAGGATTAATAAAATGTCATAATAAGAAACTCTAATTAGTTAAAATTAAATTTATTAGACTACCGGTCAAAAGTAATACTCCTGGGGGCATTTAGATGTTTTTCTACATCGGAAGTTTAACGACCTTCATCTCTCTTCTGAATTTTTCATCGAAAATAAGATTAATGCTTTCTTGTAGCAAATTTCAAAGGCTTCAATTGAACCCGAAATGAAAATTCAGAATAATCTATGAGGGGTCGAAAATATTTTTTAAAGAGCCTTACATCTGTTTTCGTTGATTTTCAATGTATCAGGATCTCGACCTTGGGTAAAGGATTTGAGCTGTTTTTTCGAACTTTTTATTTTTGCAAATTTTTCCTAATGTTAAAAACAACTTTTTAGGGAAGTGAATTTATATTTAGTAGAGGTCCATTAAAAAAAGTTGTAACTTTTAAATTTGATGCATATTAAAACACATAAAAAGATGCCAAAAAAGATTGGAATTTTGATAATAATTCGAAAGCTTTATTAAGTTTTCTAAATTTTGGTGAACCTAACTTTTGTGGAGCAATGTAAAAATTTTCTCAAAATACCTAACTTTGTGATCTTCTGTTAACTTTAAATGAGTGACACCTTTAGGGTGGCCCCGTGGGCTTCATCTAATAGTAATCTCGGCAATCAACGTTATTTTATGCTGGAGGATAAAAGTATAAAGTAGTTTCAAAAAGGTGAATTCAGAGTGTGGGAGGAGCCCCCCTCTCCCCTTCCTAATTAAAAAGAGGCCGACTGGCAGGAGCATTAAAGTTGTCTGTCACGAGCAGTTAAGTATTCATTATTTAATGGCGTTATGAATTGTGACAATTTATGTAATGGCTAAAAAATAAATAATCGAAATACATATTCGTTTGATGCATCATCAACTTTGTTTAATCTACAAAAAATAAAACAAGTTTTTTTTGAATTTGTGTGTATGATCGTTTAAATATTTTTTAATTTAAATTAAAAGTTAATTTTCTCAAAATTTTTAAGAAAGCTTGTTGTCAAAGTATTTGTAAAATACAGATATAACTATTTCCTTTATTTGACTGTCAATTAATAGAAATGGCTGCAATGAACCCAGAATAGTATGTAGCTATAATTTAATCAGATCTGCTCAAGGATACTGATTTTGGTATCCGTATCCGAATATTTACGGCGAATACAGGCGAATATCCGCAGGCATCTTGATATTTTCTGTATACATATCCATGAGCAGGTCTGAATTTAATTATAAATAATTTAAACAATTAATTTTTAAATTCCAAATTCAATTCATTTTTAGCGATTATTTATTCAAATTGTTGCTTATTGGTGATTCTGGTGTTGGCAAGTCTTGTATACTTCTCAGATTTGCTGATGACACATACACAGAGTCATATATTTCTACAATTGGTGTTGACTTTGTATGACAGTTTTCTCCAAAATAATCTTCTTTTTTCTTTTTAGAAAATTCGTACAATTGAATTGGAGGGAAAGACAATTAAGCTACAAATTGTAAATTTATTTTTAATATAAAATTGCCTTTCTTTCTAGTGGGATACGGCCGGTCAGGAGCGTTTCCGTACAATAACTTCTAGTTATTACCGGGGCGCTCATGGAATAATTGTCGTTTATGATATTACTGACCAGGTTTGTTTTTTAATATTTTTTTAAATTTAAATTAAAAATGTTTAAAAAAGGATTCTTTCAACAATGTCAAACAATGGTTGCAGGAAATTGATCGATATGCTTCTGAGAGTGTGAACAAATTATTGGTTGGTAATAAATGCGATTTGACTAATAAACGTGCTATTGAGACTAATGTTGCGAAGGTTTTTTTGTTTAAATTATTTATAAAAATATATTTTTGGTCCATTCACGATTCTTGTGAATTCACGTTCCATAAATTGTTTGGATTTTACGAGTTTTTATCCCTGTTATTTATTATTTTTTTTGTAAATAATTTAATTCAATCATTCCATCAAACAGTTTTTTAATAGAATTCAGACAATTTTTTATTTAATCTCTAAATATTTATCCTATTTTCGATATTTAGCACACAGTTTTTTGTTAGATTCTTTAATGTATTTTTAGGAATATGCTGATCAATTGAACATTCCATTTTTGGAAACTTCAGCAAAGAATTCGACAAATGTTGAACAGGTTAAATCTTTATTTTTAATATAATTTTCAAAAAATATTTTTAGGCTTTCACGACTATGGCAACTGAAATTAAAAATCGTATGGGTCCACTGCAACAGACTGGGGCAAATGCTTCTGCGGTGCGCATTGGGCCGTCGCAACCTGTTCAGGATAAGAAATCTGGAGGATGTTGCTAAATAAATAAAAGGAAGGAAGAGCTTGAAGAGAGAAGTTGTGACGATTGGGGAGGAATAAAAATATATATTTAAATTTTGTGTGGAAAAAATAAAAGGACTTGGAATTTTATGTATTTTTGTTAATTTGAGGGATTGAAAATGTTCTTTTCTCTTATTTTAATTTTTTTTGTAATGAAATCTTTTTTTTTTGAAAGTTTTTGGGGATTTTCTAAACATTCTAAGTAATTTTGTGAAGAGACTTGAGAAATTTAATTTTTAAGATTATAATTTCTCTAAATCCTTTTACAAATAAGATTTCAAAACAAATATAATCACTCCCTCCTTCCTCGAATTTTTTGCTTAAAACTGTCATTTTCCTCTCCCCATATATGTGTGTGTTGTGTTGCATCATTGCTTTTCAATTGTATTTCCTATTCTAGAAATACCTTTGGACGTAAATAAATATATTCAATTATGTAAAATTAATTTTTATAAGGGGCAAGGGACTTGTATTTAATTTTGTTAAAATACTTATTCATCCCTCTCATTTATTCTTCCCTCAAATAAAAAATGGATTTAGTAAGGAATATTTAAAGTAGAATTTATTAAAAATAACACAAATCTTTTATTTTTTTCTAACAAAAATTGGGGTTTTTATTTAAAAAAGATTGTATTAAATAATTAAAAATAAAAATTATTTTTAAATAAATAAATAGTTTAGAATATTCTAAAGTTTTTTTAAAGATTTTTTTGAAAATTAACTTTAAATTTAAATTTAGATGGAAACAAAACAATTTCCCCATTTTTATGGTTATTATAATTATTTGGCTTCGCTTATACAACAACAAACATGGGAAGCTGCACAAAAATATGGAGTGTTAATAAGTTGTAATGATTCTCATGCTGATTTAAAATTCCTTCAGGTTTGTTGGGAAATTTTAATAAAATTTTAGAAATTATTTTTAGAAAATTATTTTTGTTAAAAAAATCTAAATCTACGGGGACTTAAAGTTGTCTTTTATGTTCATGTCTGGTTTCTATCTCATTGTGAACATACCATTCCGGGATTAAAAGTTGAATAGAAACAATTGTTTGTATTACAAATTGGGAACTTATTCCCTTCCCCCAGTCTCTTGACAGATTTTTGACAACTTAACAAATTTAATATTTTTATATTTTTTAAGATTCCATCGCCAGAAAAACGTTATTATGACAGAAGTGTAACAAAATGGCCAGTATTTGGGGATTTGGTATTGATGCATTTAAATGTTTTGAATAATTTAAATGAAAAAAATTGGCATTCGGCATTTATTCACCAAACAAATGTTTTTTTAATTAAATAAAAAATAAAATAATTAATTTTTAGATGTTAAAAATATTTAATCAAGAAATTTTACAAAAAGAGAAAGATGCTAATTGGTTTTGCCCGATACTTTATATTCTTTGTAGTGATCTTAGATTAGTGGCTAAAATTGTAAAATAAAATAAAGTTTCTTTTTTTTAATTAAAAATAAAAATTAAAAGGCAGATAAACAAGGATGTACTTTATGGAGTAGGAGTGATACACAAACCTCAACATTTTATGAAGAAGCAGGTTAACAATTTTATTCAATTTTAAATCTCTTCTCTTATATTTTAAGCTTCACCAATAATGGAAAGTTACAGAATTTGTGTTGCTGAAAGGTTTTTTTTATCTTTTTCCAAATAAAAAAAGTTTTTCTAAGTCGTTTGGCTGCCGAAACAACAAAAAAGATTGCAATACTTAATTTAACAAATCAATTATTTCGAATTTATTTTGGGGTAATTTATTAATTAAATTTCAAAAATTTAATTAAAAAACAGATTAATCGTCTACATTTATTAAAACCTTTAATTCGAAGTATTGACCACGTTGGGGATTTATATCAACGTTTTTCTATGGCAGATAAAATTACTTATAAATATTTTTTGGGAAGAAAAGCAATGTTTGATATGGTAAAAAATTGTGAAGAAATTTTAAATTAAAATTTAAAGGATTTGGCAAAAGCTGAGGACTCTTTAACTTTTTCTTTTGAAAATTGTCCGGCAAATTATGTTAGAAATAAACGTTTAATTCTCATGTATTTAATTCCTGTTAAAATGTTTTTGGGGCATATGCCGACACAACAATTACTTTTAAATTATAATTTACAACAATTTTCTGATGTTGTTACAAGTGTTAAGTAAGAGAGGGACGGGGAATTAAATTTAAAAAAATTTATTTTTTAAAAGAGATGGAAATCTTCGAGAATTAAATGCAGCATTACATAAACATCAACATTTCTTTATTAAATGTGGAATATTTTTAATGCTTGAAAAACTTAAAGGAACAACTTACAGAAATTTATTTAAAAAAATGTGAGTAAATTAGATTTTGAAAATATTATAAAAAATAGAGAAAAAAAAGATTAGCATAACTTTGTTATTAATTTTGTTTAAATTAACTAAAAATAAATTACTCGCTTAATTTGCCGCAAATAATTTCTAATTTAATTAATTTATCCTTTTAAACATTTTTTGTACTAGGAAGTCTCACTCACTTTATTTTTCTCAATTTCAGTGCTCTTATTTTAAACACTCATTTAATTAAATTGGAGGCATTTCTTGCTATACTTCATTTTCTTGGGACAGATATTGATGCTGATGAATTAGCTTGTATTTTGGCTAATTTAATTGCCCAAGTAATTTTATAAATATTTTTAAAAAAAATATTTTTTAATTTTTAGAAAAAAATAAAGGGATATATTTCACATCAAAAACAAACTTTGGTTATTGCCAAACAGAAGGCATTTCCTCCACTTTCGGCAAAATAAAATATATATAAATTTATTTTTTAATTTTGTTTTGTTAAAAAATGTGAAATTGTATTTTTTATTGCATATGTTTGTCTTATAAAAGAAAAATTTGTGTAAAAAATATTAATTAATTATGCGGATATATCACATTAATTTTAAAAAAAGTTTTGCGTCTTTTTGCGCGTAATTTCCAGTTTTTGCCATCGCTATATCTTGTCTACTCTCCCCAAATATATTTTCTATCATAGGGAAAGGAAAAACAAAAATTATTAATTAAAAAATGTTTAATAAATTTACTTTTAATATTATTTTTTGTTTTTTATTATTTAATTTTGTATTTGGACAAAGGGATTTCCCTGCTGTTCATCCAAGGTATAAAGGAATTATTTTGTGTTACAAAAATATTTTTTTCAAAAAAAGATCTTTATTGCTTACAAGTAACAGTAAAAACGGGGAACCTTCATTTGAACAAAGAGTTAAAGCTTTCCCTGCAAGAACAACAACAAACAAAACTCCATTATTTTCACGATCAACTTTTAAATTATTTAATAATCCAACATCAACAACAACAGGAAAACCAGCATTTACTGGAAAACCGGGTAAAAATTAGAAAAAGAAATTGACAGTAATTTTAAATTAAAAAAAGGTTGTCAAGTAGATATTGTTCTTTTAATTGATATGTCTGGAGGGGCTGTAGACAAAAGAGAAAAGTATTTAGCTTTAGCTTCTGATTTAGTTAGACAATTAGATATTGGAGTATATTCGGCACAAGTATGTACTTTTTAAAAAATAAATTTTCTCTTTAATTTTAAAAAGGTTGCTTTGGTTCGTTATTCGGGTAAAGGCAGGACAGACACAGTTTTTCGATTAAAAAATAGGCACAATCAAACATCATTAATTAATGGTAGAATATAAATTAAAAATAAAATCAGTAAAAAATATTTTCTTGTAGAATTATCACAAATTCAAGCCTTAGGAGGGACAACACGAACAAAAGAAGCGATGTTACACGCTAAAAGGGAATTTGAGAAGAAATTTGGGGGACGTGAAAAGGCTGATAAAATAATGATTGTATTTACTGACGGATATAGTCAAGATGATCCTTCAGATATTGCAGCAGATTTTAGAAAAGAAAAAATTCATGTATATGCTGTTGCTGTGGAAGATGAGGAATTAAAACCTAATGAAGAGCAATTAAAAGTTATTGCCAGTGATCCACAAGTACATAATTAAAAAAGAAATATGTATTCTTTCTTCTTTTTTTAGTCTGTAGTGATTGGAACTGCACAATTTGCTAATCTTAAACAAAAAGTGGCACAACCACGTTGTCGACAGTAGAAAGAAAAAATAAAGTAAATTAGCAATTGTGAGGGAATCTCTTCTATTTTAATTTGTAGGGGACTAAGAAAGGGTTGGGAGGTAAAATATTAAAATACATATATTTAATTAATTAATTGTTCTTTAATTTTATTAAAAATCTCTAAAATATACATTTATTTTATAATTTCCTGACAATATAAAATAATTAAACCGGGCTAAACATAAAAAAAAACAAACAAAATTTTCACTATTCATTTTATGATTGATTGAAAATAAAAATATTTTGATATTTTTGAAGGAAAATGTGTGTATAAACAAAAAACATGTTTTTGCTCAATACACAAATCAAAGGAAAAAGAGAAAATAAATTCAAATAAAAACATTCTTTCCCTTAAACAATTTCTCGAAAAGAATGCCAAAAAGAATATTTAACAGAGGTTTTTATTTTTGCGGCAAAGATATAGTAAAATAATTACACCGGGGGATTTATGAGGATTTTCTAGAAAAAAAGATATGCTGAAATAATTAATATTTAAATAGAGAGAGGTGTTTTTGGATGGACGGAAGGAAGCGAATCATTTTAAAAAGAAAATAAAAATAATATATTTTAAAATAATCTAAACAAACATTTAAAAAGAGGTAAAAAAGAGGGAGGGGGAAGAAAATTAGGCAAAAGGGAAAAGTTTCTAACAATTAAAAGAATATTTGAGTGCTACCTGCTTTGTTTGAGTAATAAATTTAAAAAATATAAGCGAAAGGAGGGGAGGAGTAAATATTAGAGAAACAAAAAAGGGGGGTTTGTACAAAAAAAAATTTTTCAAAAATAAAAAAATAAGTATTTGAAAGGAGAAATTAAAGATTAAACTGCTAATTTGTTAATTAAAAAATTTTGAAAATAAACAAAAAGTTATCCCTCTACCAAATATAAACTGTTTAAATAAACTTTCCTAGATTATTTTTTATTTAACTTCCTCATTTTAAACTTTCAAATTAGCATTAAAAAATATATTTGTACATATTTTAGTAATTAAAGAAAAAAAAGTTTTGAAGAAGGCAGTTTTTTGTTTGTTTGTTTTTAACGCTTAAAAATTACCAAAATTATTATAAATTTACATCGATTTAGAAAAATACATGGCGAGTATTTTTTAAATTTTACTTCGTCTAAATATTTTCCAAAATATTTAATTGATGTTATGGGGGGGGGGGGGAGATTTAAAGAAAAAATTATTTTTTTCACTAAATTCCCGGCCATCTAGCCGCTGCAGTAGCTGCAGCATTTGTTTGTTGTGCAGCATCATTGGCAGCTACAGCAGCAGCAGCTACTTGTTGCTGTCCATATTGAAGCATATTTCTTAATAAACCAAAGCCAGAATTTGCACAAGTAAAAGGCTGTTGTTGTTGTTGCTGTATTTGTCTACCCAAAGAATTTAAAGCAGCCATTGCTGCCTGGGCACTAGGCAATCCTTGTGGCATTCCCAAAGCTACAGAACTAGCCACTAAAGCCCCAGCAAGGGGATTAGAAGCAGCGGCCGCAGCTGCAGCAGCAACTGCTTGATTTGTTTCTTGATTGTTTGAAAGGGAAGAGGAAGAAATAATTTCTTTTTTTGTAGGGACTGGAAAAGCTAGAGAAGATTGTTGTTGTTGAGATTTTTGTAAAGCTTCCGCCTCAGCTCTAGCCTTCATCGCGTGAGACTTCATGTGAGCATTTAATGATTTAACTTTTTCAAATCTGTTAGGGGAAAAGAAAATTTTTTATTAAAAATAATTATTTATATTGTTTTTCTTCTCCCAAAAAGCCATGATGAGTTTATTTTACATAAAAATATTTAAACAAACCGTTTTTCACATAGTCTACAATGAAAGAAGCCATCAGCCTGTGGTTGGGCACCTTTTTTAACTGCTGCTCCATGCTGGCCTTTTACCTAAAAATATTTATGGTGAATTATTTTAATTAAAAAATTAAGTAAATAAGAAATTTCTAGTCATTTTATTATAAAGAGCGTCCAGTAAAGTTAATACCACCAACTTTTAAGATGTAAATTGGTTTTTGAAATTTTGTCATAATTTGTCAAGGGTTTCAGGGAAATCTTCACCATTACTAGGATCTCAAAGGTAATTTTAAATATTAGGACCCCCTCTGGTTCTAGCCCCGCCAACACTAATTGGGTGTAAGTAAGGACCGAGTGAATAATCAAAACAAAATATTCTTAGATTTACTTTATGTGTTCCTCCAAAATGATTATTATTACGGCCTTCAAAATCTGCTGTCATTATTGTTTCCAATCCACCTAATAATCCCCCATCGTGATGATTGCCAACACCAAAATGTGTTTCGTTGTTATTTGAGGTAGTTGAGGAAGAGGGGGACGGAAATATTCCATCAGTTCCGTGTAACCACGGATAATTAGAATTATTTAAAGAATTATTACTGCCACCATTAAAATGTTGTTGTAATGAGGTATTTTGATGTTGTTGATTTCCAAGTAAAACAGAAAGTTGATTTAATGAAGATATTCCTCCTCCTCCTCCATCATTTCCAAGTATATTTGAAGCAGAAATGGGGATTGGGGCTATTGGAGGAGGACATTGTTGATTTCCAGATAATTTTCTGTTTGTTGTTGGAGAACAACATTCCATTCCTTGAATATTTACATTTAAAAGGGAAGGATTTGTTATATCAGATTCTGTTTCCGATAATTCTTCGTCCTGTTTTCCATCTAATTTTAACAATTCATTTTCGTCCTCCCCTGAATTTGTAATTAAATTGTCTATTCCACACCGCATTCTTTTCATGGGATGTTTTTGTAATTGTTGTTGACGAGTGTCAAATGAGGCTAGATCCAACTGAAAATAGAAAAAGTTTAAAATAAAATATTTATCAAAATATCTTCACACCCCCCATCCACCTACAAAAATCCAAAATAATTTCAATTAAAAACAAACTTGTTGTTCAAGCAATTGCCTTTTCCTTCTTAAATTTCTCAATTTTCTATAATCATCTGGACATGCCTTCTTCCAAGTATAATAAAAGGCTACACATTCATAAACACTTCTATTCCCTAATTCAGAAGAAACTTGTTGAAAATCTTTTTCTGATTTATATATTGCATCCTTTTTTTAAAAAATATTTTTTAAGAGAAAAATTTAATTTTTACTTGAAAAGAAGCAATTTCTTCGGGACTCCAATTATCTACATCAACATAACGACTATTATAAATTGCTGGATACTGTTCCCAATCAAGTGTATCACAACGAAGTAAATCCATAACAGCAGCTTGGAGATTCCCTCTATTTTCTGCCAATATATGTAAAGCTAATTCTTTATTTCTTCCAGATTTTGGGAGGGCTACAGAACAAGCTAATGTTTCATAGGCAGCCAAAGCTTGCTGAGAAATATGTTCAATACTTGAGGCATTAAATAAACGTTCATCTCTGTCAGGGATTGCTTCTAAAAGAAATATTTTTTTATTTTAAAATGATGGAAGAAGAATCTATTGAAGTTAGAGAGATGGAATAAACAATAGTTAATTAATTAACCTCTTTCTTCAGAGGAGATAGCTCTGTCAGCCCATTTCTTAACTCTTGCTTGAAAACTCTTTCCAAGATTAATATGTGGAATAGCATCACTTTCTGGTGGTTTTTCCACTCCATCTCCACTTTCTGAACTTTGTTGTTCTTCCATTGAAACAGAGGACATTTTTCTGATAAAATCATCATTTGGAGAAGTAAATGCCCCCAACGATAATTTTCCTCCATGACGAATACTCATACGCCCATAATTGCCAAATATAGATGCTTTATGTGAACGATTAGAAGAGGAAGATTGTTTACGTAACTGTTCCAGTTCAGCAACAAAAGAAAACTAAAAAAAAAGAATAAGTAGGGTGGTCAAGGTTTGTTTGAGGAAGGGGGTGGAGGGGAGGGTTGATTCAACACTTAGGGATTGAAATTTGTATCAGGGTTCGGAGTCAGGATTGGGGATGCGGAGAAAAATTATCAGACGCCTAAAATGGCATTAAATCTTTGTATTTCCCCCAAATCACTAACAAATAAGGTCGGATATCACTCAGGTCGTGCCTCTTCTTCCGATTTTTTACAAAAAATTTCATGTTGGCTATGGACTCAGGCTTTAAATTCTTTCCAATATATAATTACCTCATTGTTAGAAGGACCATCTGCAGCAAATAAAATCCCATTTTTTCTGGGTGGTCTTAAATCGCCATTTGCTGCTGTTTGTGGAGATGTTATTCTTGTATTTTTATCAATTCCACTACCATTCTGTATTTCCCCCCTTTCTTCTTCCCCTCCTCCTTTTTTTAATTTTCCATCTTCATCAATTCTCATTTCTTCCTCCACAATTTCTTCTTTTACAATAATTTCATTTTTTGTTGTCATTTCCTCTTCTTCTCCAAAAATTTCTCGTCTTCTCCCCCTTCCTAAAATTTCCTCTCCTCCTTCCAGTGTTCCTTTACAATTTTTATTACTGCCGTTAGCACCAATATTGCTATTGGCACTTTGATAAACTAAAGTAGACGCCAGTGCAGAATATTTTCGAACTAGAAAAAAATATTATTTTTTAAAAAATTAATTTTTTTTCTTCAAAATATTGTGCAAAATGTAGAAAACAAAAATAATTTATAAAAACTTTCAAAAAAAAAAGAAGAAATGACTAAGAAAAGAGTTTTGTTGCATAAAAGAGCCTTTACAAAGAAGTCATGCAAATGTTAACGAGAAAGAGAGAAGAAACATTTAAAAATAAAATTACTGTAAACACAACAAACAATTAAGTTGTTTTTTTGGAATAAATTGAAAATATTAAATATTTTTAGCATTTAATAAAAAAATTAGTAAGAAAATAGGGAAATCTTTTTTTCAAAAAATGTCAATTTTTGTTTACATTTTATATAATAAAAACAAATTATTACTGTTGAGAGGTTTGTAAAGAAAATTACGGAAAAACGTCATTTTATAATAAAAATATTTATTTTATTGATTTTAATTTAAAATTAATTTTAAAAATTTGTAGAGAAAATAAAGTTCAAAAATAAGTACACATTTTTGAATGAGAAAAAATGTGAGAGTCAGAAATAGCAAAATAATTCTATAATTAATTTCTCTTTAATAATTCTTTTAAAATCTAAAATCTCTTTTACATAATTTCCTTTATTTCCAATTAAACAATAAAAATGTCTAATTTTTATTATCAGTTAAAATAAACAATAAAATTTTAACAATATTTCAAAAAATAACAAGAAGATGACAAATCTGTGTGCAAAAAAAGGAGAAAAGAGAAAAATAAATTTTATGGAAGGAATACAAACATACAAACAATAATTCCTTCTTCCTTTTTTTCATTCACCGACACAAATGCAGTAGCAGCGGATTTTGTGAAGAGGAAAGAAGGAGGTTAAAGTTAGATGGAAAAAGAGAACGGCCGGCTGGTAGTGAATATATTCTCTTTTTACAAAACATTAAATAACAGCAGCTGTTGCTGACACACAAAAAGAAAGTAAACACACGCGCGCATAAACTTTAATTTAGTAAATACAACTAAAATCAGCCATCGATTAAAGCAAAAAGAAAAAAAGGGAAAAAATCAAGGAGAAAAAATGAAGAAATAAAAAGTGATTAAATAGCCAAGAATTTTAATTAAGAGTCTGGACATTTTAAAAATAGAAAAAAAGTAAAAGTCAAAAACTTTGAGTGTTTAATTGTCCTGTAACTTTCAAAATTCCTTTTTTTTTGAGTAAAAATTAAAGAAAAATATTAAAAAATCAGGTGAAAATAGGGGAGAGGAAGTAGAGATTTTTGGAAGAAAAAAATATTTTGTTTGGAAATTTAAAAGAAGCGTTTAATCGGCAAACAAAATCATCAATTGTAAAAAGGAAAAAAGAAAATAATGTTGATTGATGAAGAGGGGAGGGAAGTGTAAAGGGGGAAAAGAAAAATATATAAAAGATTAAAAGCAAATTGTTGGGCCAAAAACATGAGCGGCGCAAAAAAATATTTGTCCAATTGAAAAAGAAAAGAGATTTATGTAGAAAAAAAGTATAGAAATGTGAACTGATTTGAAATATTTAAAAATAAAAAGAGGGAAAAAAGAGGATAGGACATTTGTGTGAAATAAAAGAGGGAAGAATTTCATATTTTGTTGCAGACTTTCTGTTTAGGATTGATAATTATTATCATTTTATTTTTTATGCAAGTCTTTTAAATGAGGAAAGGAATAAAAGTAAAAATTAGAAGGAGAGGGTGGTTATTATTTCGCTTAAGTTTTTTTCAAAGACTTAACTAATTTATTTAATAAATACGTAGAAAAAGGTTTTTCTACAAAATCTTTATTAAGGGCCTTCATTTAAAGTAATCTTTAATAAATAAAAATTAAAAGAAAAGCTATAAAATATTTAAATGTTATTGTGGTAGTGGGGTGACAGCTTGTGCAAAGCTAGTAAAACATTTCTAAATATAAAAGGGCAAATATTAATTGTTGCTGTGAATGAGAGAAAGGGGGGGGGGGGGGGGGTAAATGATTTGTGAGAATGAAATAAATAAAAGTTCTCAAACAAAAAATGTGTGTGTGTGTTCTCCTTTTTTTGAGAAATATTAAAAATAAAATTAAATCCTTTAAAAAATTAAAAAAACAAAACAAAGAAATTAAAGTTTTTTGGAATCTATTTAAGGAATTTGTTTGTTAGAAATAAAAAAAAATTAATTTGAAAAGTTTATAATAAATTGATGAAATGATGAAAAATTTTTTAATGAGAGTTTTCATAATTGCACTTTCTCAAATTTTTTTTGCTAAAAAATTTTGAAATAAAAATTGCGCAAATAAATGATCAAACAATATTTGATAATCAGTTATATAAACTAGGAATTTCGAATTTTTCTGACTACGAGATTTCAAACAACTGTTCAGACAACAATTAGTTGGAGGATTTATGGGATTTATTTTGAAATCGTCACTAGAGTTGCGCGTCAATTGGAAGGGCATTTTAAATATTAATAGTTTTCCTACTGCAGAAAATACATACCAAATTAGAGAATTTATAGTTATGAGACAAAAATGGACATAAAAATAAATAAAAAATAAAAATGAGAAAAGGCTGTTTTTGGGAGCTGTGGAAACGAGACTTTATTAAATATAAACATTTATAAAAGTACAGATTTAGAAAAAAATTTTTTGTGTTATTCTAAGAAAATGCCTAGAAAAGTGTAAATAAATATAAAATAATAATAATAAAAATATATTCTCGGCGGCAATATATGTATTCTCAACTATTTTTATTTGCAAGTTCACAAAAAAATGACATGGAATGACTGACATTAGCCGAGTAAATGCAAAAATGTGTATGTATATTTTAGCAAATTTGTATGTATGTGTATAGACGTGCACAGCCGGTCGGTGTTTTGCTAAAGAGTGGGTCGGTGGTGGTAAAGGGCTTTGGCTCTTTCTGACTTTGCGGGATTGGACCTAAAAAGGTAAAAAGAGAGGAGAGGTTGGAAGATAAAAAAATAAAAGGAAAAGAAGATAAAAAGCAAAGAATGTGACTGGAAAGGGCATCGAGAATCAACTGATGTGTGGTTGCAGTCTGCATTTCTCTTTTCTATTTTTTACTTTTATCCCTAAAAAATTCAAGAGAGTTTATTTTATGGACAAAACGAATGTTAAAGAAAAAAAAAAGGATGGCCATTTTTTGTTGTCTGTCTTCATTTTCATATAGAATAGTTGCCAGCTGGCTAGTGTGTCTGACTTGCACTTTTATATATATATAAACGTTCGTCTTCTGCTAATTTTTTTTCTTTTCTGTCATTCTCTTTTTGGCCAAATCCATTTTTTGTTTTTCTCTCTTTTCCTTTTAAATTTTGAAAAAAAAATTTAGCGGTCACGAGTTGGCGTTGGAGGATAAAAAAGGGGGAAGTGGTTTTACGTGCAAGAGCAAATTGAAAGTTGAAGAAGGGTTGAAGAATTGAGTGAATAGAGAGAAAGAGAACAGAGAGAAAATAAATCTCGACTCAGAATAAAAAAATAAGAGAAGAATTCAAAAATGAATGCGCAATAAAAATAGAGAAGAAAATATTAAAAGTGCATACCTAATTGTAAATAAAAACAGACTTAATTATAAAGGATTGATTTGAAAAATAAAATTATTTTTAAATAAAAGAAAGTAGTAGTAAATATTTTTTTAACAATAATTTATTGTTAGTTACATAAATTTAGTAAAAATTAAGTTTGTTACTTCTCAGAAATATAAATCTAGCTTCCTATACTATTTAAGTGCTTCACCGAATAATTTTGTTTTTTTATAAAAATTAAACTCCTCCATAAATCTAGCTTTTCCCTTCCTTATTTTTTTAATAATAAAATTTCAAGTTTTGTAAAAGATAAAAGTGCAGCCTATTTTGTAAAATAAAATAACAATTAAGAAAAATAAAAAATAATTATTTTAAAAAACATTTAAATATTTATATTAAAATAAATAAATATTTAAGAAAAAGATTTCTTTGTTCTCTTCCAAAAACTTTGTCTATACATTTAACCCCATCTATCCATCCATCAATTCACCCCCCTCCTTTTTATCTTCACCCTCCCCATTCATTTTGTCTTTTTTTATTTTAAAATTTTTAGAGTTTCGAGAAAAAAGGGGAAAATGAACACATGAAAAGTTTATTGGTTGGTTGTTCTTTTTTTTATTTTAAAAAGAAAGGGTGGAGAAGAGTTGAAGATTTTTTACTTTTTGCTGTTTGAATGTGTGTAAAAAAGAGAAAAAGGTACTTTTCTGTTTTGCCACACCCCACCCATATATTCGCAGGATATTACTCAATTTCACTTAATTTTCCCTGTGGACTCAATCTTCCGTTCTCACTCGATTTTCCCAAATGTTGATTCCAATTTTGATGACATTGAAAAGAAAAATTAATCTTCTCTTTGTTGGTGTCTATCATGAACATGCCAGAAGGAAAATTGAGCGAAATTGAGGAAGAAAGTAAGCTGACCTTTCTGTACGAATTAAGGAAAAATAAAAAATATATCCTGCGAATATATGGGTGGGGTGTGGCAAAACAGAAAAGTACCGAGAAAAATTAAAAGGGGGAAAATTTTAAAAAATTTTTGAAAAAAAAAGATAAAAAAAATAAAATGAAGAAAAGTGCAAATAAATAAAGAGGAGGAAAAAAAGAAGAGAGAAGATGAGAGAAGAAAAAAGATTTGCAACCAGTTTAGCCATAAAAATAAAAATTTATGATGAGAGAGATTTGAATTGAAATTTAAAACAAAAAAATTAAAAAAGGGGAATAATTCTTTCAAAACTTAAATTTAAAAACAAACAAACATTCTTTTTGGGAAGAAGCAATTTTATTAAAAAGCCCGCTTCCTTGTCTCATTGGTGAAAGAATTGGTGGAGGTGTATATGGCTTAAATGGAGGTAGAGTCCCAGAAGGAGTTGTTGGATTTAAAGAATCAGAAGAATAACGGCAAGGGGAGCGTAATTGGGAATTAAAACGGCGAAGTGAGGGAGTTGTTAATGAAGTTTTGGAATTATTTTTATTAAAATTATTTTCTGTTTGTCGGCCATTTCCGTTTGTTGGTGGCAAAACAATTGACTAAAAAAATAAATAATTTTTAAAAATATTTTTATAGAAATATGTACTTTTGTTCTTCTATAATCTTGTTGTTTATTTATTCCAAAATTATTTGAATTATCTATTAAATTATTATTTTGTTGTGTTGAAGGAGAAGGAACACAAAATATAGCTGTTGAATGTGAACGAATAATGTTATTATTTGGTGGTTGTTTTTGTTGTTGGATTATTCCATCATTTAAATTTTGTGGCAAATAATTATTTGGTTGGTGGTGATGAGGATGGTGATGATATGTTTGATGATCATTACTTTAAGTTAAATATAAATAGTTACATTCTGTTTTAAAATTATAGTGATAATAATTATTTTTTGATCATTGGATATTCTATTTGACTCAGAAAATATTTTCCTTTTAATTTTAATGAATTGATTTTCCAATTTATTTTGGCAAAAAATGAAAGACATTAGAAATCGATTCGGTATCAGTGCTCATAAGTTTGTACCAAAATTTGTACTCATACGTACGAAATACGAGTACAAGGCCAAAAATAAGTGTGGTACGAGGCACAATTTAACTCGTACTTGGTATTAAAAATTAAAGGAATATCCTCAATTTCTTCTTTATCTCGCATAGGAGCGGATGGTCGGGTGGATATGGTGTTAATTGTTATTTATTTTTTCTCCCAATTGTTATTTACTGATGAGTTCGGTTCCTAGTATAAGGACAAGGAATTTTCAAGAGTTTTCAAATATTTCTTTCCATAAATAAATTATTTAATGAGTTCCCGAAATTTTTTCCTTTTCCCTATTTCGGGGGGGGGGGGGCATTCGCCTGGTTGTGGGCCTGCTATCATGATGAAGCCAGCCTTTCTCCTCGATCCGCCTTTTTCAAGGATATTCACTTTGTGTGTGGAAATTATAAGAAAACTGTTTCAACGAATCACCAGGGAGGATTATCAATGCGTGGGATAATTATAATGGGGGGGGGGAGGGGGTGCTTTTCAAAAAAATTTACAAATGAAGTGCTGGCATTGATTCTTTTCTCATTGGCGGTATTTGCCAATATGCTTGTTGTTGTTGCCAATTATTATGTTGAAAATGTTGTTGTTGAAATTGTTGAGAATTTGGATGTTGATGAAAATTGAATTGTTGTTGGTGTTCAGACATTTGTTGTTGATTAATTGGTGAATTTAGTAAATTTAGAGAGTTCTCGTTAAATGTTTGGGGTTGGGGTGAATGTTGAAAAGATGATTTTTGGGGATGTTGATATATTAATGTTGATTGTTGTTGTTGCTGAATATTAGGGGTTGGGAAATAACTGAAAAATTGAAAGGAAATTTAAAAATAAAATTAATTAAATTTAAGAGAATTTTCTTAATTAATATTGACTTCGGATATTAATTTTTATCGAAAATTTTTAAAATTTAATTTAGAGGAACAGATCCGGGCCAATTACTCAACCAAGCTATTAATTTTATTTTAAAACCCAAAAATTAACTACTTCCAATTATTTCCAATAATTTTAAATATAATTTAATAAAAAGTTAAAAATCGATTATTCTGGCAAAAATTGAGAGAGAAATTCAGACAAGACAAATGTCATTATTTCTTCCTTTTTCTCTCTCTATCTCTCCCAACTCAGTTTTTTAGGGCCAAAAATATTTTTACAACAAATATAAAAGATAAACTGATATATACTTCTAGAAGAATTACATATTAGGAAAAAAAATTAGAATAAAGTATGCACATATATTAAAAAAATAAATATAAATTAAAGAAAAGATTATAATTTTTAATAATTTTATAATATAAAGAAATATTTAATTTATTTTGTTTAATAAATTTACATTGTTTATATTTAAATTAAAAAAACAAAAACATTTTTCCTTAAAAATTAAAAACAACAAAGTCTTTTCTTTTTTTAAATAATTTAATCTTTTTAAGCTCAAAAGGTTTATCTGATGTTGTAAATGTATATTTATTTATTTGAAAAAAAAAGATTTCTTTCTTATTAGTTAATATATAATTTTTTTATTATTTTGTTCGCCATTTTTAATGCAAAATATTTAGAAAAAAGAGAAAAATACAAAAAATATATGTATTTCTATTCTCTATTTTCAACTTTTGGCACCAACCGGCGGGGGAAGGTAGGCAGTAAAGTAAGTAAGAGTGTTCCTTCCACGTCCTCAAGAGTGTTTAAATTTATATTTCTCTTTCTGTTTTTTCTCTATTTTTGTGTTAAATATAAACGAGAAATTTTGTTTTTAGACCAAAAATAAATTTCAGATAAAAAAAGAAATATTTAGGTAAAAAGAATTTAAAAAATAAAAAAATTGATGGGAAAAAATGACTGAAATTTTGTATATAATACCTAAATAATTATAACAAATTTAGAAATAATTTTTAAAATTTAATTTTTAAAAAATTAAATAATTTTTTTGTTTTTAGTTAAACAATTTTTTAATTAAAAAAAATTTTTTTATACAATGAAGAGAGGGAGAGAAAAGGAAGGGGAAGGAGAGAGTGTTGCAAGAAACACAAGAGAAGGAAGACTAGCAAGTGGCATTGAAATCGATTGGGGCTGGCAATAATGAAAAGAATATTAGAAAGGAAGGAAGGGAGGGAGGAGGGAATGGGGGGGGGAACACAGAAATGCTTGAAATTTATTTAAAAAAATATTTTTTTGTTTAATTTACAGAGTGCGGCAAATTGGCGGTCGCTTTTGTTTTGGCTATAACTTTTTTTGTTTTAGTCGAAAATCAGAAATTCTTTTTTACTGGATTCCCGACACTTTAGAAAACTTTTTGATATTAAATACTCAAAACTTTATTCCTGATAGGAAAGAGAAACGAGCCAGAACATCTGGAAAATCTAAAAACATTTTTCATCCCAAAGTTGATCATTTAATCCTTGCCGATTTTTACCCAAAAATTTTAAACTTTTTTATCATTAAACATTAAATATTTTTCATTTATAAATATATATTGTACATACGTATTAGTAAGTTGGTATTTAGCAGTTAATAATTACTGATATTCACACACAAAAAATAAATTTTTCTCAATTCTAAACTATGGCACAATTAAATTTTAAATATTTTTTTCTTCAATTTTTATTAGACAATACTACATAGATAGCTGATTTAAATCAGAGATATTGAAGATTTAATCGAAACATTTCTTTTTCCCAAAGATGAGGGTATTTTTATAATTTTAAAGTAAAAAAATAAGAGAAAAATTCTAAAAAGATTTCCGATTAAAAAGAGGAGGGAAAAGAGAATAAAGGGTTTGTTTGATAATTTTTAAAGTTTTTTTTGAAATATTTAAATTACTATTTATTACCTTTGTTGATGTTGAATATGTTGATTAAATGGTTGTTGACAATTATTTATTTGTTTTGAATAATTGTTGTTATTATTATTTATTTGTTGTTGTTCATTTAATTGCATTGGAATTATTTGTTCAAATTCATCACAAATTTTTTGTTGGGAAGAATTAGTATTTAAAAAATTCATTTTCTTCTTCCTTGTTTAACTCCTTTAAAAAAAGGGCTTAAAAAATAAGGAAATTAAAAATTAAATATTAAAAAAAAATAAAATCGATGAAGACAATAAAAAATTATTTAATTTTATATACATATTATTAACATATATTTTATATATAAATAATTTTTATTTGTATTTTACATAATTAAATATTTAAATTTAAATAAAATAATTTTAATTAATTAATTATTGAAGACATTTTTTAAAATAAATTACAAGTTGAATAAATAAATAAATATTTTTGGAAGAAATTTAATTTAAATTTACAAGCAAAATTTGGAAATTTAATTTAAAAATAAATTGATTATTAAATTAAATTAAAAATAAAAATATTTTGAGAAATTCGCTAAATATATAAACGTTTTTAAAATTAAATGGAAATGATAATAATCGGTCATATTTAGGTCGATCGAGAACGTAGAACAACAATTTTTAGGTTAAAAATAAATAATTGAATATATGTAAATATTGGACAGATAAAAGAAGATATATGTATAAAATTAAAAATAAATTTATTTTTAAATAAAAATATATTTTTATTTATTTCCTGCTTTCTAAAAGAAAAATAAATATAAAAAATATGTAATAAATAAATATATTAAATAATAATCCCAATAAATAATTTTTGTTTTAGTAAAAAATGAAAACAAAAAATAATAAAATAAAATAAATATTTAAATAAAGTAAAATTAAAAAATTAATTATTTTAAATTGATGAACTATAAAATAATTCTTTTAATTAATGCGGTATTTACTCAAATAATTACCCCCTTCTTATTAAATACCTCCCTTCAACCATACCCAGGTAAATAAATAAAATTAACAAAAAAAAGAATCAATATTTTGGGACAATTAAAGTAAACTTTAAAAACTGCAGAAAATGAAAAAAATTTAGAAAGGTTTTGAGGGGAAATACATACAAATATTTAGATACAAAATAGCCTTAACTAATTTTAAAAAAAAGACAAGAGAGAGAATACTTGGAATATATAAACAAAAAAACGTAAAAAGACTAGACCGAAAAACCAAGAATAGTAGTTGTTTGGGGCCAAGGAAGGTTTTTAAACTTCAAACATTTTTAGAGAAATTGTGAGAGAGGAGAAGGAAAAAAAGAAGAAAAAAGAGTTGTTTGTTGGTCTATTAAAATATATATAAATATTACCTAAAATAAATATTTTTTTAAAATGTTTTGTTTGTTTGTTGTTATAAAATAGGTATGTAGATGTGAAAATAAAGAAAAAAATACAAGAAAATATAGATGTCGAGAGAAGAAATCGGGAAAAGAAAAGATGTACAAAAATTGTTTTTTTATTTTTGTTTTTAACAATTATGTAGATAATTAAAAATAAAAAATAATAATTACAGAAAAGTTTTGATATTTGTAAAAAGAATTTTTGTAAAGTTTTTTTATTGAATAAAAGTTTAAATTTACTAAAGAGAAAAGAATATACATATTTTTAAATTAGTTTTGTTGGCAAGACTAAATATATTAAAAAATTATTGAAAAATAATTTTTATAAAAAAAAAAGCCAGTCAATATATTAAAAAGAAAATTAATTCTTTTTCCAATTTACTTAATCTCTAATAAATTTATTTATTAAAGCTCTTGTGTGTTAGAGACAAATTGGCATAGCGCGGTTATGTAAAAATTAAAAGGAAAGGGATTGAAAATTTTAAAAGAAAAAAAATTGTTAGTTAAAACAAAAAATGTTCATTTTCCTTATGGTGAAGGAATTAAGCTAAAATAAATTTTTTGTTTAATTTATAGTGACGCTCGCGGCATTAAAAAATTATTCGAGAAGAGAAAACTTGAAAAGAAAGAAAAGGAAAAAAATAAAAAAATTAATATAGAGGTATGCATATTTTTCTCTAAATATGTATTTGAATAAAAGAAAGTATGTAGATAAGTTGGCACATTTAAAAGGCATACACTGCGGTGCATATGTTTATGCACACTTGTTTTTTGTTCATAAGTTTATGCACACTTATTCAAAAAATAAGTTCTATATAGCAATCGAAAGCTCTATTTGTATCTCAGTTGACATGTTTCTGCATTTTTCGAAATTCTGATATTTTCGAAAAATTTTCGACCGGTCTATTAGGTACTACATTTTCAACTTTTCGGAAAAATTTTTTTGAAGTCTGTAAAAAATATATGTGATTCTTCTCCAGATTCTACACACAATACAAAAAATTCATCCAAATCGGTCGAGATTCGACCGAGTTATGAATTTTTGAAAATCGAAAAAATACCATATTTTTGCCATTTTTCGTCAAAAAATCGCGTTTTTTCGATTTTCAAAAAATCATATCTCCGTTCCGGAAAAAGATATTTCTAAGCGGTTTTGTGGTAAATACTCACAAAAATATGCTTTATCAAATGGGCTTGTTAAATTTTTTCCGAAAAATTTTTCCGAGGATATGGGATTTGGTATATCCGGTAGATCCGGATTATCTCGGTCAATTTTCATTTTCATGAAAAATGCAGAAACTGCTGCATTCGCTTAATCAAATAAACAATTTGCATTTTCACATGCAATATAAAGTGACCTTTTTCTAAATAAAAGGTCTCCCGACGTTATCATCCAATTCTCGTTCCTTATCTTATTTTTGTTATTCACTTTCCATTTATATTTTGACCCTTAAGTTGTCTCTATAAATACCCCAGCCTTTTCCTCATTAGAAGAAGATTTGGCCTAGCCAATCTCTCCCTTATTATTGTATCCCATATTTATATGGAGAATAAACTAATGAATAGAATAAATATTTGAAAATGTAATTCAGTCTAATACAAGTCCCCAGAATAGTAGAACCCGAGAAAAAGCTATATAAACCCAAATATAGCAGAAACATGTCAACTGAGATACAGATAGAGCTTTCGATTGCTATATAGAACGTATTTTTTGAATAAGATTGCATAAAATTATGAACAAAAAACTAGTGTGCATAAACATATGCACCGCAGTGTATGTAGGTAAGGTAAGGGGGATTTTATATTTAATAGTTATTAAAAAATCAAAATTTATTGAAAATTTAAATTAACAATTAAATAAACATTGTAATATATGTATGTAGTAGCAGGATTAACTATTTCGATTTCTTATTCAGTTCTTTCAGTTTTCGGTTTTTAATTTTCGTTTCAGCAAATCCCTAGTGTTTATAAATTTCAGATCTGCTCATACTCGTACTCGTATTTCGTAACAAAGTACGAGTACGAATTTTGGTACAAGCTTTTAAACACTGCACAACCCTTATTAGTATGTTAATTATTTTATTTAAATTGAAGAGGCACTCTTAATTTTTTGAAATTGAAATTTTATTTTTAAATTACCTTTAAAAATAATTACAAAAAAGTATAAAAAACATTTTTATAATTTTTAAAAAATCAGATAAAATGGAAATATTTAGAAAAGTTTAGCCTTTGTATCACAAGGGTTAATTTACGAATAAGATAAGCCTCGAAAATAAATACTAAATATACATAAATTTAAAATTAAATATATTTTTTGTTAAATAAAGAATTAAAGGATTAATTAATTTTATTTAAAAATAATATTTTTTAAATTCTTTAAATAAATTACGAAAAGAAACAAAAACAAAGAAAAAATATTTTTCCTACCTTTAAAATTAAAAAAATATTTTGTGAGATTTTATTTTTAAAATAAAAAATTGAAAAAATGTTGTTATGGATATATACTCTTTAAATATTTATTTTTGTATATTTTAAAAATAATTTTTTTAAATTTTTTACGGTAAATTTCCGGTTTTCTTTTAACTATTATTTTATGTACTTTTATTTTTCTTTGATAAATTTCAGAAAAAAAATTAAATTATTTTTAAAAATAGAATAAATAAAATTATTTAAATTAATAAAAAATAAATTAGTTTATACATAGTCAATAATATAAAGTCAATCCATATATCGAAATCATATTCTATATATCGATATCAGAATTCTTATTTAAATTCCATCAAAAACACTTGAACTTTTGGCATTCAAATGGTTTTTTGCAGTTTTTAAAAAAGACAATCCTTTAACCCTTTTTTATCAGTGGCAATCCATTTATGGACAATCATAGAATGGGTAACTCCCATTTAACCCTTTTTGACCGTGACGATTCTTTAATTGAGCTATCCTTTAAAAGACAATCATTTGTATAGGAGTACAGAAGGTTTACTCCTCCCTCTTTTAAACAATCAATATATAAACTGATTATTTTTGTTAAAAAGGTCATTTTATTTTTAGTTTTACTCATAATTTTCTTTTATTTTATTTTACAAAATTACTGGCTGTTTAACCTCTCCTTGTAATTAACCTCACCTTCCCTCTCTCTTATTTTTTACTTTTTATTTTTTAAGGAATAAATGACCGAATGCTGTTTAGATTGTAAATATTATTTAACTAAATTAAAAAATAAAGAAGAATATATAGAATATCTCGGGGAAGAGGACTTAAAAAGAGGAGATTTATTATTTAATCTTGTTTGTTTTTCTTTTGATTTTTCTTGAAATATTTAAAATTTTTAGGAACAACAGGTTAAGAAACAAGTAGAATCAATTAATTTATTAACCGAGAAAAAATCAGAAGTTGAACAAATTGTTAATTCTTTTGAAGCAAAATTTGCAAAGGAAAATTTAAATATTTCCGATATTCCAAAAATATTCCAAAATTTAGTTTCTTTTTACGAAGAAATTTATTTTTCGTCATTTAAGGAAATGCCGCAAGGTAGGTACATTAATTTAAAGGGGTGTGCAGAAACTGATTAAGTTTAGAAGGAGAAAATTAATAAAGAAGCAAAAAACCTTAATTTTTTAAAGCTAAAAATTTAATCCTTTTGTTTTTTTAAATAAAAATATTTTTATTTAAAAAACACAAATTTTATTTTTTTTTAGTTTGAGGGGGGAATATAATCAGAAATTAAAATATTTTGATTTTTCTTTTAAATATTTTTTTAGCCAACAAAACTTTTATTCATTTGTGTAAAATTTTAAACAAATTTCCTGTTTTTCAAAATAATTATGTAAGTTTATTTTTTGTTTTTTTAAATTAAAAATTAATTTTTTAGACTTATAATCAACAAAATATCCAACAATCAACTTCTCACTTAACTCCTCTAAAAATAAATAATTATTATTCTCCACTTCCAAAACTTTATCCAAAAAACAATGAGGGGGGTATATTTAATTGGTCTGATAAATATAATTATATGAAAAAAGAAGAAATTAATTTATTTGGGGAAGAAAAAAATATAAAAATTGAAAATGAAGGAGAAAAAGAAGAAAATTTTGTTTATCCAAATAAGGAATTGAATAAATATAAAGAAGATTTTGATAAAAATGAAGAAAATTTAAAATATGAAAATCTAAAAGAAAATACTTTAATTATTGAATGGATGGAAATATTTGGGGATGAAAATTTGTTTAATAATGAAAAGGAAGGAGAGAATAGAAATAAAATTATTTTAAAAGAAGAAGAGGAAGAGAATGATTTTGTGTTTGTTGAAATTAAAGAGGTTATTAATGAAGAAATTTCGAATAATAATTGGATTAAAAGGTAAAAGGAGATTTGAAGGGGGATTTAAATTTAATTTTTTTTTAATTTTCAGATTTTTAAAAATTATTTTCATTTTGGTTATTCTTTTTTGTTTTTTCCTGCCAAATGTTCTTTCTTTTTGCGGATTTGATATTATTGATAATGAAAATGGACAATTTTTTCCTTCTTTTTATTTTCCAATAATTGACGTTGAATTTAGTGAATTTTAGATTTTTTTTGGAAATTTTTTTAAATTTAATTTTTATTGTTTCTTTGGTACTTGTGGGTTATCCCTAACCAGTTTTTGCTGACATATTTTGCGGACTCTGTTGTATACACAGAATGGTCAGTCTTCCTCCTTTCCTCAATTTCACTCTATTTCACTATGGCATTATTCAATGAGGCAAACATGATTTAAAAATCGGTCATTTGTATTTAAAAATAATCCTTTCTTTATTGCCTCGGAACTTATATGGTTTAGGTGCGCTTTTTTTAGCCACGCCCTTTTTTCCTTTTCCTTAATCAATCAACATTGATATGGACAGAATGGTCAACCTTTCTTTCTTTCTCAATTTCACTCAACTTTTCCTGTGGCATTTTCAGTGAGAGACGTTAACAAGGAAAAGATTAATTTTCTTTTCCAATTTCACCAAAATAGAATTAACATTTGAATCAATATTCTTAATTTTATCTATTTCTATTATTTAAATGGCACTAAGTATCCCGGGTCTACGTTTTGGAACTAATGGTCCGGTATTTTATTGTGTTTTTCAGTTTTTGCGTGTTTGAAATCATATTTTTTTACAAAATGCTGACCGTTTTTACCCCTTTTAGAAATTTTTGGACCCCTGTAATTCAGCTCAGAGATCTCACGGGCCGATTTTAGTGCCATTCGTCTCAGCCCAGCTCGATGATGTCATCCGAGTCAGCTCTATCTCTCTCCATTTTAAGCAAAAATTGGGTTGAGAGGTCTCACTGAAAATGCCACAGGAAAAGTTGAGTGAAATTGAGGAAGAAAGAAAGGTTGACCATTCTGTCTATATCAATTTTGATTGATGAAGGAAAAGGAAAAAAGGGCGTGGCTAAAAAAAGCGCACCTAAACCATATAAGTTCCATTGCCTCTCATGAAATAATGCCATAGTGAAATAGAGTGAAATTGAGGAAAGGAGGAAGACTGACCATTCTGTGTATACAACAGAGTCCGCAGAATATGTCCGCAAAAACTGATTAGGGATAACCCACAAGTACCGTTTCTTTTAATTTTTTTTAAAAATATTGTATAATAAAAGATATTCTTTTTTTTGATGATTTAAATAATTTTTAAAAATTAATTTATTTAAAAACAATACAAATATTTACAAATAATTTACAAAAAAATATTTTTTTAAATTTCTACAAAAATATTACACAAAAATCACTACTTATTTTTAAATTTTGAGCAATCACAACATTAAATATATACCCATTTCTTCAAAAATATTTTTCTTTTCTTTTGTTTAAGCCATTAATTCCCCTCCCCCTTCTCCATCATTCATTAAAGGAATACATTCATCTTCATTTTGTACCAAAACCCTCATTTTATTTAAAATTGTTTGTTGTTGTTGTTGTTGACTTTTTTGTAAACAAGGGGAAGATAAGGAATTAGTTAAACCTAAATTCGATTCAAATCCGCTAATAATTATTGAATTATTTAAAGTTTTTTGGTTTTTTGTTGTTGAATTGTCTATTGAAGGATGGGTTTTTAAAAATAAATTGTTTGGATGTTGTTGGGGAGGAATTGGATTTGGGTGATTAGTAGTAGATGATGAAACTGAAAAATAAAATTGTTATTTTAAAGTAAATAGTCGTTCCCTTCTTAATATTTTTTTAAATGAACACAAATTTTTATTTTCTTTACTGTTTATTTAGAGGATTTGGAGTGAATAAAAGGGGATATTGGTGGTGCCCTCTAATATTCTTCCTAATCCAGTTATATCCCCCTTAATCCCTCCTAATCCAAATTTTTGTTAATCAAGAAAGGGTGTTGGGGGGGGGGGGATTTAGGATTTACCACCAGTTAAATAATATTTTTTCAATTTAAACGACACCTTTTCTACAATTATTTAAAGGTACACGTAATTGTGTTCCTGTAGATATTTTTCTGTCATTATTTGGTGGAAATAATTGATTATTTGGATATATTTGTTGTTGTTGGATATTTGAAGTATTTAAAACTGTTTGTTGTAATTCTGTTATTCTTTGAGTTAATATTTCTTTAAAAAAAGAGAATTAAAATTAAAAATTAATTTTATTTAATTACCAATCATTCCAACAAATTGATCTTGTGTTCTATGCATTTCCCAAAGTGTTTCGTGCATTTCTGTATGTAACTAAAAAAATTATTTATTATTCTTTAATTTTTTAATACTTTTCCAACATCCAACAAAGAATTCCCCCTTTCTTGTAATTTTCTTTGATCCCATTTAATTCTTCTAAATTCATTTATTGCATTCAAAAATCTTTTAAAAAAACAATTTTTTAATTAAAAAATATTTCTTTAAATTTATTAATACTTTCTTTGATGTTGTCTTAATCTAATTTCATCCCCTTTATGTCCATTTCTTTGTTGATATTTATGTATAAACCTTTTTAAAAATTAAAAAAAATTTCTTCAAAAAGAAAAACCAAGTATGTTGCAGAACAGAAGCGGCAGCATTTTTCCGTGCATTTGTCAATTTAGAATCTGCCATAAAATTGTTTACGTGTTTTTCTGCTCGGGAAAGTTCTAATTTTCGAGAAATAACGGCAATTAATGCTGAAGAGACCCCCGCCCCCTTAAAAATTTAAAATAAGAAGAACAACAATTCCTCTAAAAACTGACAACAATCCCCGTTGTAATTGAAAGTAAACGGCCACAATAACTTGTTGGAACAACATCTCCATAACCAATAGACATAAAAGTAACCATAATAAACCAAAGAGAATTCATATAATAATATTCAGTACTTGCTTCCCTTCCATTATAACGTTCACATTGAGTAAACTTTAAAGAAGATTTTTAAAAAATTTATTTTTTTTTCTAACCATCCAAGACATACACATCCAATAGCAACAAGTAAAAATAACTAAAACAGTCATTGGGTGGTCAGCCTAAAATTTAAAAATATTTTTTTCTTCTTAAAAAACCCCCAAAACAAACCATCATTGTTTTAATTACAAAACGAAAATCCATTGATATTCGATTTAATGCTTTAAAAGTATTTATTTAAAAGGCTAATAATTTTAGAAAATTTTCACTACCAACCAGCTATTGAACGAGTAGCGGCATCCTTAAAAAATTTTTTATTCAAAACAAATATTTTTTTATAAATTTACCTGGAATTGTCTAGAGTGTAAAACCATAAAACGGCAAAGCAAATAAGCACGTAAAAACATAGGGACGGCCAACAAAACATCCAAAGGGACAGAAACTTTTGTAAAACTGTGCTCATCTGCAGAAATATAAGGCCAAGAAATAGTGCCACTTCCCGGGAACGGACAGATTGCGCAAATAAATATTTCGATAAATCTTTGGTTTTAAATTAAAAATATTTTTTCCTTTTAATATTTATTTTTATTTACAATTTAATTATTCTGTCAGTCGTCACTGCTACACGCCAATCTCTTTAAATTTTAGAATTAAAAAAAAATAAAGGGAAAAATTATTAACTCAGCCCCGCTATCAATTAAAGCAATTTTAACTTCTGTTCGATGATAATTAACTAAAGAAGCAATTAATAAAAGTGTAGAAGCAACACATGCTGAACGTAAAAATAAAGAGGGAAGGGAATTTTTTGAAACAATTTTGAGAGCTGTTAATTCTTAAAAATGAATTTTTATTTTTATTTTTTTAAAATCTTTTTCTTCTTGCCTTGATCTAAAACAACAAAAAATAATCCAATTATAGCCAGAGCCAAAGACAAATCACAGATTTTATTTCTTTTTAAAAAATATAATTTACGCAATTTACAACGCATTTTTGCTTGACTTTCACTTAAAAATTTAAAAGAAAAATTAAAAAGAAAATAAAAAAAGGAAGGGGGAAAATCCCCCAAAAATATTTTCTTTTTCGAGAAATCCGAGCCTTTTATTACCAAAATATTCCCAAACATTTTCTTATTTTTGTTTTGTTCTCTTTGTATTTTAATTGTTCGAATAAAATAAGAGAAATTTTAAAAATTATAGTTAACAATCCCGACCCCAAAAGTTCAAAAACATTTTTCTAAAATATTATTTCCAAAAAATATGTAACAAATTTAATAATTAAGAAGTTAGAAGAATAGGGATTTGTATTGGTTGATAAGGAAAGCTGGATTGATAAAAAAAAACATAAAAAGAAGGGGAGGGGAGATCGAGGGTCGAATTTAATTTTTAAAAATTTTGTCAAACATTTAAAAAACTCGATTATTCGACCAATTCTGAGTATAAACAACCCCTTTATTTGCTTCCCTAAATCACTAATTAAATTACTCAAATTTAAATTTAAAATTTTTTGAGAAAATTAAAATTTGTTTTAGCCTTTTATCAATAAGGAAGTAAAAGGAAAACTAAAAAAACTTTAAATAAAAATTTGTGATTGCCTCAATTTTAAATGCCAAATGGAAGAAAAAGGTTGGTTAATTGACTAAAAATACGTTAATGTTTATAAAAGGAAATATGCCCACAAAAATGGTCTTTTTTTGTTAAAAATTTCAGAAAAAATTAATAAAATATTTTTGTTTCTTTTTTAAGAAAAGAAAATTCTAAAGAAATTTTTTGGGAAATATTTACATAAAAATATTTAAAAAAATTTTCTCCCAAAGATTAAAGCTAATGATTAAAAATTATAAATTAATTAATTAAAATATTTAAATTATTATTTCAATTCTAGTTTCACCAGAAAGATTTCTTATTTCTCCTTCCCTATCCCCAATAAATATCCACTAGAGGAGGGTCTGAGAAGTTTTTCTAAAAACACCCCAACTAAAAAATAAAATATTTAAAAAGAAAAATAATATGTAGCTTTTTATTTAAATATTCTTCTCAAGATTTTATGAATAATTTATTTTTTTCCGGAAATTGATCTCTTTTCTTCTTAATTTTCTTAAAATATGAATGTCTTGGAGGTAAAAAAATAAATTAAAAGTAAATAAATACCAATTATTTGTTACAATTTAAATAAAATCAAAGCAATGCTCTAATTTTATTTTTTTAACAGAATTTTAGAAAAAAAAATAAAAATATTATTTTTTAAATAAAATTATTTTTAAAAAATTATTCTCTCCCTTTTTTACATAACAACCAATAATATTAAAATAAAATTATTATTAAATTTAAACAAAAAGAAAATATATTTTCCCAAAAGTATTTTTTCTTTATTTTTTTTTGTTTAATTTTCTCACCTTTTCACACACATTTAAATACCAAAATTATTATTTTTCTCAAAAATTAATTTTTTTAAAAAATGTCAAAGAAAAGAAAAAGACTTAAAAAACAAACGTTGTTATGGAGATACCATAACCAGACTGTCTTCTCCTCAAAATTTGTTGTTGTTTTTGTTGTAATAATAAAAGATTGGTTTGTTGTTGGGGGTCGGCTAAATTTGAATTTTTATTTAAAATTTCTTCTTCAATTGTTGGACTCCATTCTAAGGATTTTGGAAGATTTAATTCTGTAGTAGTTGATAATAAATAATTATTATTATTTCCTTCACAAACACCGCCGGAAGAATTAACCAAAATTGAGGAAGGAGGTTGTGTGAGGTCGCCGTTACATCTTTCCTCTTAAATTAAATTAAGAATAATTTTCTTTTAAAAAAATTTAATTATAAAATTGAGAGTGAAATAAATATTTTTTATTAAATTAAATAAAAATATTTTTTAAAAAATTAAATAATTTAAGATTTTTTTCAAAATATAATTATTAATTTTAAGAGAAAAAACTTTAAAATAAAAAAATACCCCCCTCCCTCATCTCATTCCTAATTACCCCCCCCCCTCTTAATTCTAAATTTCACAACTTCCCTTAAACACCCCCCCCCTCCCCCTTCAAAAAACCTGTCGAAGAAAAAAAGCTTCCACTATTACGTGAAGAGGGTCTTGGATGTGTTCCAGAACTAGAACAATTCCTCTTTTGTTGATACTGACTAAATAACCGCCTTCTTTGTCTCAACAAACTATGCCCTCTAGAAAGGGGAGAAGAAAATGTTGAAGGTAAATTATTTGTTTTTAATTTATTTTCTTCACAAAAACATTTATAAAAATTAGCTGTTGGGCATTCTTGTTGGTTATTCTGTTGTTGACAACATTCAATAACAGCAGCAGATCTAAATAGTTGTTTTTGATATCTTTGATGCCTCAAAGCTGCCTCAGCTAAATCTGCAATACTAAATCTTCTAATTACTTCCCCCTCCTCTTCCTCCTCCCCCTCTTCTCCTTCTTTTTCATTTTGTTTTTTATTTTTAATTATTTTATCACTTAATTTAGCTGTTAATTTAGGCTTTTGTTGGGTGATATTTGTTGATAAAAATGGAAAAAAAGTTTTTTGATTTAAAGAAATTGATTGAGATAATAGATTTTTATTTTCTAAAAATAATTTTGGAGAAGAAAAAGGGACTGTATATTGCCGGTTTTTAATTGAGGTTGTTGATTGTGGAGGTGGAGGTGGGGAATTAGTTGTTGTTTTAGTTGTTGTCATTAATTGAATATTTTCATTTATTTTATAAGAAATATCCAACATATAAAATTAAAAGGATTTTTTAGAAAAATATTAAAGAAATAAATAGGAAGAATGTGACAAATTAAAGATTTAATTTTAATTTAAAAATAATATATTAATACAAATTCTCCCTCTTTTTTTCTTTAAAGTACAAGGAAATTTAAAATAAAAAATTTTTGGTTATCCCTTTTTAATTTTAATTACTTTAATTATTTAATTAATAAAATATGAAGAGAGAATTTAATTAAAAATAATTTTCTTTTAAATAAAAAATTCTTAAATCTGTCAATAATCATAAAAACTTTTAAATAATGATGACAGCTTTTTAAATATATATATTCTTTCCAGACATTTGTCTTAATTTTTTGGAAGTTTAAAAAGTCAAAACTTTTGTTGTTAAAAAAGGAGGAAGTGAAGGGGGAGGGGATGGATATTAAATAAAAATAATTATTTAAAAAATATTATTTTTTAAAGATGAAATAATTTTACAAAATTATTTATTTAAAAAATAATTTTAAGAAGACAAAAATTGAAAAAAGAGAAATACTTAAATATATTCGCGCGCCCTTTGGTTAGAGGGTTTTGGCATTTAAAAAAATATTTTCTTTTAATAAGCATCTTTTTTCGATTTTTGTGTGTGCTTATAAATATTTAAAAATTTATTTAGAGAAGATTAAATAAATATATGTAGATATACTTATTTTCTTTTTATTTTCTACTGTCTCCCGTTGCTAGACAAAAATATATGGTAAAAATAAAAAATGAAAGAAGCCTAAATAGTAAGAAGTACTTTTTTTGGAAATAAAATAAATTTTGGCTTCATTCCCCATTTATTTTTAACCAAAAAAGAAATCCCTAAAATAAATAAAAATATTAATTAAGAGATAAAAATGTTTCTAATTTTCTTTTTAAAATAAAAGGGCTTCCCGTTTGGAGGAAAAAGTAAGGGAAGAAGCCTTTTAAATAACAAAATTTATATATATATATAATTTTCTCTTTCCTATATATTCAATAATCCTAAATTTATTTAATTTTAATAATTATACATATATTTAATAATTTTTTATGAAAAAAATTTTTAAAGGTGAAATTAAAAAATTAATTTTTTAAAAATATTTTTGTGCAAATATTTATTTATTTCACTCTCTCACAAAATTAATTTCAAATAAAAATATTTTCCCTTACCTAAACTTTGTTGTTGACTAATTGCCCCCCTCGGAGTTGCTGATTTTCCTGCCGTCAATGTTTGACAAGTATCACCAGGCACAGAATCCCTTCTACTTTTAGGTGTTGAAAGCAAAGATTTAAATTGTTGAGAATAACCCTGAGCTCTCAAAATGTCTGAAGAAACCTTTAAAAATTAAAAAAATTTTTCAGAATATTTATTTATTTTTAAATACTATACCTTATTTTTAATTAAATTAATTCCAAATAAATTATTAAATGATTTATTTTTCATTTAATTTATTCCCTATTTTTATTTAAAAATAATTTAAAAGATTTTTATTTAAAAAAAGTTTTTAATAAAAATTTTCAAAAAAGATATATTTTAAATGGTGATTGGTCTTTTTGTTTGTTAATATTTAAAAAATTACGGAAATAAACGATTATCTTAAAATGGAAAATAAATAAAAAATAATATTTTTTAACTAAAATAATGAACGATTAAAAAATATTTTTTTTGAGAAATATTTTTTAAATAAATTTATGCAAAAATTTTACAAAATTTTTTTAGATATTTTTGTTGAATAGTTAAATAAATTATAAAAATAGGTATATTATTTTTTTAAATATACAGTCCAAATTAGAGTCCAAAATGAGAGGAGATCATGAACAAGATCGTTATTTTTCACAATTTCGATTTTCTAACGATCCTCCCAGTCCGGTTTCTACTCTTAATATCAACAATTACTCTTCACTTTCTTCATTACAAATATTTATTTAAACCCGAGGCCGGCTATATATTTCAATCAAAAATATTTTTTTCTTACAAGATAAACAGAATTAGCCCGGCTTCGTCTGTCATCCTTTCCATGTCCTTCAGGTGAATAAATTAATAAAGCAGTTGCTGGTCTTTTACTAATTGTTGGTTGTTGTTGTTGTTTAGTATTTATTTGTCGAGCAGAACAAGTTCTCAAAATATTATTATTTTTAATTTCATTATTTCCTTCTTCTTCAATTTCTTCTACTTCATCAGATTTAAAAAGACAAGAACTAATTGATGGTCTAATTAATGGATCTGTTTCTAATGAAAGTTGGTGTGGGGAACGTTTTTGACGTTTTTGTACTCGAAAAGTTGTGGAAGGGTTGGAGGGGGATTTGGTGGAAGTAGGTGATGGGGGACGAAGTAACATTTTTTGTTTTTTTTTTAAATTAATTGATTTGTAGGTTGGTAGTCCTTTTTTAATTAATTTTTAAATTAAATAGAAAAATAATTTTAGGAAGTAAAACAAAAAATAAACAAAAAAATTTTAAAAAGCATTTCAACACGTGGATATGTAGAGGTGGTAATTGTTATGAATATATGTATGTACATCCATTACCGGTGTTGCGAAAAAAAGGATATTTATATATATGGGAATGAATGGAGTGGAAAATTGGGTTTAATTTAGAAAAAATGAAAATTTTGGGAAAAGTTAAAAAATGGAAGAAGAAAAAAAAGAAAATAAAGTAAAAACTAAATAAATATTTTTAGAAAATTAAAATAAATAAAAATAATCTTCAGATCAAAACAATCTATTGCTCAGTAAATGAATTTCTATAAATGGGTAAATCTCTTTATTTGGGAGGTAATTGGAGAAAGCTACATATTTAAATATACCCTAATTTCTTGTTAATAATTTATGTCATTTCTTAAAACGTTTATTTATTTAATTTAGATTTTATACAAAATTAATTAAATTTTTGTCTTTTCCACAAACAAAAACCCCTAAAATATCCAAAAATACTCTTTTTTTGGACAAAAATAAATTTATTGAATTTTTCTTTGAATAAATGACGCCAATAAAAGGGGGAACTAACTGCAAAAAATTAGTTTTTAAATAATTTGTTTTAAAGACAAAAAGCCGCAGATGTTTTGGCTTTTTCCCTTTTTTAAAATTAAATATATGTATTTCCACAAATAATCTGTAAAAGGATCCAAAAAAGAGAGTTTTAGAGAGGTAATTGGATAAAATAAAAAGGCGGAAACTGACACAGATTGTTTTAACTTTTTAGTATTTAAAAAGAGAAAATGAATTATTTAAAATATTTTAATTTTAAATTAAATGATTTAGAAAATTCTGAAATAAAAAATTGTAGAAAGTAAATGGAATAGAAGATTTTGGAATTAATTTCTGCAATATCCAAATCGAAAAAATAATTTATATTAGGGTTGTTGGTGACCGGTTAATCTTTCCTTATAGCGGTTAAAAACTCTTATTCTTCTTTATTTGACCCGCCAGGGAGAAAAATTAACCAGTCATCAACACTCCCTATAAATTAAAAGTAGGTACATACAGTAAATAAATATTCTGATAAAAAAAAGATCATAAATTAAAATATAAAGAATAAAAAAAAGTAATAAATAATAGTAATAGAAACAAACAAGTAAAATACTCAAAAATGTATATAAATATAAAATAAAACAATTGAAGAACAAAAATAACTTGAAAGGCAAGTGTTTGTCGGCATTTTTATATGCCGTGTCAATTTTATTGGAATACTAAATTGGAAAATAAATAAATAAATGATTGGGGATATTAAAATAAAGAGAAAAAAAAAGAAATAATTTTTTTGTATTTTAATCTAATAATTATTTAAATAAATTGAAGGAAAAAAGTTTTTCTTGAATATTAGAAGATAAAAAAAGGTAGAAAAGTCAAAATATTATGTGTCAGATTAATCATTTCCGTTAAAAATATTGACTTTTCTGCCATTAAGAACATTTAAAAACATAAAAATATTTAATTGTCAAAATAAATTTTTGAAAAGAAAATTAAAATATTCTCTTTCTAATTAATTCTCAATAGAATTATAACTAATATTTTATTTTAAATTTGATCGTTCGTGGGACTTTTATTTAAATAAAAAATTTTTAATGAGTTTTTATTTGTCTGACAATTTTTTGTTAAAATTAATTATTATTTTTTAAATTTTTATTAAAAAAATATTTAATTTACCTGTGCAATGGGATTTAACCGGTAATTACTAGTTGAATAATTCTCCTCATGCCCATAAGATTCAATGCTGCATTTTGCACGAGGAAATGGTGCAAGCCAATCACAAGATTTATTGTAACGATTTGATAAGGGTAGTCGATTTGAAGTACTTTAAATATTTGAAATAAATAAAGAATATTTAATTGTTTAGGGGATTTTTAAATTTAAAAAGAATATAGAAAAGGAAAAAACTAATTAAAGTATTTGTTGCAATTTCCGGGAAAAAATAAAAATATTTATTTAAATTGGTAATTTATTCGAATTTTATAAAATTAATTAATTTTGCCTATTTCTTGGAGAAGTTACTCCAGCATAACCAATAGTTATGCCTTTCTGAAGTGTACGACCATTTGGTCCAATTGGTGGTGCCATTTATTTTTTAAATAAATTTAAGAAAATAATATTCTGAAATTAATAAAGAAAAGAATAAAAATATATTTTTTAAAAATATTTTTTAAATAAAAAATAATTAATTTTATTTAAAAAGACTTCTTTTATTATATTTAAATAAACAAATCACCGCCTCTCTCTCTTATTTTTTGTCTCTATTCTTTTTTTTCATTAATTAATCGGTCGTTTAGCATTGGATATGTTCATTGTTAAATCTCCCAGGGAAACCAAAAATTTAAATAAAAAATATATTTGTTTGTGTGTATGTTTTAAAAAGAGTAAGAAAGTGAAAATAAAAGGTTTTCTTTTTATTTTTGGCCAAAAGAAGAATTTGGATAAATTTATAGCTCAGATTTTGACCTTTTCCAAAATAATAAAAGAAAAAAATAATTGTTAACTCTAAATTATTTAATTTTGAATTAAAGTTCAATGACATTAAAAGATAGAATTTGCAACAAATACCTTGAGTGTTAATTAAACATTTAAATTGGAGATTTTAATGTTTAACCCTTAATTTATTTTCTTTACCTTAATTTATGTTGATAATAATGATGATTATAATGTTGATGTTGTTGATGAGGAATATTTTGAATATAGTAATTAGGTTTATTAAAATCATTTAAAGGTGTTGGATATTCAAAATAATTAGGTTCTTGTAAATATTGTTGCTGCTGTTTTTGTTTATAACGTTTATTGTTTTGTTGGTATAAATGGATTTTTTGTTTGTTGTTATTTTGTGGTTGGTTTAAAACAATACTTGATACAGACAAAGCTGGCATATTATAAATTAATGGATATTTTGTTGTTGTTGTTGTTAATTGTGGGGGTAATAATTCTTAATTAAAAAATTATTTTGTTTTTTAAATAGCTTCTAATAATGTATATTTTAAATATTTTTAGATTATTGGTATGTATTCTTTTATTCTAATTTATTTTTATTTTGTTAAAAAAATAAAAAATAGGTGTGTTGAATTAAATAAACTAAATATATTTAATTTTGTGACAATTTTAAAGGAATTATTTAAATAAATAATAATAACCTCCTTCTTCATTTTCTCCACTACGTAAATCAAAAAGTGAAGGAGAACGTCTTTCTTGCGATAAATTACTCGAAATAGGGGAAGGACTGTGAACGTGTAAAGGTGGGGGAAAGGAATATTTTTGTTGTTTTTTTGTTGTTTCATTTGTAGTAGGAGATGTTAGGGAGAGACAACTGGATGAAAGCATTTTTAAAATTTTAAAAATTAATTTATTTATGCCTGAAAATAAATAAATTAAAATGATTTTAAAAAATTATGAAAATTGAATTTTAACAAATTTTAATAATAAATTAATAAATTTTTGAAAATAAAAATTAAAAAAAATTAAATTTAACTTTTCTGCGAAAATTTTATTATCAACTAAAATATATACACATTTAGAATTAAAAGAAATTCAATTTTTAATAAAATATTTAAAAAATTTTTTATTAATTTTTATGACGTTTTAGTTAATATTTAAAAATAGAAATAAAAGAAATTGTTAAGTTTTCTTAAATAAATAAAATTCTAAAAAAGGGGGTAATCTGATTCTCGGGCATTCTAAATAAAGCAAAAAGAAATGCGGCAAAAAAAGGTAAAAGAATAAAATAAAAAACAAAAAAATTTTATTTATTTTTGCAGAAAATATTTAAGATAAAAATAAAAGATTATTGGCCAAATTATGGGAAAATAAAGAAAAATTAAAAAAAAAAGTATAAGAAGAAAAAAAAGAAAATTTACAGACAAAAATGCCAAAAAGTATTTAATTGATTAAAAATATATCCAAACAATAATTATTAAAAAATAATAATTGTTTTGTTAATTTGGCTTTTTAATTAATTAATGAAGAAGAATATCCCCCTCCCCCTCCCTTTATTTTTGGCAACAATTATTTTTTCTTACTTTTGTGATTATCTTTTCTCATTTATTTTAATATTTCCTTCATAATTTAATATTTAATTTACTTGCCATTTTCTGTTAAACTTTTTAGAAAGGGTGACAAAAATTATAAGAAAATTTTTGTGAAGGCGTGAGAATTGTAAAATGGTAAATTGTAATTATTTTTATTTATTTATTAAAAATAAAAGGAAGGATTTTTAAATATTTTTTTTGCTAAATTAATTTAAAAATTTTAAATTATTTTTTTGTTAAATTTTTGGAATTTTATAAAAATAAATTTTATTTTAAAAGGAAAATATATTTATTTAAAATTAATTTTTTTTAAATTTTTCTTCATATTTTTTAGCAAAAAATACATAAGTGGAAGAAATCCAAAAAAATTGTTGTTTAAATAATTAAATTTATCAAATATTTTTATTTGCCTGTTTTGACACATTTTTACTTTAAAAAATTTTTTGCAACGTTTTGGCTAATGGATTATGTATATAAGAGAACGGGATTTTTATTTTAGAAAAAAATTATTTTGCCAAAGATTTAGAAAATTTATTTTTTCCACACAAATGCACACATATGTATATTTATATATAAAATATATTTTAGGTGACATAAATATTAAAAAAGACAAAAATAAAAGGGAAAAAAGATATTTTTTAAAAATAAAATTGAAGGAAAAAAATGACGATAAAAAAGTAACACTTTAAAGTGTTTTAATAAAAATAAATATTTTTAAATTAAAGTATTTTAAATATTTAAAAATAAACTTTTTTAAATAAAAATATTATTTAAACTTTAAATATTTAAAAATAAATAAATAAACTTTTAAATAAACTTTATCTAAATAAATGGCACAACTTTTAAAAAATAGTTTTTTTTAAATTATTTTGTGTCACCTGGGAAAAAAGTTTTTGTTTAATTAATTAGAGACAAAAAAGACTTTTAAAATAAATTAATGGCATTAAAAGAATTGGAAGAGGAACTAAAAAAGACGTTCTTTTTAAAAATTAAAAAGAAAAAATGTTTAGTCCAAAAATTGATTTTCCCAAAAAATCATCCAATCAATCAAAGCTTAACAGCAAGAACATTGTTAGCCTTTAAAAACTTAAATAATGGAAGAAATGATTAAAATAATGACAAAGTTTTTGAGTAGTTTATAAAAGAAAATTAATTTTAAAAGGTTTTAATTATTTCCCTTATTTTCTTCTCTCCCTTTCCTTTTCTTCCAAAATTATGAAATTGTCACGAATCTTACTATATGACAATAAGTATCCAAATTAGCGTGTTAGGACCTATAATTCGGTATTGTGTAAAGGTTTTTGGGAATATAGTTATCCTATTTCAAAGGAATAGAAAGCTCTACACACAGAATTAAGCTACACGCAGGTATATACATACACAATTACTTATGTATCTTTTACTCAATCAGTAATAAATTTAATTTTTTGTTTTTAACAAAATTATAAATTTAAAGAATGGAGAATTTAAAAAACGTACCTATTTTAAAAATAAATTTAAAATTAAAAAATATTTTAATAAAATAATGTAGAAATTATTATTTATTAATGTATTTTAATTATAAAAAAATAAATGAAATATTTGGGTAAATTCCAATTTTTGGATTTAATATAAATGGAATGACACAAAAAAAACTTGAAACTTTTAAAATTTCCCTAAAATGCAGACATTCTTCTTTTATATTTCTTTTCTTTAGTTTTTCGTGAATTTGTAGTTTCTTTTTCATTATTTCCATTTTTTGATGAAATCCCCAGCCATCTACACAAAAAATTTTTAATTTTATAATATATTTTGTTAAAGTTCAAAACACCTAAGAAATTTAGATCCAGCAGAAGAAATCGCAGATTTTGTAGAATTTGATGGTGCAGATCTAGCTGATTGTGAAGAACCAGATCTGTTTCTTCTATAATCTGGTGAGTGGAAAGGGCCAGTAAAAGACCTCGGTGTCAATAAAAGCAATGAATGGATAGAACCAGAAGAAGCATTTCTTCCTCTTTTTGGCGCTAATTCTCTAGTTATCAACAATGGGGAAGATCCCACATTTAAAGAAAATCGAGATTTTATTTTGCCATTTTTTCCTTGTTCTGATGCAGATCGACTGAAATTTTTTTGAGAAATTTATTTACATACTTTCCTATAAAAAAGAATCAGTTCTAATTTCTCAGTATTTTTTATGTTTTTAGAAGCTCTAAAACATACTTTTGAACTAATCAAATCTCTTGTATATTTCACTTAATATTTTCTTAATTTATCCCAACGTTATGAATTTAAATAAAATTTAAAAAGTTAAAATATTACGCGCTCAAAAGTGCAAAGTCATAAATTGAATGAGCTCTGTTGCTTCTCGCAGAAGAAGAACCAGCTCTTTCTGTAAATACTAACTGAGCTGCTTCACCCAATCGCCTTAAAAATAAAATTTAATAATTATACATTTATTTAGATCACTTTGCTGCTTTTTGTAATTCTTTTGCCCGATCTTTTTTCTCACGATCTCTGCGATCCGCTTCTTGTTTAGCTCGTAATGCATGGGCTCCCAACATATTAACTGGTAAAAATTGGAAGTATTTTAGGATACTTTAGGGAATGAAGAAGCGAGAATGAACAAAATGGTGAAAAGGGAAATGACTATGAAAAGAAAAACCCAGCGGGACAAGTGGAATGCCAAATTGGCCCTTTTCAGTATTTGGCACTTTTGAACAAAAGGGATTGCCATGCTATGAAGGGGTTCACTTTTTCCACTTTCTGTCGTTTACTCGACAAAGAGCGAAAACCTCTCGAGGATTTTTGAAGTGAAAATAGAAGAGGAGCAGGAAGAAAATAAATGGTTTATGTCAGCGAGGGTAAAAGCGGGAAATAAATGGATGTTAAACCATAAGTTATAAAAGGGATTTGTATTGAATAAAAATGTAAATTGACATTTCCGTTGAACACTTATATAGAACAACAATCGAATCTTTCGCAAGAACCAAAGATTTAATAATATAAAGAATATGACGTATGTCTTAAAAGTAGCTAATGAATTTGAAAAGACATAAACTCTTCTTTCAAATATTTTTGTTGATTTAAACAATTGGAACATACGATAACAACAAATCTTCATTTTGCTTTCTATCATAACTAATCAATTGTCATAATAATTTATTTTTAGATATTTTTAAGATTTTATATTATTTAAAAAAGAAAAATAATTATAACAAAATTTGCTAAAGAAATTATTTATTTATTTAATATATTTTTTACCAAAGAAAATAGAAGCAATTATACTCAACAAAAATAAAACAAAAATACAGCAAAACGTGGAGTATCATAATAATCAAAGAAATCGTATGCTTGAATAGAATCGCCAAAATATCCTCAGATCAAGATCATTCCCCTTTTCCAATTCGAGAACCTGCATAAAATACAGCAGCAAATGTGCCGATTAGAGTAAAGACAACTGCCACTTTAGCGTATACCCCCAAAGTTCCATCAACACCAGTCTGCACCTGTAAATGTTATTTGAAACTAACAAAAAAGCGGAATAAATATGCTTACCTCCACAGTTTGCATTGCTACTTCGGTTGTCATTTTCTCTACAATGATATTCAAGTTTGAATAAAAGAAAAAATGGTTTACTTTGCGGAAATGTAACATCCTTCAATCGCAACGTAAATTCTGACAGAAGCAATGGATAAAGTTGAACTTCGACTTAAAAGATGAATGATATTTGAATCAGACAAAAACTAGATAAAAACAAGTTAAATAAAAAAATACCCACAACAACAATCCTGATGATAAGCATGGCCGCCAACTTCAATATACATCCCATCAAAGCCATTTGCGCACAAAGCCTTTCCACAGTACGCGCAAGTGAAACATTCGACATGCCAAAACTTATTCTAAAATCGTGTCATTTGTTTGGCAGTGTTTTTTTAGCTATTTCAGAAATTCAACGGAAATCTTCACTTATAGGCATAGCATATAAAAAACGGCGGTCGCTTCGCTCACGGCGACCATAGCGAAATGGCGACCGTCGTTCCGCTCAGCACGGATTCCTCCGATGCGTCAAAAAGGAGTTAAAGAGTTAAACGAATGGTCATAACTTTATCAAATCAAGACATATTTCATTTATTTTGGTTTGATGTCATTCGACTAATGTCAGCTTAACGAGCTCTCTCAAATGAGCTATTATTTGCATATTCGGATTTCTCAACCCAAAAATCAGCCTAGCCCCAATGGTCTTCGATTTTCAAGTGAACCCTGGGTACCGGACGTTCTTCCACACCTAGTTCGACTCAGCCTTCCGAGCTCTTTCGAATGACACCAAACTAAGCTGGCTTAGACCACAGAGAAAAAAGAGCATATACGTGAACATACCAGTTCATCCACATAAGCTCCCATCAATTTTTGATTACATGCTAAATTTAAAAGATAAAAATTAAATTTTAAGGTGAATTTTGTGTAAACTTACTCGAACATTTTTCATTAGATATTTTGTCGTAACAATGATCGCAATATAGTCGGTCAACATCGTTATCGGAGATTTCAACTGTGCAAGAACAACGTTCACAAAAGCCAAGATTTGATGAATTGTTGAAATCTTCGAAGGACATTTTTTTAAAAGTAATCTAAAAAATTAGAAGAATTAATGAAGAAATATAAAAAATAAAATGAGAAGTCGATTCGGAAAGTCGAAACTTGCATAACTTCAAACCTAATAGAACTACAGTAGACAAATACAGAACCACCTAACAAAAAGTTGAGGGTTTTTATATTAACTTCTAAACGCTCGTTTAGAAGTTGGAGACTTCCGAAATGTTAAATACCCGGGAATGTTTCAATGTGTCAAACAATAACTGGCCAACGAGTAAAAATCATCACCGATATCGGATTTCCCATAAAGCTTTTTTGGCCATAACTTTTCATTAAACATTTTTTAGGAATGACTACGTTTAATGATCTTTCCATGTTTTATATTAAATTTGCATTTTATTTGACTAAAATTTATCATGATGAATTGGAATTTGTTCATTTCCTTTCTCAGTTCATGATTTCTTCTGCAGTAATTACATTCTTCAGCTTTACTTTTCTGGACATTCGCGCAATGTATGGTCGTTATTCATCTGAATCCTTCTTTGCAAATGTGAGAGGTTTTTAATTATTTCAATTTTATTGTATTTTAGATATCGATTCCTGCAAAGTTTGCTTGGTTTTTGCAAGAATTGCCTTCTCTTCTAATTCCTCTTTTTATTATTTGGTAACTCTGAAAAGTTAATTTTCGTTCCAAGTTTGGGATTATTTTGGCCCTATCTGAAAACAAGAGTCCCATCGTTTTTTCATCATTTTTTTCCTTCCTTAAAATGGTCGATTTTCCTTAATAGTTTAGTTTGGTGATGATTGCCGTAACAAAAGATGGAGAAAGGATTAACTTTTATATACTATTGTATGCTAACCAATATATGCATATTAAAGGAAATATGCTAAGGAAAAATGATGGGACCATTGTTTTCAAATAAGGCCAATATTTTTATAAAAATATACTAACCGATATTCCATGTTAATCTATTTATCAGTCGACAAAATATTATTTACTGCTTAATTTAAAAATTATTTTCAGGCATAGAGGAATTTATAATATTCCATTTGAAAATTATATTGCATTGGCTATGTTTGTTGTTCACTATTTTCAAAGGTATGTTTTTATAAATTTGAATTTTTTACCCTTTAAGGACTTTTGAAAGGGGAGAAATAGATTACCTATTTTGGATTCAAACCCCAATTGTGACCCAAACTTTGGAAAGGTTCAACTTCAAAATAATTTGGTACTATAGCATTATCTCCCTCCATCGTCCATAAATGTTTGTCCTCAAAGTTTGTCTTGTCTTCTCCTTCTTAACATAAGATTAATATAATTATATGTGAATAAGCGAATTATTTTATAAAAATTAAATTTTTTTTTCTACATTGTATATTTTTTTAGATCTTTGATTTATCCATGGCTAATCAGAGGTGGAAAACCTACACCTATTCATCTTTTTCTACTTGGATTTATATTCGCTACCTGGAATGGTTATATACAAGGATGCTTTCATGTTAAATATGCTAATTACGGGAAAGGATATTTTTGGACATTTGGAAGTCTATTCGGTTGGTAATATTGAACGTGACAGACCCCCTTTTTTCCTCCTCAAGTTTTTACCCTATAATTTTACGGAATGGTCAAACTTTTTCCTATCTCCCATCCCAATTGCCTTTCTATATTTGCCAGCAATCAAACAAAAACATAACAGTTTTTCCTTGCTTCCTTCCCAATTGCCAAAAAATGTTCCATTTTTTATAAATTGAGAACAAAATTAATACTCCTCTTACTTTTTTTGCATATACTTTCACTTGTATAAAATTAAATAATCCTTTTTGTTTGATTGCTGGCAAATATAGAAAGGCAATTGGGATGGGAGATAGGAAAAAGTTTGACCATTCTGTAAAATTATAGGGTAAAAACTTGGGGATGAAAAAAGGGGGTCTGTCACGTTCAATATTACCATTCGGTTTTTAATCATTTTTTGAAACTCACTTCTTGAATTTCTAATTTTTGAGGCATTTTTCTCTTCCTCACTGGAATGTTCATTAATTTACGTGCAGATTCTATTTTGCGAACTCTTCGACGCCCTGGTGAAAAATGTTATAAAATTCCTCATGGTGGTATGTTTAAATATGTATCTTGTGCTAATTTTCTTGGAGAAATTATTGAATGGATTGGTTATGCAATTTATGCTCAATCAACTGCTTCTTTAGCCTTTGCACTCTTTACCGCTGCCAATACAATTCCCAGAGCTAAATTACACCACAAGTATTTTTTATATTTTTTTTATTAATTTAATAATTTATTTCAGATGGTATTTGAACAAATTTGAAAATAATTATCCACAAGATAGAAAAGCAGTTATTCCGTTTATTTATTGAGATTATCTTTGTTTGTTGGTATTTTCTGATTCTCATTTTAATTATTTCTTTTCTCTATTATTGATTCTATTTATTTTTGGATCTCTTTTTTTAAATAAATTAATATGTATTTACTAATTAATTTTATCTGTTTGTGTAATTCAACAATTCGAATATTTTTATTAATTAAATTATTTGTAATTATTTTTTTAGAATGTTACCTATTTGTCAAGATAAAGGAGAAGGAAGCAAAGAGATTTTTCTGGATGCTCTGCCGTAATTTCTAATTTAAATCTAAATTAATTTAAGAATCAATTTAGGTATATTGACGATGTTAATTACACAGAAGAACATAAACAATTGGCTCTGAAATTAATTGAGGCTGAAATGAGAAGGTTTCCAATGACTAAAAATTATTTGAGGAATTTTCCGGAGCCTGATTATGACAAATTTTTGACCCCACGACTTATTGAACATCAACAACAAATTGCCAATAAACAGGTTTTAGTGGTTCTTTGATTCATTTTTATAATTTTTAAAGGAAATTCCAAAATTGGATTTACTTCGTTATGAAGTCCCAACACCTGGTAGAGCTGCAAATAAGAAAGCTTGGCTTTCAGCTATCGAAAACTGCAAAGCGCAGCTGGCCAACCAGAATTTAAGAAAGATTAATTTGGAGCTACTGCTTGAATATGGTTTAAAAATATTTTATTAAAAATAAATTAATTTTTAAGGTTCTGAGGCTCATCTTCGTTCAAATGAAATTTTAAAGAGTCAAGTAGAATCAAGCGAAGCAGAACTTTACAAAGTTTGTTTAATATTTTTGATAAAAATTAAAAAATATATATATTAGATTCGTTCCGAACTTTATGAACTAAATGCTAGACGTAAAAGAAGTCAAATGCAAGCAGGAGAAGAATTAACATCCCTTGGACAAGGTTGGGTTGAATTAGTTACTAAAAATGCTGGGATGGAAATTGCAATTGATGCTTTAGAAAAAGAAATAAAAACTATCGCGAAACGATTAAAAACAGATCCTGGACTTGTGGAAAAAGAAAGTAAATAAATTTTTGTGTACCGATTAAGATTTTATAATAAAAATTACGCGTTTCATTATCTGTTGTGGATCCATCAAATGCATATCCGCGGGTGTACCTCCCCTCTCGAAATTCGAAAACCCATGGATATAAAAAAGTAAAAATTGTGCTCAATAAAATATATTTGTGAAAAAAATTTACGTTCGGAAAGCTAAAGTAAACTAATTTACAATTGTTCTGTAACCAATTATGCACAAAATTTGAATGGAGACAATTTATTTTTTGGAAAAAATTTTTTTGTTGGTCTGCCATTAAATTTTAATATATTTTCCAAGTTGTCTTTTCACATTTTAGTTTTCATAAACTTATTAGTTTCACATATCCTTCCTTCCTGCAGTGTTCGGAGGTATCAAATAAGAAGTTGCCGGTCTCATTCCGCTTTTACGCCCTTCTCTATTCATTGCATCCTTTAAATTTTTTAAATAAATTTTTCTTTAATTAATTTAAACCTTCATTTTTCTTTTCAAAATCATTTTTCTTTCTTCTCTAACAGCATTTGCTTGTTGTTCTTTCCGCATACGTTCTGTCTCTGAGTCTACTTCAATCTTTAAAACAAAAAATTATTTTTTCTTTAAAATTATTTTCTAGCCTTTTTATTAACAACAAAAGCTCTTTTACGTTTATCAGTACCAATTGGCCGTGAATATTCTAATAATGCCATTAAACGAGCTTTTGGACTAGTTGACAATTCAATCATTAAAATAACTTGTGCCCACTAAATTATTTGTTTAAAAATATTTCTTTTTAATTTGCCTGTCTTTTCCATTCTTTTTCAGTAGCATAAATCATTTCATATGTTCTTGTCATCATTGCAATTAAAACATTAAATTGCATTAAACTAGAGAATACTTCATAAATAAAGAAAAGAATCTTTAAAAATTAATTTAAAAAAAAAGAAAATATTTTAAAACTTTTCCAATTGTAGACATTGTTGGCTCTAAAAATTTTTTTTTCCAAATAAATTTACACATTTTCTAAAAACCTTGACATGTACTCATATCCCCATAAAATGTTTGATATTCCCCTGTTGTCATAATAAAAACACGAATAACTGCTTCAAATGGATTTTTTATAATATTAGAAGTAGCATCTTTTGGATCAGAAGTGCCAGCTACTACTCGATCTAATCGAGCACGTTCACATGAAAGAAAAACGATATAAAATCCTTGAGAGAACCCAAAAAGAAACACAAAATAAATAAGGAAAAAACGAAGTAAATCTTGGGTTATAATTTTGTATATCTAAAAATAATATTTTTTTATTTAAATTTCTTCTGAGACAAACCATCAAGACAAAAGGTCCAACAAATTTAACAGCTCGGCAATAATACTTTAAAAAATATATTAATTGTTTTGTATTCTCTAAATTATTTTTATCCTCATAAATTTTGTATAAAGTATTGGAAAGGAAGAGAGGGAGGAAGGAGTTAGGCATGCTTTCTAAATTTTTAAGTTACGTTTTAAGGGCTTACGAACTAAAATTTTGAGGCCAAATTAATTTCATTTACTAATTTGACTAAAGGATCAAAATTAACTGAAATAAGAGAATATTATGTGTACACTGGGAAAACTTTGTGTTTCTAGCTGTGGAGACTGTCCAGCTAACTCTTTAATCCGGTATTTCGCAAAAAAGAAAGAAGAATGGGGAAGAGATAACCAACCAAATACCAAAAATATTTAAATAAAAAAACCAAAAAATGAAGAGAAATTAAAACGACAGCAGAAATTGAAAACATATTATCCAAAAAGAGCATAAAATCGCCTAATCCACAAGCAAATCGTATGGGAACGACACCAATAATTAAAAGCAACGACATTTTGTAAAAAATTTTTGTTGGAAATGTTATCTATTTTTTAAATTATTTTTTAAAGTCAAAAATATACTAAACTAAAATTTGCCACCATCGAACATGTCCAATACTGTATATATCCCAAAGTTCTCCAGCTAATTGGAAGAGAACAATTGCAATAGTTAAAGGTTCACAAACCATACGAATCTTTATTTTAAAAAATTATTTTAAAATAAAAACAATTTTTTACATATCCTTGAATTCCAAAAACAGTATAATGCCAAAGATGGCATCTAGGATGTTCATAAAATGGAGAATCTAATATTTAGTAAAAGAATATTTTTTAATTGTTCCCCCTCCAACAAACGTAAAGAAAAACCAAAAAGTCCACTATCCATTATTGGAGCTTCCTCCATTTTGACAAAAGATACCATATCAACAGGGCTAATACTTCCATTATTCACTACTTCTCCACTATATGAAATATTTCCACCAGTTACTACCCCTTTAAAAAATAAAAGTTTTAAAAATCAAGACAACTAAAATATCAGCTAAGATTTTTTTTAAAAATCAAAACGCCTAATAATTTTTAAATTTTCTTTTAATTTCATAAAAATTTCTATTTTTTGTTTTGTGAGAGGCATTAAATAAACATTGGCTAATAAATAACTTGGATTGGGAGAAAATAATAGTTTTGATATGGGATATTTATAAATAAAAATATAAAATAATACAAGTTGTTGCAGAGAATGGTCTACACATATATGCTAATGAAAATATAATATAAAAAAAGCAAAATCCAAATAAAGACATAAACCATCTAAAATTTAAATTAATTTAAATTAATTTAAATTAATTTTCATTTTATTTTTTTCACCTTCTTTTAGCAAAAGCCTCCCATTTTGCATCTAATAAATCTTCTAAAAGTCCATCAAGCATTTCTAAATGTGCCTCACTTTCCCCATAAACAACTAAATATAAAGCAGAATTTTCATTTAAATTTCCATTTTCTTCATTAATTGTATCTATTTTTGCAAGAGGATAAGCAATTGAAGAAGCCTTTAAGTAAATTTAAAAGATTTTAAATTTATTATTTACTTGTCCATAATCCCAAAGATATTCACTTTCTAATTGTAAAATTTGTTGGAACATTTTCTTTTTAGCTAATTTTGCTGCTAACGTTAATGGAGTTAAATTTTGTTTATTTAACTAAAATTTAAAATTAATTTTAAAAATTTAAATTATTTTATTTAAACCAATTGTAGACGACCACCTGTATCGTATACTAATTTAAGCATTTCCATATTTTCATGGATAACAGTCATGTGTAAACAGGCTTTAAAAAATATTTTTTAAATTTAAAAACATTCCAATTCCTCAAAAAAATTCACAAAATAGAGGGTATATATTAGAGAGAGTTTATAAAATAGAGGTTTGGATAGTTAAAAACTTGTACCATTTCCATTTGTATCTTGAGAATTAGGATCAGCTTTTTTAGCTCTAAGTAAACGATAACAGTCAAATTGATTGGTACAAGCAGCAAATGCAAGAGGATATTCACCAAAATACATTCGACTAAAAAATACATTTTCTCTTTTAAATTCTAATTAATTATTCTTTTTACCCTCCATAATCAGTCTTTAAACTTAATTCAACATATTCATGTTCTAAAGAATCTGTTCTACTTCCTTTTTGATCATCTGGACAGAAAAAAGCCCCATAACACCGTTGATTAACATCAGCCCCGTGTTGAAGTAAATAATTACAAAGAGAAGGGTCTTCATTAACAATAGCTTGATGTAATGGAGATAAACCTAATAATTAAAATTTAAATATTTCCAGCAAAAATCCCCTCATTTTCATCTTTTTCTTTAAATTTTTAAAATTCTTTTCGTTAAAAACACGCTTTAATTATAAATAATATGTAATAATCTAATTGAGCGGCCGGCCACTCTATTTTTCAATCACCTCTCAAAGGGCCGCTCTATTGGAGACGGCCGCTCAACTAGAGAAAATACGGTATATACAGGTGACATTCTCGCTTCTATTTTTAATTTTTACCATAATAATCTTCAGAAAGCATAACATCATTAACTAATTTAGGGAATTGATTAAGTAATCTAATAGCCAATTCTGTATGTATTGGCCCTCCTTGCATTAAACAACAACCAACTAAATTTTCTCCCATAGAACCTCTCTCTTCTATTTTCCAAACAATTTCTCGATATTTTGCATCTCCTCAAAATAATTATTAAAAATTATTTTTGTAAAAACTTTTTTACCTTTTCCACCTTTGCCTCCATCTAACAGTTTAAGGGCTTAAAATTAACAGAAATATTAATGACAAAAATTAAACAAATTAAAGTCAATAGTCCCCTAAGATTTCAATTAATTTCCATAACAATAAGACTAATAAAAAGTCTGTCCCTAAGAAGGACTAACTGTTTATTCTCACACTTTTCTCCAGCTAATTTAATACTTATAAAAATTTAAATAATAAAGAGAATGAGAGCAAAACCCTACCCTTTTTTAAATCTCCCTGATTTTCTTGGTCTTGATTAAAATCATCAAGAATATTCGGGCCGCTCTTTCCTTTTCCCTTCTTTCTTGAAAAAGCTCCCAAATGCTCATTTCTTTCCTTATTTCTCGATTTAACTAATTCAGCCACAGATTGTAATTTTCCTTTTCCCGCCTGATACATTGCTTGTTTTATTGTTGTTTCAAAATAACCATCAACAATAGCATAATCTCCCCCTTTTCTTGCATAACGCATCCATTTTATTAGTTCCCCTCCTCCATGCATATCAACAAGCTGATAAAGTTTGTGTTGTTTATCACTTGAAGGCTGGACATGGGCAGCCATTTTCTTTAATTTTTTAAAGGGGAATAAATAATATAAAAATTATTTTTTCTTTAAAGAGAGAAAGAATTAATATTAAATTTTGCCGCACAACCAATATCACAAAATACTATTATTTTACTTGAAAAATCTGTTCTTGTTTCAGGCTCAGCCACTTAACAACCAATAAAAGAAAATGTAATTATGTAAAAAATACGTTAAAACAAAAAAGGTATCGAATTGCGTGAGAACTGGGAAAGGGTGTAAAGAAATTAAATATAAATTGAATAAAGGAAAAGTCACCTGCCATTTTCTTTAAATTGTTTTTTAGAAATTTTAAGTTTGGATTGAATAATGTAGATAGATATTTATGTATATTATACATAAATAATAATAGTAGTAGGAGAATGATTAATATTTTAGATGAATTTATTCATCAATTTAAAAGATATAATTAGAGCTGGACCATTTTTAGTTTCTTTACTTCAAGGATTTGAAGGATATTGAGAGTGGATAGATTAAGGGCTTGGATATAGTGTAGTGTACCGGTGGTAAAAGTTCGGGACGTGACATATGTCATTCGATTCGTCTCGACGAGCTGAGTCGAACGGTACCACTCCCTACTTTAGGAAATAATTCTGGACCGAGTTATAGGTCCCGAAAAATCGAAAAACCAAAGGGGGGACCAAGCACATTTTTGGGGTGAAAAATTCGAAAATGCAAATTATATCTCATTCGAAAGAGCTCGTCGAGCTGAGTCGAATGACACCAAAATCAGCTTGATTGAACAAGTTTGAGTCGAGATATAGGGCTCGAAATGGTCAAAAACCATAGGGGGGATTTTATGGCCAAAAATTCGATTCCACAAATGTTAGCTCATTCGAAAGAGCTCGACAAGCTGAATCGAATGACACCAAAATCACCGTGATTGGACAAGATTAGACAAAGTTATGACACAAAAAACAAAAAAAAACCTAAACCTATGGAGCGTCGGCGAGGCGCTTGTGCAAAACCCCGCGCTTCGCGCGGGGTTTTGCGGCACGCGCCTCGCGGGGAGTCTACGGGCGGTGGGTCTGGGCTCGTAACATAAACCTATTCCTATCTCCCTTGCTCTGGACGTATTTGGGGCCTCCGTAGCAGCAAAAATCTCCACAAATTACATAGGTAAGGAGCTAAAACAAACGGTCATAACTTTGTCAAATCAAGTCGGATTTTGTTGATTTTGGTGTCATTGGACTCAGCTCGACGAGCTCTTTCGAATGAGGTATAATTTGCATTTTCGAATTTTTCACCCCAAAAATGTGCTTGGTCCCCCCTTTGGTTTTTCGATTTTTCGGGACCTATAACTCGGTCCAGAATTATTTCCTAAAGTAGGGAGTGGTACCGTTCGACTCAGCTCGTCGAGACGAATCGAATGACATATGTCACGTCCCGAACTTTTACCACCGGTACACTACACTACAGCCAGGGCTTGGAGGGAATTAAAGGGAATTAAGTGGATCAGGTAGAATGCTGTGGGAATTGAAGGGGAGTTTAAAAGGATCAAGCCATCTGTCAACGTGTATTCCTTTAATGCAATGACATGAAATAAAATGCCATAGAGGTTTCATTTTCATACCACAGCAAAAGACAAGGAGTTCTAAACGGATAAGGAGTTCAAAGAATTGCAAATTGTGAATAATTCCAGCCTTTTGGAGGATTTTGCTGCATTCATTTCATCGGGTATCTCAGCAAGCAATCTTTTGCAATCGTATCTCTTTCCTTCTTAATCACACTATATCTCTCTTAATCCTCACGCTAGTTATCCGTCTTAATCGCCCAAATCCCGTCGAATCTCCACGAATCCTTCTATTCTCCATTAGGACTGAACCGAGATATACATATACACGGGGACTGAAACGTTCTTCACAAATTGAACAGTGAGGACTAAAACGTGGGACTGAAATGAACGGCTCCGATATTTTTTCATTTCGTTCTCAAATTAGAATTGTAGTCAGATTCGATGAACGGTGTGGTTTTTAATTCTTTTATTCCAGAGATTTAATTATTTTATTTGTAATTATGACAAAACTTTATGGAAATCCTGATAATTTTCGTGTCAAGAAAGTTCTAGTTGCCGCAAAATTAGCCAATAAAGAAATCAAAACGACTAATGAAGCTCCTCCGTCTGAATTATTTCCACTTGAACTTGTTTGTTTAATTAAGTGGCTGTAGTGTAGTGTACCGGTGGTAAAAGTTCGGGATGTGACATATGTCATTCGATTCGTCTCGACGAGCTGAGTCGAACGGTACCACTCCCTACTTTAGGAAATGATTCTGGACCGAGTTATAGGTCCCTGAAAATCGAAAAACCAAAGGGGGGAGTAAGCTCGATTTTGGGGTGAAAAATTCGAATATGCAAATAATAGCTCATTCGAAAGAGCTCGCCGAGCTGAGTCGAATGACACCAAAATCAACAAAATCTGACTTGATTTGACAAAGTTATGACCGTTTGTTTTAGCTCCTTACCTATCGCCTCTGTAGAGGTTTTTGCTGCTACCGGGCCCCAAGTACATCCAGAGCAAGGGAGATAGGAATAGGGTTATGTTACGAGCCCAGACCCAGCGCCCGTAGACTCCCCGCGAGGCGCGTGCCGCAAAACTCCGCGCGAAGCGCGGAGTTTTGCACAAGCGCCTCGCCGACGCCCCATAGGTTTATGTTGTTTGTTTTTCTATTGTAACTTTGTCCAAACTTTTACAATCAAGCTGATTTTGGTGTCATTCGACTCAGCTCGGCGAGCTCTTTCGAATGAGCTATTATTTGCATATTCGAATTTTTCACCCCAAAATCGAGCTTACTCCCCCCTTTGGTTTTTCGATTTTCAGGGACCTATAACTCGGCCCAGAATTATTTCCTAAAGTTGAGAGTGGTACCGTTCGACTCAGCTCGTCGAGACGAATCGAATGACATATGTCACGTCCCGAACTTTTACCACCGGTACACTACACTATATCCAATTAAGTGATTGTTTACTCTTTTACATATTTTTTAGGTTCCAGCACTCGAAGATGGGGATGTTCATTTATTTGGTGCTGTAGCTATTTCAAAATATATTTTAGGAAATAATTCTCAATATTTCCCGAAGGTTTTGAATAGGGTTTTTTGGTTAATTTAAATTTATTTAGGATCCATTACTTGAGCAATGGCTTTTTTGGGGTGATAATTATCTCCTTTCAAATGTTCTTTCCTATGTTCTTCCGAGCATTTCTGCAGCGAAGATTGATCAGGAAATTGTGGAAAAGGTTTTATATAACCGAATTTATTTTTGAGTTTAAATTTTTTAAAGGCACGTACCGAGCTTCTCGATCAATTGACACGTTTGGATTCCATCATTCTCCATAAAACATTTTTGGTAGGGGAACGGATTTCTTTTGCAGATATTTCTTTGGCTGCCAATTTGCTTCCTGTAAATTTTTGCTTTTTTTTTATTTTTAAAATACAATATATTAATTTTAGGCTTACCAATATGTTTTAGGCGAAGAAGAGCGAAAGAAAATTTGTAATGTAACTCGTTGGTTTCAAACTGTTATAAATCATCCTGGAGTGAATGAAGTCATTGGGGAATTAAAATTTATTACCAAACCGGCAAAATTTAATGGTAATTTTGATTTTATTTTTTTTATTTAAAAATTATTTTTCTAAACAGATAAAGAATTCGAAAAAATTGCTGGGATGCTATCACGACCTGTTGCTGAAGAAAAAACTCCAAAGGATAAAGGAAAGAAGGACAAAGGACAGAAGCAAAAAGAGCAAACTCCAAAACAAGAAAAACAACAACCAAAGAAGGAGAAAAAGGATGAAGAAATGGATCCTACGGAAGAAGCAATCTCTGCTCAACCAAAGTTTGTTGATCCTTTGGCTGCTCTCCCAAAAGGCAACTTTTCAATGGATGGCTTCAAGCGTGTTTATTCAAACGAAGATACAGCTACAAAAGCAATCCCCTACTTTTGGGAAAATTTCGAGCCCGAAAACTATAGGTAAGAGCTGTTTTTTGTAATTATTAAATTATAAATAATTTAGTATTTGGTACGCGGAATATAAATTTCCCCAAGAACTTCGACTTGTATTTATGTCTGCAAATTTAATCGGAGGTCTTTTTCTGACTTTTTCCAAGGAATCAAATAATTTTTAGGGATGTATCAGCGCCTTGAAAAAATGAAGAAAACTTCATTCGCGTCTGTTTGCCTTTTTGGTTTCTTTTTTTTCTGAATAATAATTTAACGGAAATTATAGGAACTGACAACAATTCTACCATCTCTGGAATTTGGGTATGGCCAGGGCAACAACTTGCCTTTGAGCTATGCCCGGATTGGCAAGTGGACTATGAGAGCTACGAGTGGAAAAAGCTCGATCCAAATGACGAGTCAACTAAGAAAATGGTGAATGAATATCTATTGTGGGAGGTTAATAATTTATTTTCTTTTGCATTTTTAATGTTATTCAATTTAGGGGGACTTTGGCGGTAAGAAGTTTAACCAAGGGAAGATTTTCAAATGAGCATGGGGAGGTTAAATAGAGAAGGTTAATAAATTTTTGGGACTAAATATATGCCTGTTTAATTGTTAGCATTCTTTCAGTTATTTTGTTGATTTTATTTGACAGAGTGCATAAATTTGTTGGGTAAATTCAAAAATGAAACTCATACATCGTTGAACTCTCATTTATCGTAACAATTAAAATCCATGAGTTTAAGTTATTAAATAGACAATATTAAGGACAAAGGTTAATATGAGTTCATTAAGGTTCAGCAGCTCGGTTTTGGTAATAAGTGAAAGAAAAGCCATTTTAAAATTGAGATTTTTGTAAAATGTTTGGATAATTTTTAATTAAAATTGTGCATCGAGACGAAATTCGCGTTCATCATCGGTCGAAATAACCCCCGCCTTCTGATATTCAGAAACTTTCTTTTCGAAAAAGTTGGTCTTCCCTTCAATAGAAATATTCTCCATGAAATCAAAAGGATTTCGAGCTTTATAAATCTAAAATTAAAATTTTTTTAGTTTTTTTTTGAAATTTTTTCTTGCCTTATTAAGTCCAAGCTCAACCAAAAGATGGTCAGCAACATATTCAATATATTGAGACATTCTAAAAAATTAATTTAAAGTGTAAAAAATGATTCTATTTTACAGTTGACAATTCATTCCAATTAAGTCCACGGGCAACGCATCAGTGAGATATTCCTTTTATATAAAAATGAGATTAAAATTATTTACGGAAGAACTGGAATTTAGTTAATTATCAGCTCTATTCACAACACAAATTCACGCACAAATCAAAAATAAACCGACAAATGTTATCCCTTTTTGTAAAGGAATAGACTATTGGCAGCAAAAATTCTATGATTTTTTTCTTTTGCCAAATGATAGCACTTACATTTTAATTTCATTCGACAATACAAAAAGGAAATAAAATTATTAACCTTTTCAATATCAACAGCCTCTCGAATTATTTCCTCAATACGTTCATTATTTGGTTTATTATTCAAATGTTGGAAAAGTAAACAAGCAAAATCTCGATGAAGTCCTTCATCACGGGAAATTAATTCATTACTTTGTGTCAGTCCAGGCATGTAACCGCGTTTCTTTAGCCAGAAAATTGCAGCAAAACTTCCAGAGAAGAAAATACCCTCAACTGCGGCAAAAGCAATGAGACGTTCACCAAACGAAGCTTCTTTACTAGCAGTCCAACGAAGAGCCCAATCAGCTTTTTTCTTGATAAAATCAAATTCGAATATAGCATTAAACAACTTTGAACTATTAAAAAAAATTATTTTGTAATCTAAAGAAAGGAAATACCGTTCAATAGGATCTTTAATATAAGTATCAATTAATTTTGAATACATTTCTGAATGAATATTTTCAATAGCAATTTGAAATCCATAAAAACAGCGAGCTTCTGGTATTTGAACTTCTTGAGCAAAACGTTCAACCTTTAAAAATTAATTAAAAAATATTTTTTAAAAATATAAATACAAGATTCTCATTAACAATTCCATCCGAAGCAGCGAAAAAAGCGAGAACACGAGAAATAAAAAATCGCTCTTGCTCATTTAATTTATTCCAATCAGTTATATCCTTTCCCAGATCAACCTTTAATTCTTTAAAAAGATATATTTAACATTTTTAACCTCCTCTACAGTCCAAAACGAAGCAACGGCCTTTTTATAAAATTGCCAAATGTCCTGATATTTGATCGGAAAAATAACAAAACGATTTGGATTTTCACGCAGTAATGGTTCATTTGCAGAATCAGCAGAATGGCTTTGTTTATCAACAGGTAATTCTCTGTCATTTGATGAAACCATCAATTTTGGTCTCTAGAATTAAATTAAGATATACATACTATATGTAAATTCAAAATTAACGAAAAAGAGATGATTTTACATATAAACCATATCTTTTTAATTTTGTTGACAAAGATAATACATATGTATCAGGGATTCTGAATACATAATAGATTACTAAGTTCAGGAATCGTGAATGCAGAGATTTACGAAACAACTAAACAGATAAAGAGACAACCCCTAGAAAAACAACAAAAAAAAAACAATAAAGATAAATACAAAACCTTTGTGTTTGAACCATTAGTTTCGTCAAATTGATTCTCTTTCTGGTAATTTCCGTCCTCGATCATTTTTTAATTTAATTTTCAAGTCTTTCCAAAAAAGGTCAGTATGTTTAATCAAATTTTTTCTAAAAATATCCTCTTAATCACTTTTAATTGAGAGAGTTATATACAAGGGAGACTGAATTGCAGACTGTAATTAGTGAACGACATATCGACTTTTTCTTAAGGAAAAAAAGTCGTTTTAAAAAAATCTACAATTATTCGCGAACGACTTTTTTTAATAAACAAAACGCCAGAACTACGTAAATATCGATGTTTTACGCCAAACGATTGCGAAACGACTTTTTTGTATCTCTTTTTCTCTAATTTCACAAAATATTTCCTTTCTCTTTTTCTATTAATTTTCGTCTCTCTTGTTTTGTGCAGTCCATTTTTCTTGGAATCCAAAAACTTTGTAGGGCCATAACTTCCTTTATTTTTGTCTGTTCGAATTATTTTTGGCACCATTCGAAACAGCTCGAAAAGCTCCATCGAATGAAACATCAAACTTACAAAACATACCAATTTTGTATGTTTTGAATAATTAAAAGAAAACAATAGAAAAAAACGAAGAATTGATAAAAAAATTATCATCTACTTGATTTGGGGTCGCTTTAGTATATTCCCACAGATTTTCCAGCGAAGATTCTGTTGAACATTTTCTAAAGAACATTTTCAAATGTAGTCGAATCTTGACTCTAGGCTTTTCTTGGGCTTTTTCGGGCTTAGGGGGAAGTTAAAAACAAAATTTCAATAAAAAAATGAGACAAATAAACAAAAATTTATCAAAAAAACTAAAAGCCAATGTCTCGTTTCACTCATTAGATTTGTGGCCCTAAAGAGGGCCGTTTGGGTTGTGGCTGTGTCGCTTCTATTCCATCTAAGACTGCAATTCAAAGGTTGCCAGGCAGAATCACTTCAACAGCAAATCGCCCGAGCACGTCGTTGTAACACTTAGAAAAATGAATTAAAAAATTGAAAAAATTTTAAAAAATTCCAAAAAAAAATAAGATTTAAAAAACAACCTCTCCTATTGTTTCCCCATTGTTGCAGCCGTAGGATGGAGTTCGACACACATCAAACAAGTTTTGATTAAACATAAAAAAGAAAAAATTTAGGAATGAAAAAAATTTAGCAACTAATTCTAGGATCAATGAAAACGATAGCTCATTCGAGTTTCAGGGTGCGAAATTCGGTTCGGGAAGTGTAATTTAACCCGGAAAGTGATTTACCCACAAATTATAATGCACCGAAAAACAAAATAACCTGATAATGGTTGCTGCTCCAAATGTCGTTGATGGTAAGTGTTTGCTTCTGAAAATTCACTACTACCATTAACAATAAGACTTCCAAATGTTGTACTAGGAGGCTAATGAGATAGGCATTAATTCTACAGCTTCAAAATTTCAATTTTTCTGCAATTTTCCTTCAAATTTCCTTTCCTACCTCCAAAGCCTTAAAAAAACTTTTGTAACCCCTAAAAATAAAAAAATGAAATCCAATTTACAAAAACCTCCTTACAAATTGAGAGACTGCACTGAACGAAAATTAATAGAAAAAGAGAAAGGAAATATTTTGTGAAATTAGAGAAAAAGAGACACAAAAAAGTCGTTTCGCAATCGTTTGGCGCAAAACATCGATATTTACGTAGTTCTGGCGTTTTGTATTAAAAAAAAGTCGTTCGCGAATAAAAGTAGTTATTCGCCGCGAATCGACGAAAACGTAGATATGTCGTTCACTAACTGTAATGAACTGCTTAGAAAAATAATGCCTTAAAGATATCGAAAAGACTTTCAACGGCTTTATCCGTTGAAAAGGTGAATTTCTGCCTTAAGGACACCTAAATCAAAAAATTTGTCTGCAGCGTAAAAAAAAAAGACATTTGGGAGAGAAATAAAAGAATGATTGTGAATAAAATTTTAAATTGTATTTTTGTGGCGTAATTATATTTTGGAAATTTTTTCCATTGTGTACTTGAAATTTTTTTACTTTAACTTAACATTTTTTCAATAACAGCCCTGATTTATTATTAAATTCATATAAAATTATGGAGGTCACTTCAGATGATTTAAAATTTCCAAAGGCTATTGTCGCCAGAATAATCAAAGATGCCTTGCCAGAAAATGCTATTGTTTCTAATGTTTTTACTTTTTTATGTTTTTTAAAACTTTTTTTTATTTTTTAGGAAGCAAAAAATGCAATTGCAAGGAGCGCAGCTATATTTATTTTGCATGCTACTTCTTTGGCTAATGATAATGCACATTCAAAGAAACGTAAAAATGTAACTGCCGAAGATGTCCTTTACGCAGTCAAGCAATTGGAATGTTCAGAGCTTGAAAGTCCGGTAATTCGCTTTTAAATGATATTTATTTAAATGTGTGAGAATTAATAACTTAAAATATTTTTCTTTTGTAATGAAATGCGAAATGAACAAAAACAGTATTAAAATACTCAAAAGGTGAATTATGATTTTTTTGCAGATTGGAAAATTAATTTTTCCACTCGGGTTCGTACCCAATACCTCAGATTTTCATTTTTTTATGCAACTGATACCTCATTTAATTATTTTTCATTCATTTGTATTTTATTTACTTTATTTTTATTCAACCCTGCTTGACGAGCTCTTTTAAGTGAGTTATTCTCATACTCCAAAATTTAACTCCAAACCTGCCTAGTCCACCTTTCGTTGGTGATTTTTTTCCAATCTGCAAGAAAACATCTTAATCCCACTTTTTGAGTGTTTTTATAGTGTCTTCGGTCATTTAAAATTTTGTTACATCCAAAAATATAATTTTCAATGTGTTCATGAACCTACCCTTTTTTAGATACTTGAGGGCTTACAAATTTATCGACAAAAGAAGGATGAGCGTTTGCAGCTTCGTAAGGATCGAATTGCTAGCAAAAAAGCTGCGGATGCTTCTCAAGGAGGTGATAAAGAAAAAGAGCGTAAAACAGACGATGAAAAGGAAGGAGAAGAGAGCGATGACGATATTATTGAACTTGATGAATGAATTTTAAAATTTAATTTATTAATGTGGTTATAGTTTAGATTATTCCCCCAATTTTTTCCTGAATCGTCCATGCAGCATCAGTTATCTTTTTATGGCAAATTATATATCATTCGAATTGATCAAGAAAACAAGCTCAAAACGACAGGGAAAAAATGGAAGGAACAATCTAAAACTACCACCATTAATGTTTATAAACTGCTCATAACGAAAGTTTCTTAATTTTTTTATTTATTCTTGTATAGTATACTTTATTATCTATTAATGTTCTTTTTCATATTACTATTGTTGAATTGAGATTTGAACAGCTGAATTATTCCAAATTGCTGTTGGTTATTGTAGCAACTTTGAATGACTTTGTTTAGTTGTGAAAGTGACTCTGCTGAACAGGTTTTTAATATTTTTTGTAAATTAGTTTTATAAGGTTGCAAGTATTTCTGATCTTTAGGCGTCAACAACTGCAGATGAGGATAATGGTGATTCAACTAGACATTCCACTAGTGATAGCGTTAATGGGAGCACCACTGATACGGACTCAAATAATGAATTATCATTGACACCTTTTGCTACTAAAAATATGGTTCCAAAGGAAATCAACGAAAAAAAGTATTCAAATGGAATTTTTGACAATAAAAAATTGAGTATGTTTTGAAACATTTTAAAGATTAATTCGCTACCTTTTGAGATAATTTTAGAATTAATTCTGCTAATTTAGATCTTCAAAGTGACACTGAAACAAGAAACTTGCTTGATGATGTTGGTGAAGATTTTGATGAAGATTACAATTTAAATTTGCAAGAATCTGAAATTGAATTGGGTTATATTTGATAATATATTCATAAAATTAACAAAAATATTTATAGATCCTCGTATGTTTGATTTATCAGAAGAGCAACTAAATTATTATACAAATTGTTTTCTTTATTTGATGCAAAAAACACAAGTATTTTATTTATTCTCTTTGTAATGTTATTGATAAATTTAAGGGATCTGCTTCAATGAACGGCGCAATTCAAGGTGTGGACAGAATTGTACTTGATTTTTTTCGAAAAAGTCGTCTTGACAATCTTTCGTTATCGAAAATTTGGTCTTTAAGTGATGTAAATGAAGATGGATTTTTGAATTTAAGTGAATTTATTATAGCCATGCATCTTATTGTTTTGCATGTTAAGGTTAATTTAAAAATTTAGAGATGAAAAAGTAGGGGATTAGGTCTAGTTTAAAATTGGCAGCCTTATGTTAAGGATTTGTAGAGGGAAAAAATCACTTTGAAAACGAAACTATCACTTATTTGATTTTTTCATAAAATTGTTTTTTATTTAGACTATTAGGGAACGGGATATCATCATTTAACTCACGTTTTTGGATCTTACTGATCTCTAATCACGATGGAACCGCTATATATTTAAAGGAAAATTTCAGTGTAATGTCTCTATACCTGCCGAATTGCCACAGTCTATTCGCCTTTCAAACACCCCTACTAGAACCTTAATTCGCTTTGAAGACGGAATATTTGGTGCATTTCCGGAAAGCAGACCAAATTCAGCAATAAATTCTTTTACAAAATTTATACCTGAATGTATCTCTTCAAGTTCTGGTGATAGTCAACAAATGACAAAATCTTTATTAAATTCAAATGAAAAACAAGGTTTTTATTTAATCTATAAAACATAAAAATTAAATTAAGAACCTTCTGTACACTTTTCGAATAATACAATTGGAGGGAATAATTTAGTTAAAAAAATTGTAGCAGACATTCCAACAAGTACAAAGCAACATTCATTTTCTGATGATCATCTTCATTCTTCAGCGGCAACTAGACATGATGAAGTAAAAAATAAAATTATATGTATAAAATTTTTATTTTTAGTCAATTGCTAAATTTTCTGACGTTCCGCCGCTTTTAGTGGATGGCCATCCTTTGGCTTTAAATGGTTTTTTTAAATATTTAAATAAAAATATAAAATAACAGTTTCGACTTCAAAAGTAGTACCAGGCTTGCCTCAATTGCTTGCTTCAACAGCAAGAGGACCACCTCCACAACCTCCATATCGGGATTATAATGAAGGAAATAAAGGACATGGAAGAAGGTATTAAAATTAAAAATTAATCAAAATAAAACAAACTCTTTTTCAGTGTTAGTTTGGATCTTAAAACTTTTTCAGCACTTTCGTCGTTTTTGAATAAAGAGTAATTAATAATTTTATATACGAGAGAAATGTCTTGTAATATTTTTTAGTAATAAACAAGGTTATGATATGGTGGACTGTTCCAAATCTGTATTATCTACAATTGAATCTTCACACACAGGATTTGTAGATAAAAGTGCCCAAACAGAATTAAATGTGATTTCAACATGTACACAAACAGAAATAGGTATAAATTAGTTAATTTTACTAGAATTATAAAATTCTTCAGATGATATTGACGATCAACTTCCCTTCTCTATACATAATTTTAATGCAAACAATTTAACACCAAAAGAACGCTGTAAAGTTCTCCAACAAATTAATGAACGGTTAGAAATGGAAAAGTTAACATTGATGCAAGTTCGACTGCAAGTTAAATTACGGATTGAAGAGGCAGAAGCAGAACTGAAACATTTAAATGATAACACAAATTCTGATCAACAAATATGGGGTTTGAAGCCAACGGCTTTGTGAAGCCAAAATAATCGACGCAAACCACACAGCAGCCTTTTTTATTCTCCAAAGTTTTTTTAAAATTTCCTTTCATGTTCCGAAAATTCCTTTTTTACAAAGTCTAGCCGCGATCAAACTTTTCCACTCGCTAATCTCGTCATGTTGATGTTGTGATTGTTTTTATATAAAAATATGTATTAGTATTCCAACATTAAATAATTTATATATGACGACGATACAATTTAAGGATCAAACGAAAATTTAAAAATAAACTTTAGAAGGAATATGTAAATCAAAATAATAAAAAGAATTGGTGGGTTGGATGCCTTATATAGTAGAATAGCAAAATTGGTACAAATCCAAAAAAAAGAAAAGCTGATTGGCTTAAAAATAAAATACTTAATACAGTCTTAATCCAAACATAACCATAACATTAAAAGATGACAAATAAAAGTTGTGGTTGCGGTATTCGCGTAACAAAAAATAGAAGATCCAAAAAACGAAACAAAATTTTAATCCATCTTATGTTAACATAAACATCTTTCATTACATATAAAGTTGTTGCTGAGGATGTTGAATTACCGTCTGATTTTGCTTGATCTGTCGCTCAATCTGCTCAGCCTGAGAATGCATTCCCATTGTGCGGTAGTATCTGAGAAATAGAACTATTGTTTTCAAATATTTTAAAAAACAACGTACTCAGCCCACTGAACACTGTAATCAGGCTGCCCAGTCTGTGGATTGATAGCTGGCGCAGAACCACCTGAAAATTTTTTCGAACATTTTTTGAAATGAAAATTTCTAAAGAAAAAATATACCTCCTGCATTGTTCATTGCAGCAGCGTTTGTCAGCGCTCCTTGCATAGAAAGTTGTTGTTGTGGCTGAGCCATAGCCTGCTGCTGCATTTGGTGAGCAGCTTGATGGTGCGGTTGCACTTGTGGGTGAAGTTGCGGCTGGAGCTGTGGAGTCTGCGAAACGGCCGTATTCATACCTCCAGGCATTGGCTGAAAATGCTGTTGAGCAGCAGCACTAGCAAACGTCTGTTGCGGTGCAACATTCGCAGTTGCAGCAGCAAACCCAGCCTGTTGCTGATTATAATATTGATTCCAAACTGACGGATCTTGAACCTGATGTGTAGGTGCAGCATCTAAAATTCGTTTTAAATTTCATAAGTCAAATGACACGAACTAAATGTTTGAGGAATGCTTGTTGGCCCATACGGATTTCCAACAGTAGTCAATGGGGCAGCAGTTGGCGCAGCAGTCAATGTCGCAGTAGCAGATCCGGTATGGAATGGTGGCAAAGGAGTTCCAGGCGCAATGTCTCCAACCTTGATGCGAATAATGTGCTGTACATGATGAATTTGATAAGGAGTCCCACGTATCACAAAAACTTTCTCATTCGGATTAGGCGGTGAATCTCGACTCAGCTCCACATGAGCGCCAGTTTCTCCAGAGATCTATTTAGAATGTTCTTTAAAGTATTCTTTGACTAAAATATAACCTGTTTAATTGTATCACCACCTTTTCCAATAACCAAACCAGTTTTATTCGCAGGAACATGCATATAGAAAGTTTCTTGCTGTTGACTACCACTTCCGCTGCGAGTAACAAGATCGGAAATTAATTGAGTAGCACGGCTAATTTGTTCAGGCGTTCCTTGAATTACTGCACAGCGTTCTTGTAGACTTGGATCTGTTAGAATTTGAGAAATTTAAAGATATTAATTGGGATGTTTTGTTAATATATTATGAAGACGATAATGCTGTGAAGATGCAATTATCATATTTCAAATAATATTCTCAATTTTTCGCATTTATGACACTCATTAACCAAAAAAATTAACAAGCTCTTTGATGCGATTTTTACCTTACGTAGGTGAATCTTATTATTAGTTTTTATTCTATATAACCCGGCCTTCGAGATCCAAATACACATTAGTTGAATATTAGTTAAAAAAGATGAGATAAGGCTTCGACAGACTATTGCTATTTGGTAAATGTTAAACCACAAAAAACAAAGCAATAGTTCTGACGAGAGAATATACCATAATTTTGTTGATCTTGAATTGAGGCAAACGAACCGTCCGGCTTGAATTGTATTTTAGCACCGGTTTCCGCAGCCAAACGCTTGATAGTGTCACCTCCTTTACCAATAATAACTCCAACTGAAGAGCGTGGTACGATTACTTCTCCAATAGACTTAGGCCCATTTGCAGCACGCAAAGCTTGAGAAAGGTTAGGCTGAGTCGATGCATCACCTGCCAACAAACTCTCAATTATACGCTTAGCATGTTCAACTTTCTCGGGAACACCAGAAATACGCAATGGCTTCTAAAATCAAAATAAGTCGATTTTAAATTTGATGCTAGTCTTCAAATAATAGCAAAAAGTACAAACATTTCCCATAGTAACTTGATGATTGTCTTGAATCAGCATCATCTTAACACCAATCTGCTCCTAAAATTAATCGAAATTGAGAAAATCAAAACTAAAAACTTTACTACCTGCAGTCCTTTTATGGTTTCACCATTCTTCCCAATTATCAATCCACACTTTCCACCAGGAATGCTCAATTCAACAGTCGCCATATTCCCATTTTGAGCCCCAAGTCCTCCGCGGGCGCTTCTCTCAAGAACATCATGAATAAGAGCCTTTGCACGACTAAACGTAAAATTTAAAAAATGAATATAGAGCGAATCTCGAACTCAATGCATTGACGAGGCCCTTGTAAAGTGCATTGACGGTACCCAGCATTACCACTTTCACCAGCCATTTGAACTCTACATCCAGATTGCTGCTGAATGAGCTGTATTTGCTCCCCACCACGTCCAATAACTAAATATAAGTTTTAATTACGAAACACTTGAAGAAACAAACCAAGTCCAACTTGACTTTCAGGGATGTCAACGGCGTCGACGAGTGTTTCGCTCACCGGTGGACCCATTCCCATGCCAGCCATGTCTTCTGTACCGTTGAGCTTTTCGCGTTTGGTGGGTAAAACTGAAAAATCAAAAAGAATAAATCTGAAGGAATAAATTGCAACTTTCCAGGTAAAAATATAAGGCAATAATAAATGTGAACGTAAAATTGGATAAAAAATAATTCATCAAACCGTTAATTTCAATGCCTATGAAATGATGTGAAAAATGTGTAAAATGTATGTAAAAGTATCGCTAAAGTCACACGTACAGTTCAAGTCGTCTGAATTTGTTCTCTTGTGCCCTCCGTCAGTTGCAGCGAGCTGAATAAATGTATAAAATAAGGGGTATTATGGATATTGGCAACAACCAGGCACGTCTCGCCTGTAGCTGTGCAGTTCATAAATTAAAGTTCATTAAATTTAACATTCATTTGCGCAAACCCTGCTTATAAAACATTCGAAAAAATGTGTGAAAATGCATGGGAAATGCAACATATATAAAATATATGTAAATGGAAAAATAAAAAATGTAAAATGTACTTTTAGTTTATCTTGTAAATGCATAAAAGTAAATCAAAGTAAATGTAAATTAAAATTGGATAAAACATTCAACATTTAAAATCTTATAAACGAAATGAATTCAAATGGGAAATGTTTAAATGAACCAACTTTAACCATGAAATGTAAATAATAAAATGCAAACGAAAATGTGAAAATTTGCAATAAAAAATAAATACGCAAATGTAAATGCATAAATTAAATAATTTTTAAAAATGAAAATTAAAGCTAACCTTTTTTGCGCGTAGCAGTGCTGTGTTTATTTCAGAATCTGCTAATTGATGATTTTGGGTGTCGTTCATTAGAGGGCAAAAGCCGGCATCGAAGAATTATTTGTTTTGATAGCTAATTAAATTATCTAAAATAATGAAATAAATATTAAAACTAGTTTCGGGCAAATTTTATTTTGAGACAAATCAGTTTACGAAAGAAAACTTCGAGCTGACAATGAGATGAACGACAAAATTAGTTCACGGTATGAACAGAAATATAAGTATGAAGGACCAAGCTGATTTTTAGGGTCTAAAATTCGAATCAAATTTTAAAGAGATCACCAATCCAACATGAGTCGAATGCCCCTTCCATATGGTCCAAAATAAAATCCTTTCGAAACCAGTAGTTAGGCCTTATCCCTTATTTTCTATAACTTAAAAATAATTCTAAACAGCTATAAACACATATGTACAATACTACCGTGCCCGCTCAAAACATCAAACTCTTAAAATATCTAGACGAGTAAAAAAGCTCAAAATATCTAGACGGTTAAAGAATCTCAAAATATCTAGACGGCTATAAAATCTAAAAATATATTTTCTTAAAACGTCAAACTCTTAAAATATATTTACGGGTAAAATATCTCAAAATATCAAAATATATTTTTTCAATTAAAAGGGACAGTTGAGTCCGCAGAAAAAAGTTTTCGCCGCTGCGGAGGAAGCCGGGCATGTCGAGCGGAACGACGGCCGCCGCTTCGCTACGGTCGCCGCGAGCGAAGCGAGCACGACCGCAGCGAAGCACGGCCATCGTGTAGCGAAGACCATGCCCGGCCTACCCTCCGTAGCAGCACAAAAACAGTTTTTCCAGCGAAGATTCTGTTGGTCATAACTTTGTTCAGAAGCGTCCAATCGAGCTGATTTTGGTTTCACTTGATTCAGCTCGTCGAACTCATGCAAAATTGGTCCTGAAGTACTACATCTTAAAATATATTCACCCCTGATACAAGGAAGAAATATGGGACTCAACTGTCCCTTTTAATTAAAAAATATATTTTGATATTTTGAGATATTTTACCCGTAAATATATTTTAAGAGTTTGATGTTTTGAGAGAATATGTTTTGAGATTTTTTACTCGTCTAGATATTTTGAGAGTTTGATGTTTTAAGAATTTATGTTTTGTACGTGTCCGGACAAAATATCGAATCGTTAAAATATGGAATAGGCTAAAAAAGGGTTAAAATCTCGAATCGGGTAAAAATGGGTTAAAATCGCGAATAGGCTAAAAAGGGGTTAAAATGTGGAATCGTTAAAATATGGAATGGTCAAAATATGGAATAGGCTAAAAAAGGGTTAAAATATGGAATCGTTAAAATATCGAATAGATAAAATGTCGACATGGCCAAAATAGGTCAAAATGTCGAATTTTTTAAAAATATCGCCAAAACCTAGAATCCGGGCGTTACCGTAATACCGACGGTATTTTTCGGTATTCCGAGTCGGTAGTACAGTACGGAATTCCGACCGATAAAATTTAAAGGCTGATCGGTATTTTTCGGTATTCCGTACCGTATACGGTAGGGTACAAAATTTAGGTCTTAACTAAAAACTAGTGCACGCCACTCTAATTTTTCCGTATCAGGATCGCGTTATGTTTTCCGGATTCGTACGATCATGCCGGACCGGATCCGGTCTTGATTTATCCGGTCCGGTTTTACTCCATAAAATACACTGAACTCGGGCAGAAAAGATTACGCCGGACTATGACATACGAGACTTATCAATCAAATTATCAAAAATAAGTTGATAAGTTGATAAAATTATCAACAATCAATGTATGGCACTCATCTGACCCTTTTTTAAAAGAATTCGACATTTTGACCCATTTTGGACGTGTCGACATTTTTACCATTCCATATTTTAACATTCGATATTTTAACCCTTTTTTACCCGATTCGATATTTTAACGATTCCATATTTTAACGATTCGGTATTTTAACCCCTTTTTAGCCTATTCGTGATTTTAACCATTCCATATTTTAACGATTCCATATTTTGTACCGGAGCCGTTTTGTATGGGAGCCAATACTACAATAAGAAAAAATTAAAAAATCAATCAAGAAGAAATATCAAAAGCAAAGAAAAAAGTAACACGTTGAAACATAAGAGCAGAATGAATAGAAGTTGGCGTTTTGAAGAATTCTCCCTAATTGATATTTTAAAATATTTACATTATGTTTTGAAATTTTTTCAAATCGTTTTGAAAAATCGTAATTCAAATGATTCAACAATAAAATTTATTTTGTAGTTACATTTTTAAGGGACACGCCCAAGTACCCATAACTAGCTGGAAAATTTCTGGACCTAACAGTTTCGGTACCAATCTCTTTAACTTGATGAGAGAAATCTATTACTAAATTTTGAAGGATTCGGAAATCTTTGAGCAAGTCATGGCTTTGCGTCTACTTCCTCGCGCGCCTACTTGGGCTGTTCCCATTATTAAAGTCTTGATTTTTTTACAAATTTTATACATACATATTCGACGATTTTTGGCAATCCCGGAGAATTGGGGTTTCTTCGAATAAAAATTTTAAAAACAAGAAAAAGGTTTTTTCTAGGGTAAAAAAATATACTGATTACGAATCTGAACTCGGATTTTGAAAAAGTCGAATCCCGGACCCGAACCAAATTTCGAACCCTGAACCCGGATTTCGAGTATGCAAATGATAGCTCGTTCGAAAGAGCTCATCGAGCTGCATCGAATGATACCAAAATCAACGTGATTGGACCTGTTTTGACAAAGTTATGACATAAAGTATACCTATGGGAGTACTGTAGGAGTCTGCGACTTATGTCATAACTTTGTCAAAACTTGATGAATCACTGTAATTTTTGTGTCATTCGACTCAGCTCGACGAGCTCTTTCGAATGAGGTATCATTTGCACAAACTTTTTTTTACTCCAAAAAATCACCCCAATGGTTTTTCAATATTCCGGGGTCTGTATCTCGGTCCAATCATGTCGGATTTCATCGATTTTGGTGTCATTCGATGCATCTCGATGAGTTCTACCTGCATATGAAAGACTGACCATTTTGTACAATGTCCTACAATGTCCGGGGTCAAATTCCGAATTCGGGTCCGGGATTCGACTTTTTCAAAATCCGAGCTCAGATTCGTAATCAGTATATTTTTTTACCCTAGAAAAAACCTTTTTCTTATTTTTAAACTTTTTTTTCGAAGAAACCCCAATTCTCCGGGATTGCCCGATTTTTAATTAAAAATGGCTGATCCATTGTCGCTTCTACAAGAATATGCAATGAACAAGAGGGAATTAGGCGAAGTTAAACACGTATATGCGTATTTTTAATATTTTATTTAATTTTATATTATTTAGAATGGGAAGCTTTACTACGTTTTTGGCGATATCGCATATCCACACGATGCAAAAACTAATCTTGGTGTTTACAACAAACAAGACGAATACTATTCAATAGAATCAATCCTGCTTTTTTGGAATATGCGTGATTTACAACATACAGCATATGTACGTGATGTTTCTGGCAGAGGAATTGCATCTATCACGAGAGTTCAAAGGTAATTTTTAAATCACTTTTAAAATTTTTATTTCAGGCGCGATCTTCTTGATTTTCTCAATGGCGGTGCTCTTCCAAAAGAAGCAAACATGTTGGCTCCTGTTCCGCCGCACATTCCTACTTCTCATTTACACGCAGATGAATCACAGCAACATGCACAGAAACAATATGAACCGGAAAGGAAAAGGCCGAGGATCGATCAGCACCACGACAAAAAAGGGTATTATTGCCAATTGGTGGTTGACTGGAGGAAATTTCTCTTGTCTCCTCCATTTATAGGCAGCGCATCGACAAAATCCTGGAGAAATCAATTGAAAAAGGAAATTCCGAGCAGGTTCGTGGTTTAAGCAATGAACTGTCAGCCGAACGGGTCGCACAGCTCCGAAGCAGAGTCAAAAGCAACTTAAAAAACAAGGCATTGGATGAGGAAAGGTATGTTATCTAGTCTTTTTTAACTTAATTCATTTTTAAGCTTCATATCAGTTTCGCAAGAGACGGCAACAACCGCAACCAGTGATGCTATCGGTCGGTTTATAGCTGAAAAGGAGAGAACGCGTAAAGATCGCACAACATGTTTGGAATCGCAGTCAAGGGATTTTTCCAGTATCATTTCTGTGCTCAAGGATCTTCAGGTACTTTGGTTTTTAATAACTTTTTTTTACAAATTTTATATTGTCTGCTTGTTTTTTAGATGCGTGAAAATCAAGCCAAATCTTCTGCGCATCATTCTGCAGGTGTATATTCCTCGGGAGCTTCTACAGGGGCTGCAATGCAAAATACAAAAATGCAAAGGCAGGCGGTTTCAGCTGGATATAGCCGTTACGACCAGGAAATTTTTCAACGTGAAACAGTTGCAGATTTCGAAATTGAAACAGATCTTAGTTTTCATGGTCAAAAATTTTTTGTAAAATAGATTTTCATTTAAAACCTTTATTTTAGGGCAAGGTGCCCTCGTTAACAATCAACAACAAAGATTAGTTCCTACGGCAGACGCAGTTTCCTCTCTCCCGTCCAATTCTACTGCAACTAACGGCATTCATAAACCAACAGATCAACATCCTTCAAGACCAAATTCTGTTGCACCTTCAATTTCTGGCTCGCGCAGTCAACCTAAGCGTGTGTCGCGCACTCCAATAATTGTAATACCTGCTACGGGGACAGCTTTAATAACTATGTATAACGCTCGAGATATCCTACAGGTTTTAGTATCTGGTTAAAACTCAAATACCTAAATTTTATTAGGATTTGCGTTTTGTAAGCTCTGAAGAAAAGAAAAGAACATATAGCAGACGAGACAATGAATTATTGCTTCAAATTCAGAAAAATAATGTTACAGTGCCATATCGAGTCATAGATAATCCAACTCGTTTGAAGGATGATGAGTGGGAGAGAATTGTTGCAGTTTTTGTTCAGGTTCCTTTTCAGTATTCACGTTTTTCTATCTATGTGAATATTTAACTTAATTATTTATAGGGACCTGCCTGGCAGTTTAAAGGTTGGAAGTGGAACGGAAATCCGGTAGAAATATTTTCCAATGTTGCTGCTTTCCATCTTAAATTTGAAGAACAAAAAATGGACCCGAATGTTGCGAAATGGAGGTTTTTTAATGTTTTTTTATGCTTAAAACTTTTTAGCGTTAATGTTTTGCAATTGTCTCGTACAAAGCGTCATCTCGATAGAGCAATCCTTCAGCGTTTTTGGGAAATTTTGGACCGTCATATTGCAAAAAGCAGTAAACGTGATTGGCTTCGATATTGAAGATATGAAAGATCGTTCTTAAAAACCCCAAATTCCTATGAAGTTGGAATTATTTGGAAAATTCTTTTGATCGTTATTTGTTGTCATTTGATGATTTTTTAAATTCCTTTATTCAGAAACTTTGCTATATTTTCTTTTCAGTTTACCTTAAATATTTTCTATCTTCATTGTCCACTTTTGTTTGCTATGCGTAATTAGATTTTGTCATAAATGAGAATTTTGTTTTGAGTTAATATTTTAAAATTTATGTTAGTTTTTGACAAATCGTTTTTTATTAGCTTTTTTAAAATTTTTATGATTCTCATGCTGACATATTTTTTTATCAATTAGTCATATGTTTCGCATTTGATAAGTTGTCATACGAACAAACATATGGAAACTAATGAAGTAAATCAGCATGCATTTGTTTCGGAAGAATGTTCTCCATTGTCTTCGGAGAATTTATCAGTTAGACCACGGAACCTTACGTTGTTTGAGTTTATGTGGATGGAAATTTCACGGTAAAAATTATTTAACTGGATATTTGTAGACTTTCTAAATTTAACTTATATATTTAATACTTAACCCTTTGATTATGACTACTCATTTTTTAGCGGTTATTCTCTACAAGATGAGCAGGATCGTTATACAGAAAAGCGAAAGAAAGTTTACGCCTTCATCCGTATCCCGTTGGAATTGGAAAGGTTTATTTTCTTTGGCCTCAGACAATGTTTGGATGCTTTCTGTCACATGTTCACCTTTTTACCTCTTCGAATAATAGTTTTCTAATTTTTGTTTTAAATGCAACAAATTTATTTTTAGGTAAATTTTTTTGGATGTCTTTCCAGAACAAAAAGTTGGACTGCGGCAGATACTTGTGATATTTTAAAAGTTTTGATAATTGTTTGTTCTTGCTGGTTTATGCAATTTGTAGATACATCAATGATGTATCATTTAGTAAGAGGTCAAGGAGTAATTAAATTGTACATCTTTTATAATATGGTAAATTATTTCCAATTTTATATATTTTTTCTATTTTTTAGCTTGAGGTCGCAGACAAATTATTCAGCAGTTTTGGTCAGGTTGAATTTTAATAAATTGAAAAAAATTTTTTTTAATTTTTTAGGATGTTTTGGATGCTCTTTTTTGGACAGTTTCTGAGCGTGGAGAGCGTTTCAACTTTTTATCAGCAATTTTTCATCTTTTTATGGCAATAGTTTATGCTCTCACCCATACTCTTTTAATTTTGCTTCAAGTAAATTTTTTCTTTTTAAAGTAATTTTTTAATTTTTGGCAACAACTTTGAATGTTGCTTTTAATTCACATAATCAATCTTTACTAACTATTATGATGAGCAACAATTTTGTTGAATTAAAAGGCTCTGTTTTTAAAAAGTTTGGGAAGCCAAATCTTTTTCAAATGTCATGTAGCGATGTTAGAGGTTTAAAAAATGTGTTTATCTATTCATAATTTTATTAAATTTAGAACGTTTTCATACAGTTGTTTTATTGTTAGTTGTTGTTCTCAGGAATATGACCGTTTGTATTTTCAATATTTTAATTAAATTTATATATTTAGGCTGTAAATTGGAAATTAGAACATCTCTATGAAATGACACCAGATTTGGTTTTTAAATTTTTTTAATAGTAAAATATTTTTATTTAAAGATAATGATTATCGCTGCTGAATTAATGGTTGATTGGTTGAAACATGCTTTTATAACAAAATTTAATGAAATAAGTTCTCAAGTTTATAGAGGTCTGTTTTGGTGTTTTTCCTCAAATATACACAGAAATTCTGAAATTTGTTTAATTTATATTTTATAAAAATTTTGTTAAAAAACTCGAAACTTTTAGATTTTACAATTACACTTGCTTTTGATGTTTTAAGAAGTCACCAGCACGAATCTTTTTCAGATTTTTCAGATCAGGTAATTAGACAATAATTTTAAATAAAATTTAATTTAAGGTCAGCAGGCGAATGGGTTTTGTACCAATTCCAATTGCAATTATGTTGATACGAGTTATAAGCCAATCAGTTAATTTGTATGACAGAACAACTGTTGCAGTTATTTGTAATTATTCTTAAAAATATTTTGACTGAATCTTTTTTTATTTTTAAAGCAACAGTTTGGATAACAATGCTTTTTATAAAAATAGTAAATGGTGTTTTGATGCATAGTAAAGCTGTTGATCAAGTAATTGGATATTCACAGCAATTAGCTGCGCAAGGGGAATTTGAATCTGAAGAATGTGATGGGAGAAAACCACGTTATTTAAGTAGAAGTATGCCTGGATCACCACATATGAGCCTTTACGATTTTTCTGGTATTTAGATATTTTAAATGAGTAATCTTTTTTGTTAAACAGATGTTTTGACACAAACAGCGAAAAAAGCTCCAATCATTCGATTGCAACGAAATAGCAGCAAACAAGATATTGATGAGGAATTGAGAATTGAAGAACCTCCAAGAAGATCACAATCTGTTGGTAACTTTGTCAGACAAGAGACTGATGAGAATGCTGAAGGAAATGAAAATAATCTTTCTGGAATATATGGTTTCAAAGATTTTTTAATATTATAGTAATTTTTTATTTTTTTTCAGATAAAACTCTAAAAAGTGATAGAGATGAAGAAACTCAACAACAACAGCAACGTCGAATGATTGTTCATCCACAAGAGGAATTAGCCAATATCCAGGCATATTCTTTACTTGAAGATGTTAATCAAACAACAGTTAGTACATCAACAAGTGATTTGAGACATGATGATTGAAATATATAAATTAAATATTTATGTGATAATTTTTGACATTTTAAGGGCTTATTTTTGAAATTCTAATTTTTGTAAATTAGCATAAATTGGGTAATTATTAATATAATAAATCTAAGACGTAATACTTTTAATTTTTTAAAAGTTAGATAATTATTTTTTGTATGTATCTATTGAAATTGGTATTTTTTCTTTTGATTTTTGAAAAAAATGTTTTAGAATGTAATTTTTAAAAAATACCATAATCTTTCAAAATTCGTTTAAAGATTTTATTGGTAAATATATAAATTGTTGGGTTTAGCTACTTTCTTATTTTATTTTTTTTATAAAATTTTTTTAAATATTTTTAAATTTATTAAATATATGTTTAAATTTAAATTCTTCATAAAGTTTTGTTCAACGAATGGCAACAACAAATCCTCGTCAATTCACTTATTTTTTACGTGTCAAAGAAAGTTTTAGTGCAGTGAATGATCCTGACACAAAGGTTAAATTTATATTAAAATTTGAAATAATTAGGTTTCTGGCTAGATTTACAGTTTTTATTAAATAATATATTTTGTTCATTTCAGTTATTGTGTAATGACTTACTCAATTTTATTGACAAATGTGCTGAAAAATCACAAACACGGGTTTTGGATTTTACTTCAAAAAAATGTGAAGAGCAAATAGGTCAATTTTTGTTAATGGATCGTGAATTTGTTGGAAGAATGATTGGTGAGGGAGTTTTTTGAGATAATTTAAAAAAAATAATTTTTAGATAATTTTTCCAAATTTTCGGCTAAAGGGATTTTTGATTTATTGTCAAAAGATAATGGAATGGTTAAAGATGTGGCTATGGTAAATAAATTTGTTTTTAATTTTTTGATAAAATTTATTTTTTAGGAATCAAAATCGAGAGCATTAATTAAAGCAATCGAAAAACAATATTACCAAATTATTTGTTTGTCTGCTCTTTATTGTCCACTTGAATTACTCCAAACAATTATTACAAAATTGTGTGCATTTATTTATAAATATAGATCTGATTCTTTATTTGGATTGCCAGAATTAACTGTTTGGACTGCTTTATTGTTATTAATAAATCCTGTTAAACTTAAACAACATTGTATGTTTATATTTATTTTTTTAAAATTATTTAATTTGTTAAAAGGTGATGGATCTGTTGAAGTATTTTCACATTTTGCCAAAACATTAGCGTCTAATTCAACCTCACAATCTCCTCCCCGTCCAGGCAATATTACGCCTAAAACATGTTCAAATAATTGTTTAAAAGGCACAATACAATTAGCGCTTGGAGTTGCTATAAAATATGCGAGAAATTCTTTGGGTATATTTTCGGAATAAATTAAAAATTTTATTTTTAGGTTTGTGTATTCCACATGAACTTGACGAAATTGAATTTGTTAACGAAGGAATAAATAATTTGGCTTTAGAATTTTTATTAGCGTTTATTGTACAATCACCAATATTTAATGGTGGGGATGATTTTGCTTTCACTGTTGAATTAATTGATAATATACTGAAGAATTTTATTTGTTATTTTCCAAATAAAGTAAGTTTTTAATAAACTAAATTATTCTATGGAAACATTATTTTATAAAAATAAGATCCCTCAATTTATACCTAAAATAAAAATTATCCTTAACTCTTGCCACGCTTATAAGGTGGAAAGTGTTTTCTTTCAGGCCTCAGGCGATTTTTCACTTTTTAGATTATAAATTAACCAAAAGGTTAGATTTCCTCCCTTCTAAAAAATATAAATAATTTTTGGCAATCAAATAAATTTAGAATCATAAAAATATTTAAAATAATTCCTAAATATTTTTTTCACTTCCTAGCTTGTTGAAATGTACAATCTATGTGAAGATGAGTTACAAACAATGGCGGAATATCAGAACCAAGAAAATAATGAAAATTATTTTGGAAATGAGGAGCAACAAAAGACTTCTAGAGCACCTAATTTTTCCCATTTACATTTCAAAACTTTATTAGAATTAATTGCAGCATTATATGAATCAGAGAATAATACACAATTGATACAACTTTCGGCAGAATTTACAAATCCAAATTGTGTAAGAAATAAAAAAAGAATTTAAATATTTTTTATAATTATTTTAATTAAATAGGAAGGACTTTGTGACTTTATTTATCGTGGAAGAACAATTTCAGCACCAGCATTAAAAGTTGCATATTTGGACATGTTACGATCATTATGTAAGAATGGGCAGTCAGCGGAAGTTTTCTTTAATATTTTTAAATAAATTGTTTTTTGGACTTCTTTTGTTTCTAAATATTTTTTTGAATTAATTAAAATTATAAAAATTTAATTTTTGAGAAGAAAATTGTTAACAAAATAATATTTAATATTTTAATCACTTTCATTAAAAGTTCAGCAAAAAATTGATGAAAAATATATTTATTAAAAAACTTCACAAATTATTTAAATTTTCTGTCACCATTAATTTATCAGACCGCTGCCTTAAAGGCCCTAATGACGCACTTCTTCCTTCTGCTAATTCTTTTCTTGCACTTTCTCTTCGAATAAATCTATTTTCACAAATTCCCAGTCGGGGTGAAGGTATTGGAGTTCCTGGTGGTGGAGGGGGATTTTGATCATTACCACCGCCACCCATAGCACGTTCATACCCTATGCGCATTTGGATTATAATAAAGTTTATCTAAAAAATGTGAAGAAAATTATATTATTTGTGGCCAAATATTATTTAAATTCTTTCAATTACCTATTATATTAGCTCTCTCCCCCTTTATTTATTTTATAATTAAGAATGGAAATATGTTAGAATTGATAAATAGAAAAATAAATAGAGCTAAACTTGGTGAGCAAAATATAACTTTATAAGGTCGAACGTTGTTTGATTATTCCAATGACTAGCTTAACTTAATTTCAATTATAAAGTTACCCCGGTTAGAAAAATTAAGATTTTGTAATTAAATTTTAGCACAAATAATTTAAAACTTGCCATAATCTTCCAAAGATCATGACCTTCAGCATTTTGAAAAACTTCCTTTGGAGGATTATCCTTAATAATTTAATTAATTTAAATATTTAATTATTAAAAACTTCAAAGCAACGCGTAAAAAGTGCCCAATGATGGCTTTAAAAATTAAAATAAATTTAAAAGAAAATATTTTTAATATACGGTTCAATTGGCCATGGCAGCCGAGAATGTTTAGCACCCAAACACTTTAAAGATTAAAAAAAGAATTTAATAAGAAATTTAAAAAATTTACCTGAAGAGCTAAACAAACCTTTAAATTAAAAAATAATTATTTTTAAATTTTAAAAGAAAAAAACTTTTTGTGTTTCATTATTTAAATTAGTTAAAACAAAATCTAAAACAGTTGCAAAATTAGCTGATTGACGAAGAAATGTTGAGCTAATAAATAAATAATTATAAAAAATATTAAATTTACCTTAAAATAACTTCACGATCACTTAATCCTAACTGAAGAAAAATTAATTTAAAATTATTTTAATTCAAAATAACCAAATCAAAGAATTGATACATTTGGGCATTAGATCTTAATAAATGTGACATTATATTTTTAGTACAATCAGTTATTTCATTTTCTGTTGATAATTCCCACATTTTTTGAAGAATAGATATTTGGTGTTTTGTTAAACCGGCCAAAGTTAAATCTAAAAATAAATTATTTTTAAATAAATTTATTTTTAGTTAAAAAATGTTAGTGAATATTTGGGAATTTTAGAATGCAATAAAATATTAAATTATAATTAATGCCCGATTTAATTCCTTAAAAGAAACTCTCTCTTTTAAGGGATGAAAACTTCCATTTTACATAAAATATATGTATACAATTTGGAAAGAGAGATACACTTTATAAATTAAAAGAATCTCTTTCTGGGACTTTTATCTCGGTCCATAAACCCAAATATTTCCAACTCTAACCAAAATTATTTTCGATCCGTTCAGGGAGCAACCCCAATTTAGCAATCCCAACCCCAATTAATATTTTTAAAGTTTTTTTACGTTTTTCATAAATTCTAAAATCCAAATCAAAACTACAAAATTGTCCACTTTGTTTACGAAAAGGACGAGGTGATTGTCCAATATTATTATTTAAATTTGTATTTGTTTGTTTTAATTTCCCTCCAACTAAACAAAGCAAATTTTGTTGTGCAGTGTGGGGATTTTGTAGTTGTAAACCAATTAATTGAGCTGCTGCCTTTTCTGGATTCCAAAGTTCTTTTTCACGATTTGAAATACTCTTTTTTGAATTTGTAGTTGTTCTTGGAGAACAACGAGCTGATCCACTAATATATGTATAATTAATTAAATAGAATATTGGATAGGGGGGGGGTGGAGGGGTTTATTGTGAATTATTATTATGGAAAGAAAAATCTTATATTTAATTACATAAAATATCTTAAATAATTTTAAAAAAATTAAAAATTAACATACAAAACAGTTTTTATTTGATTAACAGCCTTTGGGTCAAGACTTTGACTTCTACTTTGCCGTTTTTGCCCTGTTTGCCTTTTTTGTGAAGGGTGGAAATTACGACTACTTGGAGTTTTTTGACGTTGTTCAGGTATTTTATTTCGTTGTCGAAAATTAATTGGAACAGAAGAAATCGACTTTAAAAATTATTTTAAATTGTTAAAGGATTTTAGGTATGTATATTTACTTGTTTCTTTTGTTGATCATTATTAGTAGATATTCCCTTTTTAATTCCTCCCCCTCCTCCACTACTACCTCCAACGGTGTTAATATCCTTTAAATGACGGTTGCCAGCATAACTTTGTGTTTGTCCCATATTTTTAAATTTAAATTAATTTAAATGGAAAAATTAAAATTTTCTTTTTCACTAAAATAACTACATATAATTTCCGGCAATTTGGCACATTAATTTTTTGGACGAATAAAATATAAAAAACGTAAGGGAGGGGTTGTTCTCCTTCTCTTTTTTTACTAATGGATTTTTATTTGGCTTTATAGAAAGACTTGCCATTTTTAAGAAAATTTAAAAATTATTTAAACAATTAATGAAAAAAAATTAAGTAAAAAAGTTTTTTTGTGTTAAAGGATTTTTAAAAAGAAAAATTAAAAAAAAGAAAATTATTTAATTTTTTGTTTTTCTTTCTTTTCTTTTTTACAATAATTAGTTCCCTCAATACGTTCCTGATTTGGATAACAAAAATAAGCTTCTTCAAACCCCAATTCAGAATTTGGTTTTCCTTTAAGAGAAAATTAAATTAAATTTAAGAAAAAAATATAATTTTTCTTAAATTAACCCAAAACTTTCATAGCATTTGTATATTGAAATATTCCCCCTTTAATTCCAATTAAAAGTACAGATTGAACTGTTGAATTAGCATCGACTTTTGAATTTTGTATTGGATCTCTAGAAATAATTAATTTAAAAATTATTTTAAAATTATTATCAATATTTTACGCCTCAATGACAGATAAATTATTATTTTTATTTTAGTAAAATAATTAAAATAAAAATATAAACTTACTTATTAGCAATAAAAGTAGCATTTAAACGATATATTTTTGACTGATTTTGTTCATTAATTAATTCTCCAGTTACTTGTAGACGTCCACAATCATTATTATTTATTAATTTCTTTTCATTTTCTAAATTTATTTGTTCATTAGAAACACCACAAATTAGCCAATCTGTTTAGAAAAAATTTTTTTGTAAAAATTAATTTTTAATTAAAAATTACGTTTATTAACAAATCGAAGGGAGGCAAGTACACTAAAAGAAATAAAATTTTTAATTTAAATTTATTTTTTTCCAAAACCTTTTACGCATAATAGAATTCCAATTTTGAAGTTTATTTACTGTTTCTATATCCGCATTTGGATATGTTACTAGTAGTCGAACAACACGAACAGCTGGTTCTGATAATAATGATGATTGGTTATTTGTTGTTTGTTGTTGTCCAAATATTAAAATAAATAAATTTAAATAAATAAATAATAATAATAAAATATTATTAAACATTTTCTTTTTTAAAAAATATTTAAAATAATTTTTTCTTTCGTAAATTCTAACAACAATTATATATTAGCATTTTTAAATATAAATCTCCTTCTTTTACTTAACCTAACTCAACTACTTATTTTCTACTTGAATGTATTTTTTAAATCGTGACCCCCTTTTTTCTCCTTTTTTTGAAAAAATTTGGTTACAAAATTAAAAAAAAATAAAAACAATTAAAGAATAATAAATAAATATTTTTTAGTTAAAAAGAAATAAATAATTATTTATTTATTTTTATCTTCTTATTTGGTCAATTATAAACCGGAAATGCTTTTTCTCAGATAAAAATACAATCCACATCCATTTCTAGTTTTTTATTCTCTTACAAAAGATTTATTTAAAAATAATTTTATTTTTACTTGAAAGACTTTAAAAACAAAAATCAAAATTTAATTAGAATCACAATGTGTTCCCCCACAAAAACGTCTCGATCTTTCTACCATAGAATCTACTAAATTATTTACAAATTCAAATCCAGCTTTGATTTGTATTTGAGCATTCCCTGTTGTATCAGCAATTATCTATTCAAAATTTATTTTTCATACAAAAAAACAGTCTAAAAACAACCTTTCTACACCCAACATTAAGTAAAGAATCTATACCCAAATTTTGGCTATTTGGTTTATTTTTAATACAATTATTAAGTGCATTATCTATAGTAGATGCCCAATCATTTGTTGACGTTATTCTTTTTTAATTAAAAATTCTTTTTAATTCTCTCAAAAACCTTTACAATTGTCTTTTAATATTAGAAACACATTGATCTACTTTAGAACCAGATCCGATAGAAGGGGCAGCCCTAGACCCACTACCATCAACTGCTTCTTTAATAGCATCAGCTATACCAGCAATTCTTTGTTTTAAATCATCTCTAGCTTCATCAATACATGCACAGACTGCGGCTTTTGTTGTTTTTAATTGAGTAACACATTCTGCTGTTTGAGCACCAATTTGATCACACGAATTTAGTACTTTATTTGAAAAAAAAAATTAAAATTAATTTTAAAAATAAAATTAATATTAAAAGAGTATTGTGTAGTATTTTAATTAGTATAAACAATATAGAAAGTTTTGATATACATTAAGGAATGTGCCTTCCCGATTCTCAAAGATCGGGAATCTATTTATTGTCGGCACATCCCCAAATATTTCTTCTTTTTTACAATTAATTTCAACGTCCTAACCTCTGCAATGTTTTGAGTAAAATCCAAGAAATGGCGATTTTAAACATTCTCTAGTTTTAGCTGCACGTTCAGGTTTACGTTCAGCACAAAATGCAAGTCGAGAATGTATCCAAATATAATCAGAAATTGAATCTATTACCTTTTAAATTTTTTTATTAAAAAATATTTATTATTTTTCAACTTCTTCTCGAAGTCCAGAACCCCCTTCTTCCAAATCAGGAATCTCTGGAATACCTCCAAAGTCCTGTACTTTTTTACGTAAACAACTTTCTGATTCAACAGCTATTGCTTTACTTATTTGTTCTCTAATACATTTTTGTTCATCAGCTGGGGTTGACAATATTGCTTTAATTGCTCCAGTGGCAAACTTTTGGGGAAAAAAATTAGAAAAAAATTTGTTAATTAATTGGAAATGTCTGAAATATTAGGAAAAAAGAGAGGAAAAGTCATTAAATAATAAAAGGTTGATTAATATTTAAGAATAAAATTCCAGGAAAATTATTTGTGGAGAGAAATAAACAAAAATTAAATATTTACAGTTCTACAAATAGAGCAATCCCTCAGAGGGCCATTTCTATCCCAAGCTTTTTGTTCCAAATCAGAAACAGAAAGAACACAACGTTCTTGACTATTTGCATCTGCAATATTTTGTGCAAAGCAAACACTTGCTGCTTTTCTAGAAAATATTTAATTTAAAAAATAACCCCTTCCCCCCCTTCCCTCTCCACCTTGTATGTAATTTTAATTCTTCTTCAAAAGAAGAATATTCTTTGTCTAATTCTCCTTTAAGACAACTTAAATAAGAATTTAAAGATTGTTTTGTGTCACAATTATTTTCAGCCAAAATAATATTAATTAAATAATTAAATAAAAAAATTAAAATAATTATTTGTTGTGAAGAAGAAGACATTTTTTGTAAATACTATGTAAATTGTTTTTGTTTAAATAAATAAAAATAAAAAAAATATTTTTTATAAAATAAATTTTATAGAAAAAGTCTTTTTTAAACTAGATAAATATTTTGAATTAAATAGTCCTACAAGCAATTATTTAATGTCAATTAAAAATGGAGGAGGGGATTTAACAATAAAATATATAATTGTTGCGAAAAGTTTTTATTTATTAAATTAAAAATAAATTTTTAAAATATTTATTTTTAATTAAAAATATTTATTAGTTGTGTTTTTATAAAATTATTTAATAATAATATTATTTTTTTATCAATACAAATTATTTTTTTCTCGACGCTTTTGGGCGCCTTTGTGTGAATGAAAGGATTTTTGATTGATATATTTATGGATATATTTATTTATTTAAAAGTTTTGTGAATAAAACAAAAATTGGAGCGAGACAAAAATTTATTTTAATAAAAGAAGAGAAAGAGAAGAGATTGTTTTTGAATTGCGCAGAATCTAGGACAGAAACAAATCACATAAAAGGGGGATAAATAAATGATTAATTTCCGATTTTTTATTATACAAAAATAGATAAATGTTTATGAAAATAATTTTTTATCAAAAATAATTAAATTAAAAATAATTAAAATTTAATTTTGCAAGTCAACCAAGTTATTGACCATTAAAATTAATTGTCGACCACCTTCTAACATAAATTCAGCGGCAAATTTTTAACTCTAAAAATAAGTTATTCTCTTTTTATTTGTCGAAGAAATCTAAAAAATTAATCTTATTTTTCTCACATATATTTTTCTTTTTCTCCAAGATAAAACTTATTATTTATGGATTTTAAAGAAAAATTACTTTCAATTTAAGAATTGAAAATACACCTTTGGGGAGTAGTTATCGTTTAATCAGCTCCCCAGCCGGTGGCTAACAAATTATAAAAATTTTAGTTACAATTAGAGGTCTGCTTGTATAAATAAAGAAAAATTTCTTTAAATAATATTATAGATAATATTAAAATTAAATAAAAACACATTTAATAATTGAGATCAATTAGTAAATTATTATGTATACATATTGGCTATTGCTCAGATTACGCGTTCAATCATTGGCGATAAGTACCTGATTTTTCACGATAAGTACCATTAAATCAATGGGAATAGAAAGCTCTACTCATTCAGAGGTATGGTACACATGGAGATAACGGACCACAGCTTCAACACACAAAACAGGGTACTGAAAATGTGATTGGACGCATAAACAATTCATTGGACGCGTAATCTGGACGTAATATGGATATTTATAACGTAATATGGATATTTATACTAATACATATATTACAATAATTTTAAAGACTCCACCCTTTTTACTTTCCTTTTCTTTTATTGGTTAGAGCCATTCTATTGGCCATAACTATTTGGAGAAGAAACTACTGCCGTTGAAGCAACGCTGGAAATTCCATTTTGCTTATAAAAATTTCTATAAAGTTCATCGGCAGCTGTTTCTGCTGAACTAAAACAGTTTAATTGAGTGCTGAAAATTGAAATTAAAAATTAAAACTAAATTTCCAAGGAAAACTAACCCCCCTCCAATTACTTGTCCAAAAGAACTCATTGCAGCATAAGGACTCATATTCATAGCATTTGGATAGGTTGCACTAGTCATTGAACGACTACTTCCCATAGGGTATGCAGCAGCAGAACACCTGAAAATCACTAATTTAATCACAAAACCTTTCTGGAGATCTCTGAAAGTAAAATATAAATACACAGAATTTTCTTAAAAATTATTAGTAAAAATTTTAAATAGAAGTTTTATAGATTAAGGTTATTTTTATTATTTTAAGTAGAGGGAGTTAAGTTGCCATTCAGTTAACAATAGTGCTTTGATATTTCAATTATTTTAACTTTCAAAGCACTAGCTACTCCAACAATTATTATTATTTAATTTTTCTGAACAATCTATCTGACTAAAAATATTTTTATAAATTTACCAATAATTACTGTCAATACCCCCACCACCTCCACCACCACCATTACTTGTATTATTATTTCCAATATTTCTTGCATTAGTTCCAGAATTATTTCCATAGCTATTTACTGAACATAAAGTTGACTGAACTAAAGCATCTGCTCGAGCAACGGCTGCCTGCTGTTGTTGATGTTGGGCTAATATATTAGCTTGTGCAAGCATTGGACCCAAATTTGAAGTACCCCCAACAACTGCAACTGCTGTTGAGGCAGCTTTGTCTAGTTGTTTCTTCTGTTTTCGAAACTAAAAATAAAAGAGAAAATTTTGGTGTTAAATTCTTAATATAAAAATAGGTAACCTTTGCTCGTCTGTTTTGGAACCAAACCTGAAAGTTGAAAAATTGTAATAAATTGGAATTCTTAATTAAGACTTTTTCAGAGGAGGAAAAACTTCCTAAGGGAAGTTTTTCCCTTAATTTTTAAAAGTTAATCATTCTCAAATCCATAGAATCAAACACCCCCTCTTTTCCCTTCCTCTTTTTAAATTACTTCCTCAATTATTTTAATTCCTTTCTATTCTTCCACTAATCCGCTCATTCCTATTCTTTATTTTCTTCGCAGTTTTTGTTGGTGGTGGCTGTCGGCAGATGTGTATGCATTTTTATTCTTCTATTATATATTAAGTCTCCAACAAAATTGCGGGAAATTTTGCCCTTCCTTATATGTATGTATTCAAAAAATTTGGTGAAGAAATGATGGGGAAAAGTATATTCAAAAATGAAATGATTTTACGAAAATGAAAGGAGAGGGGAGGAATTTTGGAAGTAAATAGGAAAAAAATAATTGTGTTTATAAATAAAAATAAAATTTAATATTTTAAATTAAGTAATTTAAAGGAATTGATGACTTTAAGAGGAGAAGTTTGTAACGTGAGAGGAGACTGAAGATAGCTTCCAGAGTTTTAAAATTTTGAAGGTTTTTATTATCAATGTCTATTATTTATATAAAAATATACTTAAACAATTTTTAATTTATTTTTTGATAAAAACTTAGTTCCTTCCTTCTCTTTTCCTCTCATTTTATGAATAATTAGGCTTACTCAATTGTTATGTTTATATTTATACTATTATTATTTTGTCCCCCATTTCTCATTTCTTTTTGTCCTCAAAGTCCTCTTCATCCTTCAATTCTATTACATTTCTTGTATTTTCAATAGAGCGAATTAATTGGCCTTCGGGATTCCCCCCCCCCTTCCCCTTCCCCCAACAAACACTTTCTCTAAAAATCGACTCGCGCACCCCTCTTATAACCACCAATTTTGAGCCTTAACCAACTACTTCCTGAGGGAGTTATAATAAGAAACTATTCTAGATATGTAAAAACTTGCCCAAGCAATGACCCGGAAAACAAAAAGAATTGAAAAAAGGAAAAGGAAATTTGTAACTAATTCCAGTAATATATATTGCGTAATTGTTAGTCTGGATATTTTAATATTTTTTAAATATTCTGTTATTTTGAATGAGGTGCTACACAAATTTTAAATTTATTTACCTGAATACGAGCTTCATTAAGTTTAGTGGAACGTGCCAACTCTTCTCGCTGATAAATATCTGGATAATGGCCAATATTGTTGAAAGTATTATCTAGTTCATTAAGTTGTTCAGCTGTGAATGTTGTTCTATGTCGGCGACTTTAAAAAATAAAATTCTGGAAATTATGTATAAACCTCCACAAATAGTTAAAAATAATAATTTTTGAAAGTAAATTTATTTTTAAAATAAATATATAGATTAATTACCGCGCTGGAGCTGAGGAATAAAGTGTTGAGGAAGATGAACAATTATTCCCAGCTGACAGAAAAATATTTCCGCTTGTTTGTCCCAATCTTGGTTCTTGTTTAGGTCGTTTTAGGTGACTAGACTGATCATTTCCCCCACCATTTATGGCATTATTTACAGCTGCTAAAGCGGCAGCAGTTGAATGACCATCAATGATTGGGCGAAGACTTGCCGCTGCTGACGCATATGTATTATAATGAGAGAAATCAGCTAAAGTATCAGCACTGCATCCAGTCGGTTTTATATCCTTTATAGCGATAATTAAAAAATTTTTTTTGTAAAAAATTGATAACAAAATCTAGTCTTCACTCAATATTCGTTATCTACATTGTGTTAAAACATTATTAGGCTATTACTTAAGGGTAGTGACATGAGAGGAAAATATTTAATTAAAATAAATTAAATGAACATAAGCATATACTCCGAAAGGATTTTTTAAAAAGAAAAATGAGAGAGGGAGAAAAAATAAAATTATGTAAAATTTGATTTGGTAAAAACCTCAACATTTTCCTCCTTTTTCCATCCATTCTTAAATAAATTTAACAAAAATTCGATTTAGTCTTTTGTATAAATTAGTTTTATATAGGTATTTGTGTGCCCGCCCCAATGGTTGTGGTTGTCTTTATTTATAAATATATTTATTTATTTAGTTATTTTCCCTCTATCACCCCCCTATTTTTTGCCTCACCCAAAACTCAATTTGGCGCCAGTAAATTATGAAAATGCGTTTATCTTCTCCATTTTTCTTCATTCTACTCCTGGTGACAAAAACACACACGCAGAAATACGCAAAAGAAACACTCAAAGCTGGTTATGGCCTCCAATATTCAATTAGAGAGACCTCTCTCTCTCTTAGCTTTCCCTTGATTTAATCATCGCGCCCTTTCCATTACAGAAAGGAAATTTTCTGGCATTCATTCTAATTCTTCCAGTCATTTTAGGAATTTTTATTTTAGAGAATTTTCTTTATTATTTAAATAAACCTACATATTTTTTTAAATATTTTTTATTTTTTTGTTTAAATTTTTCAAATAAAATGTCTGGATCCTTCTTTAAATAACCCTTCCTATATTTATCTCTAATGCTTAAATAAACATGCCTGTTGAATAGAGGGAATTGAAAGCATTCCAGCAGATCCAGGCATTAATGCCTGTAAAGTAGACAATGAAAAAGAAACTCCATCAATTTGGTGTTGATTTGTTTGTTGTTCTACCATTAATTGTTGCTGATTGGATGATTCTAAAGAATCATCTTGATTTCCGTCGATTGAGCTTTTAATTTCTCCTTGATTTCCAGAAATTTCATTACTCATTTTTAAAACTGAATTTGTAATTTAATTTGTTAGATTTTCTGAAAGAATATTAAATAAACTTTGATTTTAACAATTATTTTCTAAAATTAATTTTAAAATTAATATTATATTTGATCTGCTTCTTTTAAAAATCCGCAACTTAGCGCCAATTCTTTCAATCGGTTGGCATGCACAAAGCGCAGGTCCGTAAGCTTCTAGAAGTGGAAAATGAGTAAATTGAATTTATCTAGAAAGGCAGCCGGGACACAGAATTGAGCGTCAACGGCATTTTAACGAGAAAGGCGGGCGGTCGTAGAGGAGGAAAGACCGTATACTAACCCATTCAGTTTAAAGCAGGCTGGCATTGAAGCTAAAATTTCCAACTTGGGGCTCTAACTAAATTACCACTTTTAAAGAGAAATAGGAAGGCAATGAAGGAAAAGAAAAGGGTTAGGCCAAATCCTCACCCAAATTTATATAAGCCATCTTAAACGAAGAGGTTTGTCTTGGCACATAACAAAATGAAGCTATGTACATTGAGCAATCTCGTTAGTAAGCTTTTGGGTCTATGATAGAGGAAAAAAATAAAAAAAAAGGAAAAAGCTATGATGAGGGTTTAGGGGGGGGGGGAAGGCAAAAAATATATTTAAGAGAATAAAGCAACCAATTGTATGTATATTTAATAGTAGACAAGAGGGAAAGGCACGGTGGCGGCTGTAAGATGCCGCCCACGCTTTATTTTAAATTGGCCAAAATTGAAATGTTTTTAATAAAAATATGTATTTTTAAGAAAAACATTTATTTATTTAAAAAATTTTAGATTTTATTTGATAGAAGAGAAAAAAATACAAAAAAACAATGGAACTAAAAATTATTTAGTTTAAGACTTTCTCGTTTATTATAGGAGGAATGCCTTCAGCTTACTTTCCGTTGCGTAAATTTCCAAATTTACACACTTAGTGATTAAAGGATATAAAAATTTAGGAAAAAATCAGAAAATAAACTGGAATGTAAATTTTCCCCGTTATACAGTCTAGTGAGAGGTTGTGTTAATTTTTCAAATCTTTGCCTCTTAAATATTGAAGAGAGTTTTAGTGCCCTTTCCAATATATTTTGCTAATTGTAAGCTTAGAATTAAATCCATCCTCAATGCTCACAAATTAAATTAATTAATAATTATTTAAATTTTTTAAAATCTCACTTTTTGGTCTGTTTAATACAAATTATAGTTACTGTTGAGAGTCATGAATTGAAGTGTCATGAATCCATGAAAAAAGAATTATCAATTTTGGGTACAGATAAGATAAAACAAAAGCGGCAGCTAATTTGCCGCACTCTTCCAAATTTACGCAATTAGTCAATTTATGTTTTCTATCAAAAGTATCATTTTATCATTTTTTTATTTTCCAAAAAAAAATCAAAATTAATTTCTAACGCACTCTTTACCCATTTAGGTACAATGGAAACGGCTCTTATAATGACATCTGTGTCAAGTGTTAATGCTCTTCCCACAACAAAATAAAAATACACTGAACAAAACATTCGAAATTCAACAATAAAAACTCGATACGAATCCATTGTAGCCTAAGAGGAGAAGTTTGTAATATGGGAAGGGACTAAAGAGAGCTTTCAGAGTTTTAAAATTTTGAAGGGGTTTTTCTAATTAAATTAAATTTTTATTGTTAATTATTATAATTTTATTACTATTAACCTATCAATTTATGTTTTCTATCAAAAATATCATTTTTTATTTTCCAAAAAAAATCAAAATTAATTTTAATGTATGTTGTTTATTATTTAATTATTAATTAAAGTAATTGAGATGTACATATCCTGCTGTTTCTTTTCATATTTCTTTGCCGCCAAATAAAATTCAAGATATATCTTCTCATCCACTTAACACAATATAATAAAAAAATAAAAACTACATATACTTTAAAAACAAATAATTTAAAGAATATGTAAAATTTATAAAAAAAATTCTTTAAATATTACCGTATCTAATAATTACCCTGGGTGTTTTTGTTTCGTCCTCATGCTGGAGAACCCACAAATACTAGATATTTCTTACTTTAATTAGTGTATTTTAAAATTTTTAATTTCTTTTTTGTCAGAATTAACAAACGTTTTATACAAAAAAATAAAAACTATACTACTAAACAAATATAGTCGCGTTTTATTTTCGAGTATGTTCACAATGCAAGAGAAATATTTTGTCCCAGCAATTTTAAATCAACTTTTGATTTTTCTTAAAGAAATTTGTTTTGAAAATATTTTTGATTTTCACATTGATTTTTCAGTCTAAAACAATTGGAAGTCCTTTTTGCCTGCCTCATACATGCAATAAATTTTTTAGCTGTTTTCTCATTAACTGAAAACTCAATTTTATTTACACAGCTTAACTCAATTTTATTTACACAACTAACCTAAGAGAATTTATATCAAAAAAACTAAAAAACAAGACAAATTTATTTTTACAAATCTACAGAAAAAACAATATTTACAACATTGTGAAGGAAAACAATTCAATACATCTGAGAACATTATATCACAATTATTTATGCTAATATCTTCCGTACATCAAGCATCTTTCTAGGCTTTGTTCCCTCCTTCTTGCCAATCTAGTGGATATGTCTGAAAAAATACAAGAAATTTAAAAGATTAAAAAACATTTCTCAACAAACCTGCACTTTCATCTTCTTTATTGCTGCAGCTATGAGTTCGGCAATATCATCGTACGGCGGGTCATCATAATAGCGGAGTGGCGCGACGAGTTCAAGAATGTTGGCGAACTGTTTAGGACATCCACCAAGCAGCAGGCGACGTGGATCCTTCGGCTCCCTCTCAGCTTTCTTTGCACTTCCTTCCTTTCCCTCCTCTGCTTTCGCCTTCGGCTCCACTTTAGTCTTCGGCTCCGATTTGGGGTTGGCCTCTGTTTTGGTCTTAGTCTCCGTCTTAGGCTTTGCTTCCGATTTGGGCTTTGCCTCAGTCTTGGTCTTAGTCTCGATCTTGGGCTTTGATTCCACCTTGGGTTTCGCCTCCGATTTGGCCTTCGTCCCCGCTGCTGTCTCAGAAGTCGGCCCCTTTCCTTTGACGTCCACCTTCCCAGGTCTTAAGGCTTCGATCTTCATGTCACGTATTTTAGCTTCTTCCTAAAAAATCAAACATTTAATTAGCCAACAAACCTCCAAAAAATTAATAAACTTACATCGACACGCTGCCAAGGCAACTTCCCTTTCACAAGCTCACATGCCATGTAGAACCAACTTTCGACGTCGTCCCCTCGGCAGAGCTCCTTATGTTTGTGACCAATTCTTGAAGCATATTTGGCTGTCCCTCGGAAACCGATGTTGCCTGCGCGTGGACGCTTAAGTACGCCGTCTGGCCGTACAAAACATCGTGCCATGCCAAAGTCGAGGATGTAGATGACATTCTTGTCCGTGTGTCCAATCGAGAAGTTTGCTGGCTTGATCTAATGGAAAAAAAGGAAATTAAATTTCAATTTTCGCTTTTGTTAAATGAAAACTCACATCTCTGTGAAGAAATCCGACGAGGTGCATCTGTACAATCGCCGCCAAAGTCTTCTTTGCCGCAATCAGAGCCGTGCCCATGGAAAACCTGTTGTTGGGACGCTTACGTCGAAGATCCTTAAAAATAATTTATTTGCAAAGTTAGACCAAACTTATAAATAAAATCATCACCTCAAGTGATGGGCCGACCAATGACATGACCAAGTAGTTGCACTGATTGTTCCAGGCTCCCTTGTCAATCAGCAACGGGTACCGGCGTTTTCCTTCAACTGCCTTTGCCATCAGCGCCTGGTATACTTGCACTTCGACGGCCAACATCTGCACTTGAGCTGAGAGGCGCTCTGCCTAAATAGTAAAAACGTCCAAAATTTAAAAACTTTCTAACAACATACCTTCAAGGCATACTTTTCCTCCTTCTTGGCACCCTCCTCCTCCACCAGATAGACAGCACCAAACGCGCCAGATCCTAACCTGCTGAGAACGTGCCATTTCCTGTGTCCTTCGCTGCCGACCACAGTCCCAATATTCAGAGCGATTGCCTCCATCGGTTCAAGACGCGAGATCATCTCCGTGTTCGTGTTAGCGTCCTCCTGTTGTTGCTGCTCCCTTCCTTGGACTGCCTGCTCGCACTTACCACCATCCCCCTTGATCACGCTTCGTTCTCCGCCGCCTTTCTTGCCGTCATCATCCTTCTTGCCGTCCGCCATCGTTGTTGATTGGAGTTGAGTATCGTGCTGTTAAGTGAAGCTGTTGTCGGTAAGACAGAAGTAAATTCCTGTGCTTTTATACTAGGAGAATTATTAAAAATCTCCTCATCTCATTGGAGCAAATTACTATTAGTGCAAATTATTGCAAGGTCTAATTTTTATTTTAATCAAAAAAAGTCCCTGATTTAAATAAATCAGGGACTTTTTGTTTTGTTTCTTACATTCCCAGTTTAAAAAATATAAATAGTTTAAAAAATATAAATAAACAATACAAAATTCATTTTTTATTCACTCACAAAAAGGGACAAAAATAAAAATAATTTTTATAGAAATATTTAAATAAATCAGGGACTTTTTGTTTTTTTTAAGAAATTAAAATGAGAAATTATTTAATAATCTTTTTATGGCTATATTCTCTTCTCCTTCTTTATCAAATTAAAAAAAATATTTTCTTACATTCTCAATTTTAACGGATAAAATATTCTCATTTATAATTAACGTCCAAAACGTAAAGGTCTGGGTCCAAGACTGCCTCTTTTCATTATTATAGCTCTTAAAATTAAAATTTATTAAATTTATTCCAAATATATTTTCTTTTTTTTTAAATTTTTGCTCCACGTCCATAATTATCCCTCCATTAATTTCTTGTTAAAATCCACAACCGAAAAAAATCCCAAACAACAACAAAAAAATTAGGTTCTCCACAATTTTCGCGTGAAGTGCCAAAATCGTTAAACTCTAAGTCAATACCACGTCCATATTTATTTATTTACCTTTGATATCTATTTGGAATAATCATTCCAACAAGTAAAGCTTCTTCTAATTTTTCTTTTTCCAATTCAGCATTATTTTCTTCGTCCAAAATATTTTGAATAATTTGTTCTTCATCTTCTTTTATTATTTGAGATAATTGTAAATTATCAAATTGTGAAAAAGGTTTTGAAATTCTTTGGGATATTTTTGCTTCTAAAAAGAAATATTTATTTTTTTAAATAATTAATTTAAAAAATAACTTGCCTGTTTTTCTTAAATTAATTAAAATAATTAAAGAAAATAAAAAAATTAAATTTAAAATTGGACTAGAAAATGAAGAATTTATTTTGTTGTTTCCTTTCATTATTTTTTTTCTAAATTTTTGTTTCTAAAATAAAATTAAAATTAAATAATTTATTAGAATATTTAAACTTTCAATAAATAAATATTTAAATATTTTTAGTTCTTTCCCATCCATTTTTGGAAAAAATTGTAAAAATATTGAGAACAATAAAAACTTTATATAATTTACATTAAATACATTTTTGTATTTAATTAAAAAATAACTTTAAATGGGAAAATTAGCATATGTGAAAATTGCAGAAAATATTTGGTATAAACGTCAGCAAAAACAAAAACTATTTTCTAATAAAAAATTCTTTATTAGGCAAAATTGGGATCAGACGTGGGCGAAACGTTTCGTTTCGTTTCGTTGTTTCGTATGTTTCGTATGATTTTTACTGTTTCGTCTCGTTTCGTTACGAAACACTTTTAAATTTGTTTCGTTTCGTTTCGTTACGAAACACCTGTGATTTTTCAACGAAACGAAACAATTTTTTAAGCCTAAACTAAGGCCAAAATCTATAAAATTAACCATCTTTTATTGAAAATTAAAAAAATTTTCGCCTGCGGCGCTGAAAAAGGAAGATATCAATTACTTATATACTACAAATCCGTTTATACTCCACTCCCTAATCCGCATATACATATTACTTAATCGACGACAAATTCTATTACCGGACTCGCATCATAATTTAAAAATTGCGGATTGCGAGTTGCGGAAATACTGGAACCGGAACTTCCGGCGAAGCATTAGCTTATATCGCTCTCCTCTCGAAATGGAGATATGGAGACAATTTGGGTAGGCAATGGAGCAAGATAGTGAATTTTTTGGCCTACGGCCTTTCAAAATTTTAAAATTTTTCGTCTGCGGCGCTTAAAATAAAATTTTACTTGAAAAATATTAAATTTTATTTGAAAAAAAGCGTCGCCAAAAATTCGGCTTCGAAAATGATTGACCCCCCCCCCCCCTTCCCCGAAAATTTTCCTTGCTACGGGCCTGGCTTATGGGACAAATTGTTGTAAATAAACCAAAAACTAAATCATTTATAAATCGTAGGCGACTAATAAAGTATTTGAGGTCGAATAATTGCGAAATAAATGAAGTTTTGAAAATTTTTTGAATATTAAAATGTTTCGTTTTGTTTCGTTTCGTTTCGTAAGATTTAGGTTGTTTCGTTTCGTTTCGTTAACGAAACGATTTTAAAAAAATTTTGTTTCGTTTCGTTTCGTCAGAAAAAAATTTTGAGTTTCGCCCAGGTCTGATTGGGATATAAATTTGTAATTTGGAAAGGAAAAAAAGAAGTTTCTCCAAATTTCTCTTTTGGAGAAACAAAAAATTATTTCTCCAAAAAAATTAATCTCTTAAATAAAATATATATGTAAACTCTTCAACATTTAAATTTTTTTGACAATAATTTTTAGGAAATTTATTTTTAATTTTGAAATAAAAAAATTAATATAAAAGTATGCAACGAGTACTTTGTAGACATACATATGTATTACATATTTAAATATTAAATGAACTGGCGGTGGCCAAATTGAGGAATAAATGACAGTTGAAAGCTATTAAAAAAAAGAAAAAATGGACAGGTTAAAATAAACTTGGCCACACAGATATTTTTAAATATGGAAATATTTCCATTAATTTAAAAAAACTATTTACTATAAATAAAAATAATTTTATAATCTTTAGAGGATTTTATTAGAAAAAATTAAAAGAAAATATAAAAACATTTAATTTCTTTTTTAAAATAAAACTTCCATTTTTTTAATGTTATAAGAAAATATTATAATTAATTTATAAATAATTTTTAGGGCTAATTTCTAGAAAGTTAAAACATTTTTATTTATTTTTTATTTTAAATTAATTAAAAAATATTTTTTAAAAAATATTACTTTTTATTTAAAATATTTTAAATAAAATAATAAATTTAAAAAAATTTATGAAAAAAGAAAAATGATTGAGAGGGTGATAAACGGAATTAGCAAAATTATTATAGTATTTGGAATATATTAATGATGTCTGATTTTAATATAAAAATTTAATGAATGGCATTTGAATGAAAATAAAAGAGATGGATTACCTTTTTAGTCTAAGCAATTCATTCAATTTTTTATAAAAATTAAAAATATATAAGGCTAAAAAACAAAAGGATACCAAATTACTATGGAAAGATAAATTAACTACTGAAAATTTTTGATAAATTAATATATTTTATTTGTAAATGACGATAACGCGCAACATGTCATTTAAAAAAGGAAGGAGGATAAAATAAAATAATAAATAGCTAATTGTAAAAAAAGAGAGATTAATGAGGATAAATTAAATAATTATACTTTTCAAAGAAATGGAAGACATTAAGTTTTAAATTTAATATTTTCTTTAAAAAAATTATATAGTAATTTTAAGTTATTTTAAAATATTTATATACTAGGTATATAATTAAATTTTAAATTTAGTTATTTCTTTATTTAATAAAAATTCTAATTAATTTATAGTATTTACATACATCAACTACACATTCACACACTTGTGGCTGAAAATTGTGCTTTAAGATGGGGGTTATTTTAAATGGAAGTATTACCCTTCCCCTCCCCCCAATCCAATAGCCAACAAAATTTTAAAAATTGTATCTTGTAGTCAATGTAGCTAAATGTTCATAAGTTTATAAATTAAATTTTAGGCACACATTAATATAAATATTTGTTTTGGTTTGGAGTTTGTTAACGTTTTTATTTTTAGTTTATAAAAAAATTAGTTAGAAATTTGTGGGTGTGTGAATATTTTATAAAGGTAAAAAAATTCTTTTTTTTAGTTTTCGGTGAGAATATTATTTAAAAATAATTTTTGAGAAAATTGGGAAAAAATATTTGCATTAAATTTTTAATTTAAATTTTATTTTTGAAGTTAAAGGTAAACAAATTGAAAGATAAAAATATTTTTAATAAAAACGAGTTAATAATAATTAAACATAAAAGAACCACAAAAGCATAAATTAAAAAATAATTTTTGTATAGAAAAATTTTTGTTGAGGAGGAAATAAAATAAAAGTAAGTTTTGTTTATTTTTATGTATAAATATATTTATTCGTAAATAAAAAACAAAATTTTAAATTCCGGGAATGAAAAAAATATTATTTAAAATTTAATATTAATTTTTGTCTCGGCAATAAATTTGACTAAGAAAAATTTAAAAATATTTTTTGTCACAAGATATTTATTTCTTTTAATTTTTCTTTATTTTTTGAAATAAATTTGTATATTAATTTAATTTAAGAACAAAAAGCATCCCCAATAAATAAAAGGAAAAGTCCCAAAGAACAAATAGCCAACAAACAATGAATTGCCAAACGAATAATTATTTTCTCTTGGAATACCTTAAATATTAGAATTTATTAAATTATTTTTACAAAAAAGCTAAAATATTTTAAATATTTAAAAACTTTTTTTTCAAAAAAAAAAATAAATTGCAAAAATTATTTAAGAAACACCTGTTCTCCATTCCAATCTAAATAAGGAAAAGAAAAGTCTAATACTCTCTCACAATTTGCATATAACCATTCAGGGTAATTACAAAATCTTTTAAAAAATATTAAAATAAAATTTAAAAGAATTCTTCAAAATAACCGAAGAAATCCAAGTTCTGTAGCTGGTTTTCTTTTAATATAATTAAGTACAGGCTTTTCTTGAGGGAGAAAAGGAGGTCCACGTAGCTCCTCTGAGGTTGGATTATATCCCCAACAAAGGAGGGAGAATGTTGCTAAAGATGTTAATAAAGTGCCGAAGGCGGCGCCAACTAAATAGTTATTGAAAAGAAGAAATTAAATTAATTAATTTACTCTTCTAAAGTTTTTACCAATTGCAAAAAATTGTCTAAGTGGATGGCCAACAGGAGGAAGTGGAAGTAAAGCAAAAAGAAGTGAATATATTCCTATAATAGGTAGAAGATATAGAAAGAAGAGAGGGCAACAATAGCTTGTATGTATAGGCCAAAGAAGTATAAGTCCAAAACCTGTTTTTAATTTTTTATTTTGATATTTTCTAAATAAATATTCACTATTAATTTGGGTAGTTAATCTTTTAATTAATTACAGTTTGAACGAGTGAATTTGGATTTATTTAGTCAAGAAAAATAGAGGAAAAGGATTATCTAAAATGTCAAATCAGAGCAAAAGCATAAGGAAAATGAAAAGAAATCAAAAAATGGAGGAACATGTATATTAATTTATAGGAGATCTAAGATGTATTAACCAAAAAATAAATTCATATGTGCTGTAGTTAATCGAAAATTATTAGCTCTAGCAGAATAGCCAAATAAAACAATTCCAGCACAAAATTGTGAAACTGCACAAATAGCTATTAATGTTGCTATAATTAATTTAACAGCAATTAATGTTTGTTGTAATTGTAAAGATTGTATAGAAGAAGATTGTATAGATGGATGGGAAAAGAAGAGTTGACCACCCCCAGTTGAACTTTTTTCAAGTAAATATGATTGGAAACGTCCAAGTACACGTTCACATTGTAACTAAAATAAAATAAAATATTTAATTATTTTTTAAATTTATTTAAAACTTGTTTTGTGGCTGTTCGATTTAATAAACCGGCACAAAAACTTGTTTGGCCTTCCTTCATTTGAACTATAAAATTAATTTTTAATTATAAACAAGTTGTTCCTTTACCCCTTCTCAAACAAATTGCTTCTGTTGTTGAGGTTAAAGAAAGAAAAAATGCAAAAATCATAGAAACAAATTGTAATAATAATTCACATCTTTAAATTTAAAATTTAGTTATTTTTAAAAAATAACTGGTGTATCATCGACACTCTTGTATTAGAAAAATGAAAAACAAATAGACCCCTTCTTTAAAAAATCATCAACATGCGTGATTTAATGAATTTGACAAGTTATGAACTTTAACTTGTCAAGGAAGGAGATAGATGACCTCCCGGACGAGGAATACTCTCCTTCTGCACAATATTCCTCCATTTACGCTTTGTTTCAGCTCGAGGGCATGCATTGTTCTAATACATACATTACTACTCTAATTAGTTAAAGAACACTAAATGCCGACAATACATAAACATAAAAAGAACTTGTTTGGATAGTCCAGTAAAAGCGCATAAACTGAAGTAATCCCTGCAGAAATACCTGACCAAAAAACTAAATAAAAATGAGCATATGGAAGGCAAAAAAAGACATGGGCAAGTCCAATAGCAAATTCGAGCTTTATTTTTATTAAAATTTAGTTTAATAAATTTTTTGAAAATTTACGAAAGCAAGTAAGCCAAGTAGGGGATAAAGAGTCCAAATAATTCCAATAACTCGCATATTCTTTAATTATTTTAATAATTTTATTTGTTAAATTAAATAAATTTATTTAGGAATAAATGCTTAAATTTTAAAATAAATTTTTATACATTAAATATTTTTGTGTTTTTAAAAGTGAATTCAACAGATTTTGTTATTTTCTTTTTTTTAACTTCCATTTTCAATTCTAAATCTGTTTTTCCCAAAGGAATTTAATTTAATTTTTAAATTTTTTCTCCATAAAATTGTTAACTTTAATATCAAAATTTTTTGTCTTATATTTGTCTTTGTGATAATTAGAAATAACTGTAAAAGCTTATGAGAGAAATAGAAAAATTTTCATTAGAGTTATTTAAAATTCGAGATGCGTTTTTTCGGTTATATGTGAGTGAATAAGAGAAATTTTGGCTCTATTACACAATATACGTCCAATCAACTAATCTGTTTTTCCCAAAGGAATTTAATTTGTATTTACTATTTTGTTTATTTTTTTATTATTAAATGTTTCAATTTAAAATTTTTTATTTTATAAAGTTAAACTACCTAAAATTTACAATTAGGTATAATAATATTAGCTTCTCTTTATGTAATTCCTCTCTAAAAATTATAGCTTTGTTGTAGTTGATTTTAGAATTGGAACTCTTACTCACTTTTTGAATCCCAAATCCCAACACAATTTGGAAGGGTTTTTAGATATTTAAATTTGAATTTAACTTCCAAAAATTTACTATAAAAACCATTAAGGACATAGTTAATAACTAACGATATTCTACAAATCCATCTTTCTTCCATTTGATCGCAGTAATAGCCGGATGATGCATAACGGTTAGTATATATATTTAATTATAATTTAATTATTTTTTTAATTTTTAAGTTCTAACGTCGTTGCTTTTTTTGTTTGCCGCCATATTTGGAACGTTCATCTTATTGGCACAATGCGCTAAGAAGAGTGATGCAAAGGCCAACAAGAAAGATAAAAAGGGGAAGAAGAATCCCAAGACGGTAGACGGAAAGAAGCAAAAGAAGGATACGAAGGATACGAAAGCAGCTAAGGACAACACAAAATTACTAAACAAATCCCCCTCCAAAGGAAATCCAAAATCGGCAGGGAAAACAAAATCTGGAAAGTTTGGACCAAAAACGATAACTGTGGTCACTGCAGAGGAATATGCGAAGGATGAACTCACTGAACTGTTGGCAAGAGCAGTTAAACCTGACCCTGAAACAATGAATCAGTTGAAAAAGATGAAGATTGACAACAAGAGAAAGCCCGTCATGATTCCACCCAAACAGCAAGGAGGTACTGCTACAGTGATTTTGATGCCACCACGGGACATGCAATCAACTTTGCTGGTAACTGCAATGCCTGATCCTGCTCCAAATAAAAAGAAAGATGAACCAAAAGGTAATTTTTAAAGGAAAATAAATTTAAAATAATTTTGAAATTAATTTTCAGTGGATGAAGAATTTTCTGTTGAGGTATCGAAGAGAAAGGATATGGACGAGGGAGACAGCAAGAAAGGGGAGGGAATGAGTATTTCTTTGGAATAATGACTGGTATTGAAGAATATATAGGAGAGAATTGTTAATGAAAATAAATGTTTGGATTGAAAATTTAAAAAATGTAAATAAATAAAATTGTATGTTAGTTTATTGTTTCTTTTGTTATTTTCTTAAATAAAAATGTAGGTAGTAAATGTGTTGCTTCATTTTTTATTAAAATTTCAATAAATTTGTACAAAATTATTTTTAAATAAAAAATGAAAGAAAATATGGGATTTTAAAATAAAATTTTTGAGAGAAAAAATTAGAGCTTTTCCTAAAATAATTTTGTCAAATTCTCAATCATTCAATTAATTATTAGAAGGCAATAATTTAAAAGCATCAAACCAATTGCCTTTGAGCAATTTAAAAGTAGAATTATAACGTTGAATTGTTATTAACAAAGTTGTTTGATCATCATCAACAAAATGTTGATCGAGTAATTCCAAAAAAGTTTTCATAAAAAATGTCCAAAAACGCCTAATTACTTTTTCTCCCCCAGCCAAAAAGCCCCCACTAATTACTGAACGATGCTTTCGATAAACCTTTAAAAAAAGAGCTTTCTTTTAAATTTAAATTTTAAAGAAATAACCCTTTCAATTGTGTAACGTTCTACACGTTCTCCATGAGTAGGAAGTTGAATAAGAGTAATTTGTTCATAATTAATTTGAGTAGGTTTCCATATTCCTAAAAATTTTAAGAAATAAAATTTAATTCGGGGGTTTCTTTCAAATTAAAAAATTTATTTTTTTCTTTGACAATTTTTTTGTTAAAATATAAAATCCTTAATTTTTTAATTCAACAATTAATTTAATTAAAATAATTTTTTAATCCTTCCAATAATTCCAATTGGAAACCTAAAGGTATTGCTGATTGAGATCCATGCCCATACCCAGCATCTAACCAAACAAATAATTGTTCTTCTTCAAAAGGTTTAGGAAATTGAGATATTTGTGTAGCATTATAAAGAAAATAAGGCTAAAAGAAATATTTTTTTAAACAAAAAATATTTGGGGGAATACTTTAGAATTAACAAGAATATCATAATCGGGATATAAAGTCTCTGGATGTGTTTTCATTTGTTCATCCCATTCTTCCCTCCAATTTTTCTGTTCCCAATTCATTATTTCTTCAATTTCTTTTCGATATTTGTAAAAAGGTAATTCAGATAAGGATATTTGGATTATCTTTTTTTAAATTAGAATTTAATTAATTTATTTATTTAGTGCCTGTATTCTTTCCAATTTAATTTGTTCATTCAAAACTTTTAAATATTCATAAACAGAATTGTCACAATAAATAATTATATTATTCTGCATTCTAAACAGAATATTTGTTAAATAATTTAAATATTGATCAAAATGCCGAGTAAATCTGTTTTTAAAAATTAAATTTAAAAAACTTTCTTCAAATAATACCTTTGCCAATTACCCCGGCCAATATCAATTAAAGCTGTGACGAGAATTGGGGCCTTAAACACTTTTAATAAAATTTATAGAAAATAATTACTTACCTCTCTTCGCTTTCTTCTCAACAAATTCTTTTCTTCATTATTTTCTACAAAAATATTTTTTAAATAAAAATTATTAATTTACCCTTTTCAATATGAGATGATGGTTTAACATTTGCTTGTAATGAAAATTTAATTGAAAGTGGTGGGGGAGGAGGGGGAGGGGGTAAATTATTTAAATTTTCCCCTGGTGGGGGTCTTTTCCAAATAGGAATTTCTGATATTGGAGGAGGTAAAGGTTCGAAAGGTATTTCTACTGGCTGAATTTCTTCTTCTTCTTCGTATAATGAAGAAAAATATTGTCGATTATTATTGTTGTCAAAAGGGCGTTTTAAATTATTTATTTCTCCACTTCTTTCAACACTACTAATTATTTCATTTAATTCTTCTTGCAAACTAAAATCATTAGTAATTGTTTGTTGGGTAGTTGTGAGGTATATTTGTTGGTTTTTATTATTTTTATTATCTTCTGTTAAATAAATATTTACTATATCAAACAAATTTCCATTTACCTTTCTTCACAATTTGTTCACTTTCAGCCTTTACGGGTGCAAAATTAATTGTAGGCCTTTTTTGATTATAATTATCATTTGCAGATTTTATTGCCATATCTTCATATTTTTTTGATTTTTTTTGATTTCTTAACCATAAAAGGTCTTCATCTTCCTCATCTTCTAATGTTTTTTCCTCTTCTTCAATTATTTTATTTGTTTTATTTTCTTAAATAAATATTTAAATATTTATTATATTAATACTCTGAAATATATATTAAGATAAGCTTTATTAAAATGACACTCTTTAATAGAATAACACAGAAATTTATACAGAAAATATGTTTTTTGGCACGTTTCACAATTTTTACAAGTTCAGAAAAAATACATTGGAAAAATATACCCAGTAAAATTTCATTATAATAAAGGTATTGATATATGTATGTAGAAAATTGTATTTAATAAAATATTATAATTTAAAACGCCCAATAAACTTATTTTTAAAAAAAGCAGATATTCTCTTAAAATATTAACTACCTATTTTTGTTATAGAATTTTCTTTTGAAGGTAAATAATAATTATTTAATAGCTTATTATTATTTGATTTTATTGTTGTTTTATAATTATTTGTTTGGATTAAATTTGTTGTTGTTATTAAAGTAGTAGATGTTGTTGTTGTTGGTGTTGTTGATGTTTTTATTCTTTCAGTTGTTGTTGTTGATATTGTTCCTAATTTATTTCCATTTTCTAAAACAGCTTTAATCGTTTCATTTGGGACATTTTGGGAATTCTCAAAGCGATCAACTTCAACAAAAGATTTTGTGGAAATATTTACTTTAAAATTAATTAATTTATTTATTCTATAAAATTTACTTGGAGAATTTATTTTATTTTTGTTAATAATATTATCGTGAATTTGTATAATTTTAGGAGAATTATCTAAAATCTTTTTTTCATTCAAATTTGTATTTAATAACATAATTGAAAATTTAAGTTCTTGTGGACGAGGAGTCTGAAATGTTGTTGAATATATTTTGTTGTTTATTGTTGTTGAGATTTTTGGAGAAGATGAAGAAATAAAATAATTATTAGTTGAAGAAGGTAAAAAGGAATTAATTGCTGTTGATTTTAAAGTTGTTGTTTGAATTAAAGAAGTGTTATCAAAAATATTTATTGTTGTTGGTGGTGATAATGGAAGTATAGAAGATATTGAAGAATTATTTTTCTGGGATTGGGTTAACTAAAATAATTTTTTAAAATTTAAATTAAAAAATTGGAATCCAGAAATTTATTAATAAACTCAAAAATTTAAAAGAATTTTATCAGAATTTGTTCCAATAAAACTCGATTTATTTATTAAAACTATTTAATCAAAATTTTTATTTAAATTTTTCCCTTACTTTAAAAGATTCATCATTATGCCAAAATATAAACACCCAAAGTAAAAGTAAAAAACAACTCCCAACTGCAACAAGACTTGCCAAAGTACCAATACGTAACAATATTCTTTTCCGACGTTTACCTCTTTCATTTTTGACTGAATAATTTATATTATCATCTGTCAAAATTTTAATTAAATTTTAGAGCCCCTTTTTTTATTAAACCTCCAATAGCAATGCTGTTCGGCCTCCAAAGTCTTTGCATTGCAGCATCCTCAGAAGAATATTTCCTTTGACAGCCGTTCTCATCCAAAAGAAACAGCCGTGTCTTCTTTTGTCTACTATTATTTCCTCTTCCGACCACCCATAATCGTTTCCCCAAACTTTTTTGTTTGCTCTTTTGAAGTGTAGAGGAAGAAGAGGAGGAATTGCTTGTTAAAGGTGTTGATGTTGGTGTTGTTGAAAATAATGAAGTTGTTGTTTCTGATTGAGTTGTTATTACTGGACTCATTTAATGTCCAACAACTGAACATTAGAAAATAAAAAAGAAAATGTAATTAACTGAAATTTTTTTTCATAAAAAACAATCCCTTTTGTAAACAATTGTAAAAACAGAGAAATGTTTGTTGAGGGGGGGGGGTTTAATTATGAAATAATTTAAAATTCTGGAAGCATCCAAATATTTTCTTTAAAAATTACGTGTTAATAATAAAAAAAATTTACAAGAATAATTTAATAAAATTTATGTATTTGTTAATTAATTAGATACAAATATTTCCCTTTTCAAATTAAAATAGCTTTAAATTTTGAGTTTTCTAGACAGATTTTATTTTATTAAACTGGTGAGATTGGATTACTTCCCCTTCTTTTCTTTTACTAAATAAAAGAAGGAATTTAAAGCTTTAAATCAGGGCTCTCATTCGTGCTTTATTTGAAAGTATTATACTTTGAAACCGACCTCCATACTTAAGAAATTGAATTTATACTTTATTGAAAGTATATACTTTAAAATCAACATTTTGGATTGAAAATGAAATTGGGGAAGGGATTGGGCAAAAAAGTGAATTTTTTTAGCCTTGGGCCTTCGAAATTATCAAAATTTTCGCCTGCGGCGCTGAAAAAGAAAGAAATCTGGCTTCTTGGGCTCCAAATTTCAAAAAATTTTCGCCTGCGGCGCTGAAAATGGGAGAAATCTGACTACTTGGGCTCCAAATTTCAAAAAATTTTCGCCTGCGGCGCTGAAAATGGACGAAAGCTTGAGGTTAAGACTGTCAGGGCTTTATTTCTTGTATCAGCGAATTTTGACATGTCATGCGTTGAAATGCACAAAATGCCCAATGGAAGCAAGAAATTATTAGAAAAGATTCATTTAAGAGAGAAATATAAAAGATTTGAGCACGAACAAATATTTTCCAATTTAATTTTGAGTATACTTTAAATTTGGAAATTTTCTCCCTATATACTTTTTTATCAAGATTTTGATACTTTTGAGTGGCATTTTGTCGATGAGAGCCCTGCTTTAAATTAAAACAAATAGTTTTTTTCACTATTTTCATTAAATTGATAATCTTTAAAAGTTAAAAAAGGATAAATATGTGCATATATACTACCTAATTATTTATTTATCCTTCCTCTCTTTAATTAATTTCGTAAAAAATAACTGCTGCTACCTTCTATTAATCGTTCATCTTTTTATTTATTTATTTAGGGACACCTTGCAAGTCCTCCCTTTTAAAGACTTGTTGACAGTTTATTTCAACTAAAAAATAAATAAAAATAGGAGAATGTACTTAATTGTGCACTAATTGATTCGAAAAATTGTTGGAACGTTAAATTAGTGAAGAAAAGGGGAAATAAATAAATAAAATTAATAAAATGACTTTAAAATAAATTGGATTTTAAATAGAAAAAAAATAAAAATATGTCTGTCAGACATTGAAGAATTGCAAAATAATTATTACAAAAGAAAATTGAAATTCTTTTATCAGGCGGGGAAAAGCTTTGATTATTCTCTTTTTATTTAGAAAATTGTTTAAAAGAATTTATAAAAAAATTCCATAGGAAAAAAGGTTTGTAGATGACAGAAATTCTTTAAATAAATAAAAAATGAATAATTCATTGGAATGAAAAAATTAAAGAAAAAATAAGATTAAATAATTCTCTTTTTATTAAATAAAAAAAACAATTTAAAAGCGGAAGAAGAAGACAGCTAAAAGTGGGGGATCGAAGGTTGGTTGGAAGGTTCAGGACAAAATCATTTGTATACAAAATTATTTGCTATTAAATGCACAGATGTTCTCTCCCTCCCCTCTCTCCTCTCTTTTTATTTCATTTTAATTCTCTCACCTTCCCCCCCCCCCCTTCAAAAGATAAAAAGAAAATAGATTACTAATATATATCTGTTAACATTTATCATTATTATTGCAGTATATATTGGCCAAAATATTTATATCTTTCTTCCAATAATATATAGATTATTTTAATAACAATGCGCATATACATAAGAAGCAAAATGAGAAAAAGAAAAAATAAATAATTAAATAATAATTAAATAAATAATTTTTAAATTTATTTTGTATTAAGCCTTAATTTTCAAAAATTAATATAATTTTAACAAGAATATTTTTATTAAAAGTATTTTTTGTTGTGCAGGTATGTGCTAGTCATCTAAAATTTCTTTTTTGATGGAATTTTGGTCCACGCAGGACAATTTTGCTACTTTGAAAGGAAATTTGATTCTCAAAAATTTTGGTTATTTTTAATAGTATGTGGGAAATGGACATGCAAAAAACAAACATTTGCATCTCGTCATTAAATTTTGTAAATATGCACATATAAATAAAGGCTGAAATTAAATAAAAATTTTTTCTCGGTATTTTTCAGTCAAGTTTTAAAATCTACCTGCTTCCTTTCTTCTTTATTTATGTTGCGCAATTTAAAGTGTTTTAAATTTAAAATATTAACTCGTAAAAAACGTGAATAAAAAAGTAAAGAGGTTACACGGACAAAAACGAGCTAATGTTTAAGTATTGAAGGGAAAGTTCGAGAAAAGATTAGGTAACTAAAATAAAAGAGAACAATTAACAAAAAAACGATTTTTTCTAAGCAGAGTCACTTAAGTAATTTTTTCAATAGAGTCAAAAATTCCTATTACCTTCATGTTTTCTTAAAATCAATGACTCAAATATACTTTAAGCTTTTAAATCATCGTAAAGTACTTCCGCGCAGTGGACTTGTGTACTAACTGTTTTTCCTAAAAATTAAACCAGGGCTCTCATCGACAAAATGCCACTCAAAAGTATCAAAATCTTGATAAAAAAGTATATAGGGAGAAAATTTCCAAATTTAAAGTATACTCAAAATTAAATTGGAAAATATTTGTTCGTGCTCAAATCTTTTATATTTCTCTCTTAAATGAATCTTTTCTAATAATTTCTTGCTTCCATTGGGCATTTTGTGCATTTCAACGCATGACATGTCAAAATTCGCTGATACAAGAAATAAAGCCCTGACAGTCTTAACCTCAAGCTTTCGTCCATTTTCAGCGCCGCAGGCGAAAATTTTTTGAAATTTGGAGCCCAAGTAGTCAGATTTCTCCCATTTTCAGCGCCGCAGGCGAAAATTTTTTGAAATTTGGAGCCCAAGAAGCCAGATTTCTTTCTTTTTCAGCGCCGCAGGCGAAAATTTTGATAATTTCGAAGGCCCAAGGCTAAAAAAATTCACTTTTTTGCCCAATCCCTTCCCCAATTTCATTTTCAATCCAAAATGTTGATTTTAAAGTATATACTTTCAATAAAGTATAAATTCAATTTCTTAAGTATGGAGGTCGGTTTCAAAGTATAAT